TGAGGTCAACAAAGAGAACATTGGCTCTACGGCTACAGTGAATAGGCACTATCTAAGGTGGCCGAGCTAACAGTTAGAGAGCTTTAAACAAACATGACATCTACGCTGGACTCAGCGACAATGGAGAGGGTTACTTTGCAAGGCCGCAAAGCTTTCAAACCTCTATCCCTCTGCCTCCCCCCCCCACCAAAATAAAATCAGGGTAGTTGGACTTTAGATGCTCTGGTCCGACTTCGAGAATACCATACCAGGGAGCTTAAGACAATGGTGGCTCTTTCTAGCATGGCTAGGTTTCTGATGCACACACCTGGCGATTGGTTTTAAAAACGAGCCACCTGGAAGCGCTGACCTGGCAAGCCTAGTGGCCTTAGAATCGCCCAAGATCAAGCGGTGTCTGGGGACGGCCTTCGGCCCGCCCCAGGCTTGCACATATGCCTGCAGTTGTTGATCATGGTGGTGTGGTCTTCAGCAGCAACAAGCGAGTCCGATCGGCGTTGTGCATAGTTCCTAGAGCCCTTCATCGAAAGGCCTGGTAGCCTGACCCTGGCTTGCCTGGCACCTAGCCTGAAAGGGGGGAGCAATTGGCAAACGGGACCATCTGAACTTCTGTTTGGCTTACCCAGTAAATTGGTTCGGATTCTGGTTTTATGTAGTTGCAGTTCCGTATCTGAGGTAGAGATCCTGTCATTATTCGACGGCTGCATCGTTGAGCTTGGTGTCGTCTTGTCGTCGACGTGAGACGATGCCCAGTAAAGTCATGGCACTCGGATCTGGTGTCGAAATTGGAACCTCAAGACGAGGGTGATCGAGGCCTTTGATCTTGGGGTGTGTGACCCCTTCGACACCATCCATCCCTCCACGAAGACTGGAGGAGCTGGGTCTCATCGGCGTGGTGACGCCTCGGGAGAGACGATGCGAGCCGCACTTGCAGCCCACTTCAGCAGGGCACCTTATTGCTAGTTCTTCAATTGACGTGCATGTGGTCATGCAAGATCGCCCCCCTCCTCCTTCCCAAAAAGCTGTGTCGCCGTCTGTTGTCCAACGTGTTGTCGGCAGGTGGTATCCTCCATCAACCTCATCATTCCCTGTTTCCACGCCTTGAACATTTGCCTCTGTATCACTTTACAACCTCGTCTCTTTTCTGTTGTGCTTCACACCATGGCTTCGATCCGAGGTCTATCAACAATGTTTAATCTTTTGACCTCATAACCGATTGGCCCAAGGTTTGGGGGTTCCCAGCTTTCGGGTTCGTGTCACCGAGTGGAAACAACGATCACTTGCACGTCGCAGGTCAAGGAGGACAAAATCTGGAGGAAACAACGGTAGGAGTGTTCCGCAATACCCGGGTCCGGCCTCTGGTTCTTGCGGTCTGTTTCATGTGTGCAATTAAACCCATCATTCTTGAGGAATGTTTCAGTGACTGACACTGGCTTGACACCGAGAAATTGGTGAATCAAGGGATGGGAACAGAGTCAACAAGAAGAATCTAGTTGCAAGCACAGTCTGGGCAGTACCTCGTACAACAAGAGATGCCGGGCAAAGCGCAGCCTGCCTCCTTCAGTCCTGCCCGATTCTTGACATTGAATCAATCTCCGATTCCTCAATTCCAACTCGAATTGTTCCTGTCAGCCTTTGCAGCCTGTCATTTCTCGACAACGTCGCGGTGCTGGGCTTCAGCCACTCAAGTGGGAGTCGCTTCATCTGACTCTGTACAGTTTTTTTTTCTTTCTTGGTTTTCTCTTTTTCTTTTTTTCCCCTCCTTTCAAAGGCCTTTTCCTTTCAGTTATGGATAAATGGGACATCTCAGCTCTTTTCGCATCATCATGACAAATTCCATCTGTGACTGGGACCACATTCGTTGGGGATCCGTAGCATCTTTCTTTCATGTGCGACAAGGTCACAAAATTCCATGTTTCATTAATGCCAACCCACACCGCCAATTGCTCTAATGTTGATACAATTCGTCCAATCCCGCACCCAACGCCTGTTCATGAGACTCAGAACCTCGATTAGCACAAGTAGTCCTTCGATTTCTGTCGAGTCGGCAGACCTGGAGCCTGGAGCAAACGCGCGGAAAAAACTCCATCCAGGGATCTGCTATCATCCGCGTCGAACAATCCAAGCGCAAAATGTGCTGCCAGGTCCCTAGTGAATCCTGTGGCTTCAAGCCATTCAGCAAGAGCAGTATCAGAACTGATGCAAGTAGCAATCGAGCCTGAATGCAGGTCGACCTTAATCTTAGGCTCCATTTGTCGCATATTGATCATCATTAGGATCATCTGCACAAATGTCTCGCCCTTCTCTGCATAGTGTGCTGGTTTTTGATCAAGTGGCCACTTAACCTCTTGGCTGCGAACATCCCAGAATCGATACAACCAGCACATGCGCTCCACACAATTGAGCAAGACGAATGCAATCAAGAATGTTTCGAAATTGTTGCTCCCACGACGGGACAAGACGCGCTGTTCGAAGTGGTTCATGACACTTCTGCACACGATGCTGGCGCGTTTCTCGACCGCCGCTCGAAGCTGTAGGCTCAAGAGATGATGGAAAAACTCATTGGTCGTCTCACTGATCAAAGCTCGTCCATCGCTAAGACCAGTGTCTGTTGCAAATGAAGCCTTCAACTTATGCTCGATGAGTATTGACGTTGCTACCCACAGTTCGATGACGTCTGAGACGAGATTATCCTGCTTCTCAGTCGACACGCTGCTTTGCTGGCGTTGTTTGATGGTTTGCGCAATCTGAAGACTCGCCCGCATGACAAGAGATGGTTCCTGATCCACGATTTTTGAGGAAATGGCCTGAAGATATCGCTCGACCTTTGGGAGCAAATTGTCCGTGTCGAGATCCATAACGACCATATCTTCTACTTCAATAGGGTATGGATGTCTGGTTGATGTCTCTGGCAGGGCGTCGGGGTCCGGTTGAAGGCCTTTCATTACAATCTTCTGGTCTGCGAAGTGGAAACATTCAATCCTCCCGGGAAAGGATGTAAAACGCACTCGGGTCTTCAACATGTTGACTTCGTGATACGCCAGAACTCCATGCAGCCCAAGGAAGTAGAGTGGAAAGGCCTCGCTGAGTCTGGTACGCACACAGGAATGCTTCCACAGGCGAGGACTTTCAACAGCAGCGCAGGTCTGACATGGTGTCTCTTGGGAGCACGTCTTCTTGAGCATGCGGCATCGCATGCAAGCACCAACTTTTCGAATTTCCCGGACTTCCTTACGGCGTTCAGGTGCAAATCTGCCACGGACTTTAGGCTTGGGGGCTTGTGAGAGCGATTCCGCGTTCTCAGAGAGCTGATCTGGTTGCCGAATCGGGTTCATAGCAATTGGTCGCAGATGTTGGTTCACGGATTCACCGTTTTGTGAGTGTAGGCCGTCTATTGCTCTTGGCGGAAGGGTTGGCAGATCTGGTGCGGGGACAGGCTGAGTGGGAATGGTCAGTTGTTCCATTGGCTGTGTCCCGAGCATTGCTTGCCACGGATATGGTTGTCGACCCTGCGGAGGAAAGCCATTTTCATGAAGTTCTCCGAGAAGTGCGGAAGGGACATCGTTTGACATATCCAGATCGGTGTCCATAATAGAGCCATTGTCAATTGTCGCATGCGCCGTAGCTGCAATTGAGGGGAGATCTTGTGGATGGGTGCTAACCAGAGGAAGACCAGCCAAAGCGCCTTGAGGAGCTGGAGGTATATTGCCCATGTAATGGTAGAGTGGTGGAAGGCTTGCAGGTGTGCTAGCAGAGAAGGCTGAGCAAAGCAGATTAGTGTTTGGCCTTCTGAAAGATACGCAGACGGGTTGAAAGGTAGACAAACCATTGTCACGATCATCTATACCATCATCATGCAAGAGAGAACGAGAAAAGGCGCCTGCCTCAAGTCGAGGATCAAGTGGTGCGTCCTCGTGTGGTCGAGCAATCCGGGCAGGGTGACCATCTCGATCTACAGAAGTAGAACCAGTGTTGCCTCGCGCGTTGCTACCAACACGACGAGAAGCCTCAGCGAGGACATTCAAGCCGTCAAAGTTCTGTCCATCCTGACCAAATGACAATGTAACAGCAGCATTGCTGCGATCGTCTTGCTTCGCCAGTGTTCCATCATTCTCAGCCGTCTGAGGGTTGTAGATAGGGTCGATGTAAGGATGGACGTCTGGGAGGGCTAGATCGTGAAGGCGCAGGATGATTTTGGTCCGCTCGGCGTGAGACACAGCCGTGCACTTTTTGGTCAGATGAGTGACCATGGACTCAGTGCGGCCTCGCGAAAAGTGCTCTCCGCATCGTTTGCAGGTCTGTTCATAACGGTTCGAGGAATCACCGATCTTGGCACCGCGTTCAAAGAACTCCGCCATCAGCGGGTTGGGTCGTCGTCCCATGGTCACAGATTCTGCCGATCCTTGTCCAAGAATTGTCAGTGCGCTCCGCTTGTATGATGTCGCGCAGTATCAGAATCGACTCACGAGATTGGGCAATGGATGAGTGTCTCCGCCGGCGGACAGAAATCGGACAAGGCGGTTGGTTGAGCAGTAGATAATGATGTCGCGCAGAGATGTCGGAGGGACGATGGGGTATTTGACGAAGCCGAACCCCAGCCCACGGCTTCGCTGAAGACGTGAACTGGGATCAGTAGAGTGCTTTTGAGTAGAATGACAACGACGACAGCGAGGACGCTGTTTCTACAATGTTTACCAGGTGCCTTGGTGGGTGCCAGGCTGCGGAAGTGAAGTGAAAATGTTGGCAGAATTTTGCGGTCCCTAAGGCGGTGTTGAGAAAGTTAGGGCGGTGAGCCATTTAGTCTCGGCCTCTATTGGCTGGCGGCTGCTCCCGTGCCAAGCTCCGGCGTGCGCCAAGGCGCCGAGTTCCCGAAGCCGCGATATATTCCATTCCCCTCTTCTAACCACTGCACTTCGAGCACTCCACGTCCAATATTCGCAAAGGCAATCGTGGTTGATGCAAAAATGCTATGCATAATTACTTCATCTTTGAAGTCGCCCCCTTCACACGTTCCTTTCCTCGGGCGGCCGGTACGGAACTCCAAGAATCTCAAAAATCTGCTTCTCATCGTGCCCTTCGATCAACGTCCCATCGTTAATTCGTTGTCGTCCACGTCCCCTCATGACGTCCTTGAATAATCCGTGCTGGTTCAGCCTCATCTGCTTCTTCCCTGCCAGGAACCTCATGCTCCGATTAAAGAGGTCGTTCCCAGTGAAGTAGATCAATGCTGCTCCTAGCTCCGCCCATGGTACAAAGAGGAAGTCGATCCGGCGCCAAACATTAGCACCTGGCAAGGCAGATGCTCCATGCCACTTCGACGAGCCGTCATCCGAAAAACTGCCACTAGCAAGTACCACTTTCAAGAACCCTTGAGCCATCAGTCCAGGGATAACAGCATCCAGCATCAGGGTACGAATATGGCTGATACCAGCCTCGGGCATCTGTCGAATCCGTTAGTCTGCTCCTCTATTTACAGATTCCCCCGAAAACAGTAACCACGTTCCAAGGAAGAAGAGAACTCACGAAGATGATGCAGTCAATGTCCCCCGAATCTTTGCTGCCTCGTCTATAAGAACCTCCGATGATCAATTGAAGATTTGGATCTGCAGCTTTGAGTGCTTTCTCTACTACCGCAGCGTGCTGCTCGACCTCGCCGCGAGGGATCCTCTGCAGGAAGTCATCATAGTGCTCGATGCCCACTCGTTGATTTACGTTCAGGTCGGCTTTCTCATAGACTTCTGCTAGGCATCGATAACCTTGCGCGATCCACTTCTGGGCGGTTGTCTCGCCGGCGCCATACACCCCCATGAAGAGCTTGACAATCTGATTCCTAGGATCATTCTGCGCGTACTCGAGTCGTCTATATTTTCCAGTAGAGACGATTTCTTCGATCTGCAACGCAATGCTCTCGCCAATACCGACCGCACGAGCTTGATGGCTGGTTCGAATCAACTCGCCTTGCTTCCGAAGTTTTCCTATTGCTTGCCGAAAAGCTCTTGTTCGCCACTGATCACCTGTTCGACCATAGGATGTTGCCATCTTTTGCAACTTCTGCATTGTTTCAGCATTCGGATTCTCGCTTTGGGTTTTTCCATCATGGCTTTCCATGCACAGGAATCCGGCGGCCTTCATGGGTGCTCTTCCATTGCTGTGTTCCTTGTTCAGGACGAGTTGAGATTCAGCTCCATCATCACTCCCGGAGTCCTCATCAGAATCAAGATGCAGACCGGCGCCATTTTGGACATCCTTTATCGCAATATCGAGTGGATCCTCATCAATATTTCCTTCAGGTTTCGACTTCAGTGTCTTGGGGCCCATTCCAAATTCGCGGCGAAGCTGAACGTTACTATCTGGTTCATTGGCAATCGGAAGCGATTTGTCTGCCCTTGGACCCTGAACGTTTGCTCTGCTGTCTATGTCAGGTGCAGCAATGCTACGACCTGTCTCTCTGATCGCATCTGAGCCTGGTACTTGAAAGCGGCGCCAACGCGTTTCTACAAGAAATCCAGATTTCCAGCATTCAAAAAGCCACTTTTGGCGCAAAAGAACCGAACCCTTCTATGGCAATTGTCAGCGTTGCAATCGTGAAATGAAGTGGCCACAAACCGGAATCTGTTTCGAAGGGAAAGATTTGGCTACTACTGTCACATCGAGGTCGTCCTGGGTGACGATGATGTGTGTGACTTCTTCACAGAACTTATGTGCCCACTGAGCACCATACTGGATAGACTGGTGGATGCGGATGCGGGCACCGGAATCATCATCATTATTAGGGACAAAAACTGACGATGCATTAGCCAGCTGAAGGGTGGCCATTGGACATTTACCATACAGAATACAAGTCCTTTGAATATCTGTTCCTCAGGGAGGATGGGCCCTATCTTGATCCGCTTTGGTAAGGGTTTCAACCTGGGGAGGCCCGACCCATTCATTCGTTCCGCTAGATTCGAAAGGTCTGTTATGTTTCTTTTCCGCCGAGTCTTCAGCTTTCCGGATGGGTCCAACACGGGAGAGGATGCCCTAGGGCGAGAAGATTGCAGTGCCGGACTCTGCTCAGGCCGAGGGATGGTTTGTGACAGCTTCCTCTTCCGTTGGTTTCCATCCATCTCACCCCTATTTTTGGTTGATTCGGTCCTAGGTGCTTTGGTATTGGGTATGGGTGGAGGCCTTTTGAGGGACTGTTTTGGCAAATACATTTCCGTTTTGCCGTCCGCATCGTCGAGACTGTCTAGGTGATACAAATCTTTGAAGAATTGATCTTTTTCTTTCTTCTTCTCTTCTGAGGACAACATCTTTGGCATATGTCGATGGTGGCATGGATTTGTCTGTTGTGGATGTGGGTTATTTCTATATACATTGCCGCATGCAGCGCAGGTAGTGACAGGAATCTGACTTCGCAGGTTGGTTCTCAATAACGGACCTCCCAGTGAATCAAGGCGGGGTGAGGTGGGACGAGCCGTTGTCTGTTTGTTACTCTACCCATTCACAGCTGAACACGATATTGACGCGCTGTCACATGACGCCAAGCAATCTTTCTGTAGAGAGCTTAAGCTGCAGTTGACTTGAAGCTCATAGAGTTTCACACTCACATGCCTGAATAAAGGTCGGGGGGTGATCAGTAGAGAGGCCATCAAGTCCGACCTTCAGTCCTTCGCATAATGGGCCGCAAGGACGTCCTCAGTCTCTTCGTCTCCCTTACACTACGCCCTCATAGCCGCTGCCTTTTGCGACTTCAAAATTTATCACGCAATACCTCAAGCTCGAATTCGCCGAGGACGGACAAAGCCCGAATCGAAATCAAGAAACCAACAATCCCCCTCCATGTAGGTCTGGACCGAAACCCTGAAAACCTCTCGGCTATTTCGAGAATTCCAATCCCACGAGGAGTGACGGGCGAGACATTCACCCCCTCGGTCCTAGCCCGCCCGCTCGGTCTCGAACGTCCCCCACGACCTGGTCAAAACAGTCCCATTGACAATCGCACCCTCCGCGAAAGACACGAAGAATTCACAAGCTACGAGAAGGCACTCGAGCGGCGGCGGGTCTACCTGCGGACTTTCTTCCGTCCTTACTTTCAAGAATGGCGACGGGTTGACCATTTTAAGGGGAAAAGTTTTGTCTCGAATGCTCGATTGTTCAAACGTGAAAAGGCACTTTACTTTCCCAACATTTGGGGCCAAACGCTGGCCAAAGAAGGTGATGGACCTCAAGGCGGACGTGACACGACTCCCCTTCTGATGGGCAAGATTTCTGTCATAGCTATGCAATCGGGCCATTGGGCGGAAGAACAGGTCGACACCTTCGTCAGCGTCAAGAATAATCCGGAACTGAACGAAATGATCGAAGAAAGCAAAGGTCAGCTGCAGAGAGTGGATATCAACCTTCAAGGTGACTGGATACGGGCTTTGCTCGTGAGAATGTTCCGTGGGCGTCTGAGAAAGACGATACCAGAAGAACGTTGGAGCAAGTATTTCACGATCAAATTGCCCCGGGATATTCGCCGCGGGCTTAATGATGAAGTGCGCGACGCGATGGGTCTCCTCAACTCTCAAGTCGGATATGTATATCTGGTAGACTCAAGCTGCAAAATTCGATGGGCAGGGAGCGGTCATGCATGGGAAGGAGAGGTTGAAGGTCTGAATGCGGCAGTTCGGAGACTGCTTCAAGAGGAACAAGATCTAGGACAGACATCCTCCCGAATTATAACCAAGTCCGTCACTCCAAAACCAAAAGCACCAACGGCGGAGATCAACAAGTCGACGGTAACCACCAAGAAGCGCAACGCCATGCCCGCGGCTATCACAGCATGAGCATGATTCCAATACCGATCGCGATTCCCAAAGCATCCCAATGCGGCGCCTCATCCCACCCACGAAACACACGCATTATTGCTCACAATTTTCCGGCCTCGTCCTAAATTTTCACGGCAGAGAATTAGCAATCCGTCACCCCCTGAGGATACGCACTCTTGCATATATCCGTAAAAGGGACACAAGGGGGCAACTGACCCACACTTCGGACATGGCTGGTCCGCCTCTGCCCCGTCAAGGATCTCATGTTGAACTTTACACTTCTTCAGATCCGTCACTTTCACGCTGCCGGTTCCTAAAGGAGATTTCTTGGGACTTGATGCTCTGTCGCACATCGAGTGGACATAGTACGGTGCTGGCCGGGCTGTGCCGGGACAGCAACTGAAGTGGTAGGTGTAGTATATGCACATATCGTCCGAGGTTCGCGTCTCGAATTGGAGGTCTGCAGAAAGCGACGGGGAGATGGCTGAAGGTGTCTTGGGTGCGTTTTTTCGGTCCGAGATTGAGAAAATTCGAGAGTGGCGGAAGGGTCGACCCCCGGGTGTGGTGAGTTGAGAATATTCCGGCGAGCGCTGACAATGACGGGACCAACTATGGCCGCTTGTCTCTAGAATATGTTCGCAAGAGATGGTCTTGCACCCTGTTGTCGTTTGGGGTCTGGAAGTCCGGTTCGCGGTCTGATGCCAGTTCCGGTACGGACTCTTCTGCTGAGAAGAACTGGAGAGATTGATATTCCATATCCTTATATGCGCATGGGCGATAGTTTGCTTTCGCCGGCGACGTGGGCTTCTGCGCCGACTCTGTCTCACAGACTCATGAGGATCTCTATGCTCATTGTTCTCCAGAGACGGCGCGCGAACCAAATTGCAGAATTTCAATGGTGGGTTTTGGCAGGGACGTTTGCAGCCACGACGACAGCCGTTTCCTTCTGTCTTTTTTTTTTTTTTTTTTTTCGTATTGCCTTTGTTATGACGTTGAGAATGGATCCAGCCCAGCCCAGCCGAGACAATGGAGAAGTCTGTGCAATTTTACGAACGGAGTATTTCAACAACGGCGGACCCGGAACAAGAGGGATATAAATCCAGGGTGTTGTCCACGGGTGGCCGAAGTCGAGGGAAGGTATGTATGGCGGGACACAAAAAGGTTCTAGTATTGAAAATGGGGAAAGGACGGATGATGTATGCAGGGCCACATGGGAAAACAAAAAGCTAAGTAGTAATATGAATAGATTGGGAAGGGGATTGGGATTCTAAAGGATGCCCGTTTACCAAGGCACCCACAAGGGAATGTTTGATGAAACCCTGTGGCCAATCGCCTAAGTACTCCACTTGCACAGGGTCCATTGACGGGGAGAGAGGAGGGGGAAAAAAGAAAAAGAGAAAGATACAAGAAGGAGACGAGGACGAGGATGAGGACGAAGCAGCCTTGGGACCTTCGTTCATTAGCTGAATGGGCCTACCATTCTCTCCCAACGTGGTCGCGGAATTTTCGACTTTTCGCCTCCTCGCCTTGTTTATGCTGCCCTTGTTCCTGGCAGCCGGCATACTGGGTACAGCAGACACCATGTGTACCAAGCCGACATTATTATTCCACGTACCTCTCTCCCTTTGACACCGGACCTATTACGTAGCCCGTGGACATTTTCTAACCTGTATATATGCATGCATGCATACCGACGACCTTAAAGCCCCCCCATTCAGCTCCAGGGACGTTAAGGTGCGTGCATTGCCGTGCGCAGAGAGGATCTAGTCAGTCCTCTACTTGGGAGAAGAAGACCAAGTACTGGGTAGTCGAGCACAGAGGCAAAGGCGGGAAACCGGGAGCGGGATTTTTGCCTCCCCCCCTCCATGGCGGGACAGGACAGGACAAGATGGACAAGCCCAGCAAACTAATGGTGGTCTGTGTGTCTGTTGCGTGTGCGTGCCAAATGCCACCGCCAACATGTTACATTGGTCGAAGAAAAGGGTCTTGAATGGTCCAAAATGGTCTCAGCGTCTCTCTCCCCGAGGGGGAATGAGCGCATGTCGGTTCCCTGTTCTGGCTACAACATACACCGATACATCATCCGGAAAAAAAAAAAGCTTGACAGGAATAATTTTTTTTCATGGTTCATCAGTCTTCAGTCTGGTCTTGTTACATGCTTTGCCGTCCTCTCGAGTCCCCTGAGAATCTCTCACTCACGCGCAGTCTTTGGTTCCCAGTTCAGCCGGAATGTTTAACCCCCCCCCCCTCTCCCCCAAAGCGCTTCCTTCTCATTAGCAACTCTTCCGGGCCCTGACGTTTGCCGATTAGGAGGCGGGACCTCCCTAAAGTTCTACAAGTAAGCCTAGGTATTATCTCACGAGAGCTGGCATCTTTCTTTCCTTTTCCCGACGGTTTCTCTCAAGCGATCCCGGACCTTCCCATGCGGGACGCGCTGAGCGAAAGCGCGCCAGCGGTCTCAAGTACATACAAGTATATCCATGCGATGGGAAGTACGCAAAAGCGCACGTACCTATTAAGCGTCGAGGCATATACCTCGAGCAGAGGGAAAAAGAAGTGCCTGGTCGCATTGTTAGCTACAATCCATTCATACTTCCGTACCTTGGAACGCTTACAATGCAGAACGGGAGATGGAGCGATCTGGGATCCATGGCCCTCGTATAAAGGCCGTTATTATATTTCATTCGTGCGGGAAGTGGCCGGAACAAGCGAAACGCAGGGAAGCGAGAATTGCGAGCCGAAAAGCCGTGCGAAGGAGATGAATGTCAGATGGAGAATTGGTACGAATATAATACTACGTACTTACGTACTTGGTAGGGTGTGGTACCGGGGTACCAAACACACACGTACACATGAGTACTCCTTACTCCATATTAGGTCCAAGGAGGAACAGAATTGCACTCCACGGTTGATGTGATGTGACGCGCGTCCCGTCTGTTTGCAAAGGAGGGAGAAGATGCAAGACAATACTACGTAGGCAAGGCAAGACAAGGTCCCCAAAGAAAGGCAATATAAGAAGACATTGTTTCAAGTCCTCGGGTTCCCGTTCGCAAAGCTTCTACTTGTTACGTCCGCAGGCGATCAAAAGGTCCTCCTGGGTGGCTCCGGAAGGAAGGGTTATTACTGTACTTGTACAAGCAGGTATCTCGCAGAGACTGGACGAACGAGCCAAACGCCAAACGCCTTGATGCGGAGCGAGTGGCGCCGTTTGGGCCTTCCAGGGAATCCCGCCTGCTGGGCGACGGGCCGTGTTATCCGAACAAGGTCTTTTGGGCAGAATACCAATCCGCACCTCCGATCAGGTACCGTAGTATTACGCCGTCCCATTCGCAGGAGGAAAGTAGTAATACCTGCCTGTTGTTTGGCAAGGCTCTATAAAGGCCAAGGCTGAACCCGGTCAGGGTGAGGTGAGAAAAATACGGACCACCCCGATCTGGGGGAGCAACACAACACAGAGAAAAGGATTTCCCGTGGCAATGGCAAGGGCGACTCGCCTTCACTCGCTCTTGGACTGCTCATTCATTTGCAACGACTTCATCGTGCAAAGACCATATTCTACTGTCTCCGCTCGGTGTCCTGGAAAGGGATCTTGCTGGGAAGCGTCGATATATACAAACACTATGACGCAGAGCAGGGGAATGAGAAATTTGCAATGCACAGTGACAAGCAATAGATTGACGTTGTTGCATTGAATGGCTGCGTGCGCCGTGCACCAAACCCAGATCCCGCAATCCATCTCCCAGGCGCCATATTGATCTTATAAATAAAGCTCTGCAAAACATGTCGCTAGCTTTGCTTCCCGACCAGCTTCGTGACAATATTGTTACAAGCACATCTTGCAGACCACGCCGAAAGCGGCCCCTTCCCTTCGATAGAGTGATAAAGTCAGATGCGGCCACTCAGTTTCATGTCTGATGTTGCAATCTCCTGCCCATCTGGATTCTCCTGCAAGCCCGCTTCAGAATGCGAGTAACCGGATGACTTTTGATTTCTTCTTCTTATATCTGCCTCCCTAAATGCATTGACACCGTCTCAGAGGATAGTCCTGCTTGGACCTGGTATGCATGTAAGGACAATTCCTTAGCTGTTTTCAAGTCTTGAAGCCTGTCCAACCACACATTGATTTTAGTTTGACGGGAACCCCTAGTCAGTGACTAGTAGATCTTCGACGGTGCGCTAAAATGTGAACTCTTTCTGAAAATGCTGGCTCCAATGTCCATATGTGGTGTCCATAGAGTGCAGGAATATCGCTGAGCTGGGCGCCTTGAGAAGCTGAACCACCGACTTGAACGGGTGGACATTGATGGGATCCTCGAAACCCTGATGAGGTTGGTGCCCTCGAATGCACAACACCCGATAGCTGTCTTCAAGTGGTGCCATCACCATTGTGTGCTACTAGCTGAAATAAAGCAGGATCAGGAAACAAAATGCGATGAAGCTCCCGAGAATGATTCCGTCTCTTCGCCTCTTTGACCCGATCCTCTGAATCAACCCATTCACACCGGGAATCTGGGCCGCGGCACTGGTAATACGTCGATTGATGCTCGCCAGAGTCTCTCTCTGGATGCCAAAATTCTCGTTGATGGCATACGCTTGAGATAATACCCCGTCAATAACATTATGACTTTGGTCCAGTCGAGTCCGTTCTTGGAGCATGTACTCGGCTTCGGCCTCGGCTGGATTGGACGATCGAAAGGCGTCAATGTCGGATCGCACATTCGCGAGAAGATGTTGACGGTCTCGAGCTTCCGAAATGGAGCCTTTCAAGCGGCGAAGTTCCTGACGGTGTTCGCTGAGGACTTCGCGGTGGCGGGAGAGGTTATTCTGCTTGAGGCTGGATGTGCTCAAGGCGCTTTCGGAGTCGAGTAGGCGGGCGAGTTGGGAGACTAATCCTTCACGCTGTATGTCCCAAACTATTAGAATGGAAACCGAGAAACCGGAATGATCGAGCAGTGTCTCCCACCTTTTCGAGCAACTCTTGTATTTCCGCTTCGTTCCTTTGTTCATCGTCTGACGGTGTTGGGGGCAGATTGGGAGTGGAGGCATATTGTGAATAGGTATGGAATAGAGCTTCAGTCTTGCAAAGTCAATCAGTCATATGGCAGATCTCCAAGGCAATATAGCCAACATACCTGGCTTTCCAGCGTCCTGATCTGTTGACGTAGTTGCGCCCATCCCGTAGTGGTTGCCATTGCAGGAGTCAGTCTCGCAAGGGATGGGGAACAACCTCTGGTCTGCTATCAACTATAACCGTGGATACATCACTGTGCTCATCGTTCCCAAGTTGTCCATCGAGAGCAACTTTTCGACGTGAATTATAAGGTGATCTCGTCGTTGCAGGCACTCGATCTTCGAAGTTCCCACCATGTCCTCCTGACCTTGCCTGACCAGGCCAACTCGCGCAAGTGGCATTAGCGGAACTTGCCGCAGCTCTTACACGTGATCAACAAATCTTGGCATTAATCGGGCCTTGCGCACAACAATTTTCCAGTCCGCGACCGACAACGACATCAAATCTGCAAACGCTCCTCACGAACCTCGACATCGACAAGTTTACTAATAAGCCAAGATGGTGTGCACCCCTTCCCGCGTCTTTGCCAAAATAGTTTTGCTGACAAGCCATAACGCAGTCGACCAACGCCAAAGTCAAACCCGGCCAGCTCTGGGGCAAGTCCAAAGACGACCTGAAGAAGCAACTCGACGAGCTCAAGACCGAGCTGGGACAATTGCGCGTGCAGAAGATCGCCGGCGGTGCCTCATCAAAATTGACAAGAATGTATGCAGCAGATCGACGGGGAATTCAAAAACGACCCCCTTCCTCTCGAGCCCCAAAGGTCGTCAGAATGCCATTGAGGACTTGAAGTACTGATCATATGGGTTATACAGACACGACCTCCGCAAGTCCATTGCCCGCACCCTGACCGTGATCAACGCAAACCAACGCCATCAACTCCGTCTGTTCTATGCGAAGAAGAAGTACCTGCCCCTCGATCTGCGACCCAAGTTGACCCGCGCAATCCGTCGCCGACTGTCGAAAAAGGACGCCAGCAGGGTCACGGAAAAGCAAAAGAAGAAGCAGACGCACTTCCCCGCACGAAAATACGCTGTCAAGGCCGAGTAAGGTGCCAGTAGTGAGTGGGAGGAGAGGATGGTCCAAAGGCTTCGGGTGAAATGATCATTGGGTGAGAGACGTCACTCGGAACAACGGTGACGGTGGTTTGTGGTTCGAACGGCTATGTGATGAAGAGGAGCTTTCCCAGCTCCGGTTTATGCGCTTTGTCTTAAGCTGTCTGTGGATGTCGAAAGACACAACGAAATGGCTGGCGGGTTTAGGGCCTGTGTCATGCGTCGCCGAAATGACAATGAAAAAGACGAACTCAATATTTACTTGAAGACGGTTACAAAGTATTTCGATACGGTTGTCATTGGTGTTCAGAACCGAGCACGTCGCGCTCTGCAGCTCTGGCCAAAATCCACCCTGCGGAGTATTGTGATCTACTTGTGAACCTTATCCCAAGGCATGAGCACCCAACTCCCATCGCAGACACATCTCATGAGTAGCATAGCAACTTGTCTAGGCCACTCCCGAGGCGGCACATTGACATCCTCACTGTAACTCCCGCATCTCAAGCATTTTCTGACCATCAGTTGCCCTGGCCCGTTAGGTTCCGCCACGCCCTTTGAAATCGGTCTCTTTCGATGCACATCGTAGATGACCTCTTTCTTACCGGAGTCTCCATCGGTGCTCTGTCGACCCAGGATATCGTGATTCAAGAAGATATATTCCAAATCGACATGATCGATGAACAGCTTGACTCGATCGATCAACATCTTGGCCCGGAGTCCCTGAGCGCTATTGAACAGCGTGTTGAGCAGCACCTTGACCGTCCCTTGGTACGACTGGTGCACAATTCCCGTGGCCATCATCTCGAGCTGGCGGACAGCTGTGGCGGCCATGTCCCTGTCCACGTCGCCCACCGCAGACCATCTGTATTCAAGAAGTGCCTCCATGGCTTGGAACGACAGGCCCTTCCCGGATGTTTGTTGTTGGATACATTGTAGCACTTGCAAATGGTGATTTGATTTCGGTTCTGTGTTTTTCGCGTAGGCCCTGACGGCTCTGACAAAAGCGATCAGAAATATGCGCGAAGTATGACAGTTCAGAAGTAAGGCGACGAGACCCTGGCTCCCATCGCCCAGTGAGTCACCCGCTCTGCCAGGATCTTTCTCATCGAACATTTCCGGGTTCGTCTCCCGATCGCCTACCTCCAAAATGGTGCTAATGATAAATCTCATAAGCGATAAACCCCACCGGAGATTCGAGCAGAGCAGATCTGTCAAGTCTTGGCTCATGACGAGCTGAATATTCTGCACATCTCTCATGGCCATGAAAAGTAGGGTTGCAGTCTGTCGGATGTTGTTGACCAACCAAGCCCACTGTGCGCTCAGTGACCAACAGCCATTTCTCCTATCGGTGGAGGCAATTGAAGGCAGTTGAGGACAGTTCGCCGCCAGACTTGCATGGTAAGACAGGACTCTTCCCATTACGGTCTTATGGATAACCTTTTCGAGTTCCGAGCCTTCAGTCCTTTCGTGTACAAAGTCGCTATCGCGAAAGAGCGTTCGATACACGGTCGAAATCACCGTGGGGATGAGTTCGGTCGGAACTGACTGTGAAACACACATGAGGATGTCGTCAATGGTGGCGTTGGACCAGCATGCTCGCGCGAAGGTGAGGTTCAGGGATGCAATGGCCACGTCGATGTTTGGATCTAGCGGCTGCAGTGATTGAGGTTGTCCTAACTGGTATTCCATGGAGAAAAGTTGCGTTTTCCCGTCCGGCGCCAGATCTGCCCTGACACAGGTGTTAGGAGAGAAGGCTGGCGTGAGAATAAACTCAGCGTAAGGAAATGCAAATCCAGATTGAGACATGGATGTGGTCTCCTGGGCCAACGAGGCATAGGACATTGGCGATAGGTCCTCTGAGCTTAAGAAATCAATGCGGTTTTCTTGCGTTGTGACGACGATCGCCTGGACACCGTCCACATGGTGAATCGTCGTGATAACCTGTTCCTCTTTATCTGGTAGCCTCTGAAGAGAGTAGGTAGACTTTGATGCGGTCACCCCGGGACCTATGGATGGTAGGGCATCAAATAGCGGGTGCAGCTTTTGTTGGACGGGATTGACCGCCCACCTCTTGATCATGCTCGATACCAAGAAGCCCGCGTCTGGAATATTGACAGTTCTATTGACACCGGTACAGATGGCAAGAATTGTGGGAGGCATCTGGACCGCCTTTTCAACATCAGAAGTGCGCACAACTTCGAGATGGCTAAGTAACCACGAATCTGGGTCGTATGAATCAGGAAGAGTGGGAGACCCAGAGGGCTGTGACGAGACATGGTTGGAAATTGATTCGACAGTCAGGACCGGCAAACCCTCGACAGCCTGCTTCACTTCATTCCAATCTATCGAGAGGAAGTAAACTGAGATGACCTTTTTGAACGAGTGCAAGGTGATCAGCATCTTTCCTTCGAGGGTGGGGGCAAAGCTGGCGTGACTGTAAAGCATATCGTCTGGTGGCGACAATTGCTTGGTGACCTTGGAATACTGTCCGTCACCCCTCTGGAAGCAAAGCGTGAAGAGGCCATTGCGGTGGACGATGGCAACAGCACGATGCCAATATGGGCCGAGCGGTTTGGCTCTTGCATTGGTATGCTGCCATCGGTCGTCACCCTTGAATGCGTTGATAACAACATTTCTTGGTCTTTCTTGCCGATCCTGGTTTAACCACGTCATACCAACCGGCTGGGAATACTCGTCGCCATCATCCAGAGCGCCTTGACGAGCAAGGATCAGGCGGTTGATGGCGAGCGGAGAGTTGTGATATACCCATATCCTTCCCTTGACATCGACCACGGCAAGTTCACCTCCGTTTGGGCTCCAAGCCAAACTGGCGGCGTCTTCGAAGAGGGTGGTCAAGGAGTGTCTTTCATGGAGACCCCACGACTTTGATTCATAGTTATAACGAATGCACTCCAGATAGACAGTGGATCCATCATCGGATATGCTGGCAAGGTGGCCATGTCTCGACCATGCTATACGCTCCAGACAGCCACAATACCAACGGCGGGAGAGTTTGTCGACGACTGCTGGGTTTGGAGGAAGGGCAACGTTTGAGACAGCATTCAGATCGGCGGTCGCCTCGATTTGTTGAATTTGCTGCTGCAGCGAGTTTTGGTCGAAGAAAGACTCGGACGCAAAATCGTCTGCCTGGTCTTGATCCATTTGATTGGGCAACCTGGAGATATTGGCATAGCATCAGACCCTCATCGGCAACTTATAGTTTGCCCAAAGGAATCATGGCGTCTTGGGTGGGTTGTAGATCGGAAGAGGAGAAGCGGAGTTGCGTCCAACTCAAAGTGTCAGGCTATACCGGGTAGTGATTTTTGAATTGACTCGAATCAGCCAGATGTGAAGTAGGATATTCAGGAGCCGCTAAGTTGGAAAGGGAGTGTGTCGTGGACAATGGAAGTCAATGGGTCTTTTTTTTGCGAAAGGCTGAAACAGGTGGCCAGCGGCTAGGACGAGAAAAGAGCTCACTAGCCACAAGCCACAGGGGAGCCTCCGGGGGGGGGAGGGGTCCTTTCTAGGCGGTAGCCGCGGTAACAGTAGCGAGAATGACGTTTCTAAGTAAGGTTCACGTTGTTGACTGGTGAGGCCCCTTGGCAGTCACCGCACATCGGTGAGAGTCAGGCACACAACGGCCCCTAAGAAGCGCCCCTGGCCAATCGCCTCGCCGGCAGCAGGGCTCGAGGGTGAGGGCTGCGCATGCCACCAACCTAGTGGCCCCAGGCATTAAGCATTCCACTCTCCATGCTCCATGCCCCTCGTTGCCCCCGTTCTGCCCCATTGTGCTGTTGTGCAGCTGCAAGCAAGCCGGTCAAACAGAGTTTGGGCCACAAACCACCAAACCGCCAAACCCGCCAAACCACACCACATCCCGGCGTCGGGCATCTGTCAGGTCCAAGTGCAAACAGCCAAAACAGCCGCTGACGCTGGCTACGAGGCCCCAAAGAGCCCCCCCCCCCTGGCTCCTCCCCTGCTCTTCCCGTTGTTCGCTATCTGCTGTCCATTTCCCAGTTCAGTCTCGACTCCTCCCGGCCAGCCTCATCCTCCAACTACCTCCCAAACTGCACCTCTCAGCTCATCCTTATCCAATTTACTCTTCACTTGACGCCCTGTCGACTCTTCACTCTCTCTCAAGTTCAGAATAACAACCTTATTGTCTTCTGTATAACGAAATTGGTCACTGCACGGTCGGCCCAGTGAAAAGAGTCGCTCCTTCCCGAAGTCATGCGATAAAATCGCTCGTTTACCGTTTACCCTCACCAAAACAACACAACCTCAACCCGCCATGGACGTTGATGATATTTCAGATCTCTCGTCCCCTTTGAGCTCTCCGCCTAGTTCTCCTCTCAGTTCTCCTCCGACTTCGCCAATACTGCCTCCTGGCTTTCAGGTTCTCACCCCTCCTCCCTCACAGCATGCTGGCGACGAAATGCCTCGTGCGCGAAAGCGCCGGAAGATTGAGCCAAAGATCCGCACAACCCAGTACTTGGATCTCACTTCAGACACTGCGCAGTCCGAGTACGACCGCTCAGAAGCTCTAGACACTCTTCTCAAGGCCTTGCGACACAGGAGAAAGATCGTGGTCATTGCAGGGGCGGGCATCTCTGTCTCGGCCGGTATCCCGGATTTCAGGTCTTCCAACGGACTTTTCAAGAGCCTGCGAGGGGAACACAAGCTGAAGAGCTCTGGCAAGATGCTGTTTGATGCTTCTGTCTACAAGGATGACCATTCGACCTCCAGTTTCCACGACATGGTCCGCAAGCTCTCAAAGATGTCTGAGGATGCCAAGCCCACTCTCTTCCACCGTTTTCTGGCTAGGCTCGCCGTTGAGGGCCGATTATTGCGACTGTATACTCAAAATGTCGACGGTCTAGAAACCTCGTTACCACCTCTCGCTACTCAAGTGCCTCTCAACTACAAAGCGCCCTGGCCGAAGACGATCCAGCTGCACGGTGGGCTCGAGAAAATGATGTGTCAGAAATGTAGACACATTTCCGATTTTGACGCCAATCTGTTTGACGGAGCCGCCCCTCCACTTTGTCCTCAATGTGTCGCAGCAGATGCGTTGAGAACAGCGCATGCTGGGAAGCGAAGCCATGGCATTGGTAGATTGCGCCCTAGAATCGTCCTCTATAATGAACACAACCCGGATGACGAGGCAATTGGCGCAGTAACCACGGCAGATTTCCGAACGAGACCCGATGCGGTCATTGTGGTTGGCACTAGCATGAAGATTCCAGCTGTGCGACGCATTGCTCGTGAGATGTGCCAAATCGTGAGAGATAGGCGGGAGGGTACCACGGTATGGATCAATCTAGATCCCGTGCCTCCCGGAAAAGATCTCGAAAACTGCTGGGATCTCATTGTTAAAGGCGACAGTGACGAAGTGGCGCGATTGGCATGCTTGAAAGAGTGGGATGATTCCGGTTCTGACGCGGCCGAGAATTATACAGAAGCCGATCTTGATAGGGTCAAGTCGAGTCAGGGTGAGATTGAGGTCGTCATACCACCCAGCCTCAAGAAGAATGGGGCCGCGGCTCAACCATCGCCAGACTTCCATGCGATGACTCCCCCACGAAGTCAGAACGGAGATGCGCCTACGAAAACGACAAAGGGACCCAAATCTACGACACTTTCGCCAATCCGAATCACACTCAAAGTTACCGAGCGGAGCCAGCAGGTCGCGGTGAAAAATGCAGCCAGCACTGGAAGATCCATAGCCGAACTTCTTCGTGGAAAGGAGAATAAAGACAAGCCTGCGAAATCCAAGACTTCTCTGAACAGGAAGCCCAGAGTCACCAAGATCAGAGCATCTACGAATCCTGGAAACAAAGGAGTTATATCTGGAAAGGTCACAAAACCGGTTGTTGCAGCCAACAACGCGGGATATAAGAAGCCCCTGCCTGAACCATTGTCGCCGCGTCGCGATGCCAACGAGACATTCATCGAGGTACGCAGATCAGAGTACTCGAGCGTGGAGGTGAGTCCAGCGCCGGAGACACCTCCATCGACGTCGACGCGTGAAGAGTGGCGAAATGGCGAAACGGTATCTCCGACCGGGAGGATACCGTCGGATATGATCAAATTGTTGAACTAGATTATGTGGAATATGGAGTATATAAATATCCTGACATGCCGTGGTCGTAGTCCAAAGGCTTCAGGAATCACTTATGGGCGATTGATTTGCATGATGCTTTTTCAGGGCATGGGCAGCATGTGGCAAGGGCAAGGGGGGGGGTGCTTGCATTGTCGATCACGGAGTTGCTATGGGAAAACGGAACCGGATTATATTTCTTTCTGTCAGGAATGATACCATTGCGCTACGACGCAGCAAACCGTGGGACAGGCTGGCTCTTTGACGAGAACAGAGACAGCTGGCAAAGAAGGGCATCAGATACCCCAACATTGGGACCCAGGATACACTTATGATTTGCATTTGCATTTACATGGGCGTCTCGACTTCAGCAGACGGCCTGCTCAGCGGAGGGATGACCCTTGATCCGGCATCGCCCTAATATCGGAATATTACCCGCTAAAAAAGTACATGGCATCAGGACAAGAGGAGCAGAGAACAGGCTTTGTACAGAGCAGCATTCTTCATGAGGTCTACGGAGAAGACTTCCAGGCGCTCGGAATGCTGCAATTCCAATATAAAATATTTGAGTCCCCCCACTTTACTTGATTCAAGCAAGTTTCTGTGCCTTCTTTCCTCCCCCAAGAGATAAGAGACTGAGAGAGTCATGGCAAAGAACAGGCTCAATCCGCGGGTCTCGTTCGACAGAGGTCTTTTTACATACATACTTTGCTGAACCCCTTCGCGCCTCGAGTTCCTGCCAATCACAGTCCTCATGCCCTTTTCCACGCATGAGGCGATAGATCGAAAAGTGAGCCACTCTGTTTCAAAACATTCTTGTTCTATCAGGCCAGGCCTGTGCCATTGGAGTTACTCCGGAGTATGATAAGTGGGACTATCAGTCTTGAATGAACATCAACAGGGATTATGATGATGGATCTTATGAGGTGTTGGGTTCCCGGGTTCAGGTATGTATGTATGTGTATATATATATATATGTGTGTGTGTGTGTGTGTGAGACGTTTTCTGTACCTACATAATGCGTAACGATGGGTATGGAAAGGATGTCCATGGGATAGTATGTCCATGGAATAGTAAACATTAGATAGTAACACATTACGCCGAATACGCGACGCACAACTCATGATGCGTGACATGTACATTAACAAACAACAAACACCCAATGTCTTTCTAATATAATCACACACCGCACGTAAACACCAGAACCAGTGCTGTGGGATGGTCGCATCATGCTTGACAACAAGACAGACGAGGCAGCTTGGGTATTGGAGAGGAACTTATAAACCCCGGCTCGTAGAGTCTCATCCATCATCTTTCGAGGTCGAATCAAACGAACCAGTCCAAGTCAGCGTCCGTATCAGAGCGCCTGGCCGTACGTGTACCATTCGTCCATCGTTGGCCTTGCTCCCGACGAGCCCGCTATATCACTCGCGCGTAATCTCCTCCCTCTCCTCCCACCTCCCATCCCCATGCTCACCCCTGAATCGCGGTGGCTCGTGTACTCCCGGCTGCTGCGCGAACTGCTGCTGTCTGCGCCCGCGCGCTGCCATCCGGCAGGCATACCGTCGCTTATGCGCCATGCCGAGTCGTGGCCAGGGCTTTCAATCGCGTCGTTTTCGTCCCCGGGCCCGGGGAGCAAGGATGTGAGCTGGCTCTGAAGCTGGGGCTGCTGCCCTAACGGACCTGTGGTGGCTGTGAGGTCGTAGGACTCGTCGCTTCCCTTGCCGAGTGGCATGTCGAGGTGAGGAGGATAACGTTTGTCGCTAACCATTGCTTTGTCGGGCACGGTGGGGCCGTTGGTGGTACTCTGCTGCTCCGTGGAGACCATCTCGTCTCTCCCTCTCCTGCCGTGACTATTGCCGCTGGACGTCATGGGGAAGGGCGGGTAGGCGCTGTAATCGTCGTCTAGAGGATCGTAAGAGAACGAGTACCGTGCGGCGGCACCCCTGCTCAGACCCCGCGGCCGGCTTTGCGGAGGCGAGTAGCTCGGATCGCGGCGAATTTCGCTTGACAGCGGAGACGGAACGGTAGGCCGGTTGGCGTAGGTGAATGCAGCTGCACCAGGGAGGGCAGACCCAAGAGCGCTGTTGCGCCGAGAGCGAGGAGGGGGAAGTGGTGTCGAAGGAACTCCATAAAGGTCCTGTTCTCCGCTAGGTCCGGCGTCATATGGGTGTTGTGGGACAGCATCTCTGTAGGGTTGACCGTAGTCCCTGGTCGTCATCCGGCTGGAGTCGAATCTTTCGCTGGGCATGGCCTGTGGGGTTCGGGTGCGACGGTTGCTGCTGTTGCTTCGACTTCGCGAGCGGTGGCGATCTTGGGTGTCACGATATCCTAGAGCTGCATCCACACCGAGTCTAGCATCGAGTCCTGCTGTGGCAGCTCCAAGCCCGTGATCATCGTGCCCTAAAACCCCGTCGCTGTGACGAGCATACTCTTGGTCGAATACCGCGTTGGCTCTCGCGGAGTCACGGCTGAAGCGTCGCCCACTCTCGCCACTGCTTCTCGTAGGGATCATTGTCAGAGCAGCCGTCTCGGCGACGTGGTCGATGGGAGAGGGGGGAGAGTAGGGCCACGGTTCGCTATTGTTGGTGTAGTTGACGTGTACGGGTTTCCGGTTGATTTGTGCTGGAACAGTTCGGTTGTTCGCTGGCGGCGCATTGACTACTGGCGGGTTCTCGTCTTCGTGTTCATCATAGTGATGTATAAAATCAGTTCCAGCTGCTGCCGCTGCGATCCCTGCTGCAATTCCGCCCGGGTGATGCGTGCTATAGGTTGACGAAACGCTGTGAGATCGGGAGGGTTTACCAATCTCTTTCACAAAAGGGTCATCCGCAGGGACCATGCCGTCGGTCAAACCGGGTCGAGAATTTGGAGCTGTCCGTCTCGGTGGCGGAGGCACAGGGACAAATGGATTCTCGTGTTCTTGAGGATTGCGAAAGGCTGGATGTTCGGACATGAGAGGTGCAGCTCCGGCACGTACCAGGCCACGATGTAGCGAGCCTTGACTTGCGCCTGTACTTGATGGCCGGTTCACTCTCCAGCTCTCGACTTCATCATCGCCTGGGGAGAGGGCGGAATGGCGAGGTGAAGAGCTGAGTCGGCGACGTTTGGAGCAAATGACCAAGGCTAATACCAAGAACCCGAGTGCAAGAGCTCCCAGGACGCAGCCCAGGATAGTTGGGAGATTGGAATCATGACTGGTTTTTTTTAAGGAGGGTGCGCCTGTTGAACTCCCCGCGGCAGCTCCAAGCACTGACGATGTTCCTACTACCGGGGATGGCAGTGTCAGAGAGGATGTGGTGGAAGACGACCTTCGTGAAGAAGTCAAGGAGCTGGTATATGGCGTGCTAGAGGATGTGATGCCAAAGGCAGCAGATGATGAAGACGTCAAGGCCAAAGAGGGCGATGAGCTTGAAGAGACCAAAGATGAGGTCGCCGGTGCAGATGAAGTCGAAGGCGGAATCAGAGAACTTGAATCTTCGCTTGACGTGGAGGAATATGATGTTGCAGTATATTGTGCACTGGAGGTTGACGAATCCCCAACCGTCGAGGAGCTTGCCGTTGCAGACTCGGCTGCCGCTGAAACCGCCGAAGCAGCAGAGGACAGAATTGAATTAACTTCTGTAAAGACAGAATAGGCCTCAGAAACAATGACGCTTAAAGGATCGAATGGTTGTTGGGCGGCCACGAGAGCAAAGAAGGTTGGCGCGAGCAGCGAAACCGGAAAAGCCTTCATATTATCAACAGCAATTGCCAGGCGCCGTTTGAGGGTATTAGTGAAACATCCGTGAGTTCAAAGCAGGTTGATGATTCCTCGCTTCGAGTCTGCAACAGATTCAATCAAATCGTTGCGTACAACATTGAAGGTGTTGCGACAGGCTTTTGCAAAGGAAAGAGAGCGACTTCACGGGAGATTGAGAAAATGTAATCCCTACCTCTATGAGAAGAGAGAGAAGATGATCATCTCCAAGACGCACACGGATACCATACATATCCAACGATCGCGGCAGCGTGGCCACCTCGGATGTTGATCGCTTGAGACTCATCCTCGTTAGGGTCTTCGTGTCCTGCGCGGCTGATGAGGACGATGTGCTCGAACTAAAGACCACGCCAGCAGGGAAGAAAGCAGGGAAAACCAGTCAACTCTGATCGTTTATGTTCTGGATCCAGATCCTCGGACATGGCTGGTTGGCGGCCGCAGATATGCCCAAGGGGACTCTGGGACAGACCCCAAGCTAGTCCGAGCGATGGAAGATTCTTCGGGGTGCGAGTGGTGGCTTGCTGGAGGTCTAGATGGGAGGAGGCAGGAAGATCCGATGCAGGGACGTTCGTGGTTGTTCAAGAGCTCTTGTCTGACTGGCTGCAACATGTGGCTGCGTGGCTGTGCTATAGTAACCGAAGAGCCGCTAGTGGCAAAACCAGACAAACCAGACAACCATCCAGTTGCTGGCACCATCGATTGTCTGCCGAGGAATTGTCTGTGGTGGGAATAACGCTCTTCCTACTGAAACACCCTTGTTCCAAGGATGGTTCTTCCGAAGGGAGCTTGGCAAGATCAGCAAAAGTCGAGCAATAGCAGTAGCCAACTCGCCGACTTCCTGAAGCAAGAGCTCGAGGTGGCAAAGGCGAACAATTCGGGACGATCACTCACCTGGAGCAACATGGAAGATATTTTTAGAGATGCTTGCATGCTCAATGATGCCATGCTAATCCGTGTGATAAAGACCTGCTCCAAGTGCTATCTGCCTAGCCGACCATAGAGTCAGAACGAGCTGGGGGTTGATATGTTTGAAGAATTAGCCTAAATGCTCGATTGGAGGTTTCTTGTCGACATCGAACGGTTCTTCTCAACTGCTATTTGCTTCCTTTCCTTTTAGCGAACGAATCCGAAGTCGGGCCAGCAGCTGGGTGTTGACAGGTTCAGGTCTCCAACTAGCGGACCGTGATTGAGTGCCTAGATATAGCGTTTATAGCAGCAATATTGCATGACAGGCATTGCACCAGGTGATGGCAAGCCCCATGATGCTCTGCTTCGATCCTCAGGAAGCGTGGGAGCTGCGTTGATTGATCATATTAGGCAGAGAGTTGAAGCTCAAGAAGAAGGCCATCTCAACAAAATGACCGGCTGGTGCCGCTGCACTTGGGCTTTGGCTGCTGTCTGTACGGAATCTAGATCCGGCCGTGGAATGCGGACTGTATTCTCACGTATCGCAATGTCACAGGTGAAGCGGAGTTCAGGACTTAAGTATGAGACCGCTAAGTGCGGAGGTTATGTCGCCAGACACAGCATACCGCACAAGAACCTTTGTTGTTGAGGCATCATTGAGACAAGCGTGGCAGGCAGCCAAAGGACTTCGGCACCGAATAGAAAAGGAAGTCAAGTTTCAATGTGAGGAGAGATCTTCATATACTTGCACGTGACCGCTATCAGTGACGATGACTTATCGTTAATACTGGGTACAATCAGGTGACTAGGAACCCACTGGTGGCTTTAGGGATGTCCGGCAGGGCGTTCCGTTGGAGGCCTGCTCTGTCTCCCTTGCATGCTCTAATGCACACAACCAGCTTAGCGTGAAGACTAGCTAAATCTTGGCTGGCCGAGAATACAATTTCACTGGCGGAATTAAGCAGGCAGAAGAAAATAGAGTGTGAGGAGTGTGGGTCCTCGCCAACTCAACTCGCACCACTTCCGTTGAGCACATCAGCCATCAGCTCCCCCCCCCCGGGTGCCAGGTGCCCCCGCTTCTCTTTCTTGTGCAATGTGGACACAGGGTGGTGACAGGATGTTGTTTGGCTTTGCCTGAGAGACCCGAGTCCGGGCCCGCGAGCTCCCTGACTCCCCTTCCTCCTCTCGCTCCTCTCGCCTTTTCCCTCCCTCGCCCTCCCCCTTCTTTCCCTTGTTTGCTCCTACCTTCCATTATCGCCTCTTTCCCCCTTCGCGACCTGCGACCTTGACGCTTGCCTGTGTCTTTACACAACTTGGACTCGTACCACTTCTCGCTGCCTCGATTCTTGAATCACTCTTCTTTATTCTGTCTTCCTGCCTTTTGATCTTAATATCTTCTCTCTTCGATCCTGTATTTCTGCTCGACTTTAACACTGCCATTTTCTCCGATCTTCGGCCGTCTTGGGTCTCGCAGAGTCCCGTCTTCTGCGTCATTCATTCCCACCACTATACTTGAACCGGCTACCAGTCTGTCCTCTGCGCCGGCCCATAACGACACTTACCACCAGACATTGACTCCTGCTTGTTGTCATTGTCGCCCTAATTTTCGCTCCTTCCGATCAACTGGCGCTGTGCGCACGCTGTATACCACCTTTAGGCCTTTGTAATTCACGACAACCCTTTTCTCCTCGCGACTGACAAACAACGCTGGTTTGGACTTACGTGTCCTCCGTATACACCCGCCGGTATCAAGACAAAGGGAAATATTCTTCAAACACTTGAGATTGCTTTGCGCGAAGGGAAGGCGCCACTGTGTTCTGTTTCGTGGTGGAAAAACTGTCGCGTTCTCTTGATTCCGGCAGGATTGAGTTATAGAAACTGATGGCTGGTGGCGGAATTTCTACTTTGCGGTGACTAAATGGTCCGGATGAGCACTGGGTCGACGCCAAGGTCGCATCGCATCGCTCTGCCGAGCGACCCAATATGTTGCGCCTTCTATCCTGGACAGGCTGTGATAAGATCCATTCTCCAGAGATGAGATCCTTTGTCTCAAACCAAGACGCCCCTGGATCTGGCCCTCTTGCTGCGCCTGCCATGCCAGCGACTCACAAACGAAAGCAATCAACAGACACTCAGGGCCAGTCAGAGAGGAAACGGGCGAAAATCGTTGATAAGCAACACTGTGCCAACGTGCTTCCCCGTCCCACGCCCGCCCTGCCCTCTGACCCGCCCAATACGGCTACCCCAGCTACGAATGAATCCCCATCATTCCTACCGACGCCACCGGAGGTGAAAATGGAAGACTCAGAGATGGGCCAGGTGGAATCTGCGTTGAAGGGCGCGGACGCTGCGCGGTTACAATCTATTCGGAACGTCATTCAGACACAGATCAGTCTCGAAATTCTTTTGAAGCACAAAGAACTTCGACTTATCGACCAAGAAATAGCCAAATGTCAGGCCTCATTGGAACAACTTCGTCGATGCGAGGAGATTCCCTTCCCAGGGACACAGCAACTTTCCCTTGGCGTCAGCAGTGGCACAGGTCCAGCTCTACGCAGCTCCTTCCCCTCTCCGCTACCTCAATTACCCGCGCCTTGGGGTGTCACAGAAGGGCCCTATTCCCGTCATTATGCAAAATGGCTTTTGCCTGACCCGCGCTTTGACGGTGGCGAACCAGAGCTTGTGGCTACTACACCTGTTGGCAAATCTCCCATGAAATTCAGATCTCAAACCAGAGGACAATTCGCCGAAGGGCCCCAAACATCAAGCCAATCTCGGGCGCAACGTAGTGGCAAACTGAAATCTCTGCCTGCCGGATATGGGCAGCCAAAGGAGAAAGCAACGGGTCCCATGATCATTAAGAGGAAATCCGACGGGGCTACCGTGAAGCTCGTTTGTCCAGACTGTGGTCGGTTTGATTTTGGGAGTGCTCAAGGTTTCATCAATCATTGCCGAATCGGCCACGGCCGGAGTTTTGCAAGTCACGATGCTGCGGCAGATGCTTGCGGAGAACCGGTTGAGGTCGACGAAACCGGAGCAATGATCGGTGTTGAACCTGCTGTGACCCCCGCGGCTGGCAACGTGCACCCCCTGATCCGTTCAGCCAAACTCCTGCAACCGAAGCCACCTCGGATCACGTCCCAAACCACGACTCCGGCAACTGATAAGACGGGATGCCCCAAGCCAACACAGGTGTCACCTGATTTTAGGGGATCGGCCTTGACACCCAATCTGTCCGAGCTTGTCCAAGCTAGGGGTCTTGGACTTGATCTTCAAGAAATGGTCTCGGATGCGAAAACCAAAGTTGAACTGCCAGATTCTGATTCGGAGGACGACGAAATGGATGTGGATGTTCCCATGCAAAACACTGCTCAAGGTCGGCACCCACAAGTTGCAGGCACTAAACAACCGCCAAAACCTACCAAGTCTCCATTGTCATCTCCATTGCTGCATTCAAATATGCTGAGATCCACCACCAACTTGCGAGGAGGAGGAGGGTTGCCGCAATATGACGGTGCCAACGACAAGCCGACTCAGCACCGGCCGCGTGGGATGACTCTACCCATGAACGGCGCCTCTCCGTCTGACCTTCAACCTTCTGATCCATCTCCAACTAGTGAATCGAATCAAGCCCCGAGCCTGGTCGATGACGACGAAGAATTTGAACCACACTCCCCAAGCAGCAGCTCCGTTTCTGACGAGCACGATGAGGGGGAAGTCGAGTTTGAAGTCCAAGGTGACGATGATGATGCTCGAAGCGTTCTGCGTGCCCCTGACTTTCAGCCGAACTGCGCACAAGCAGTTCGATCTCCGACACATACTCGGAGGGCTTCAGCAATCCGTCGACATGGTGAAGAGAGAGAGGAGAAACACGTCAGTTTCGTCAGCCCGAGCCCGGCACGCGATGTGCCGAATACTCGCTTAGGTGGAGATCGAAAGAGGAGAAAGGTTTAGGCGTCGGCAACCAGGTTGGCACCTGTTTGACTACTTACTACCTTCTGCTGCAGGATCATGTTTGACCAGCATTTGTGGAGTTCAATGGTGGCTGGCGGTTGTTTATTATGGGTGGACGGGGTTGTGATTGCATCAGCGAAGGGACTTGGATAGACGGAGGGCGTGCGGGCTGGGGGAGAAGCACGCTTCCACGGATTCTGTTAGTGTACATATTGTGGAGGTGTCTGAACGATGTTTAGCCACACTCGTTGAGCAAGCTCCATGCTTGCATCCCAATGCTAAAGACTCATCTCTGACATTTGCCCACCTTAAACATGAGATTGATTGTGCATGTTGCATGGTGAGAGAACAAGTAACTAGCTTAGTTGGCAAGGCTGAGTCTTCAGGCTCACCAGGCTCTATCATAACGCTCCGAATAATCCACCAGTTTGCGTCAGATGCTTCTGGAAAGTGCCAAGGCCCAGATCCAACTCACTTTCCCCAGCAGTCAATACCATTCCTTGCTGCATTGCGAGGGGCGATTGTAATCATTTAGAACTCATCTCACTTCTGTCAATGTGAGTTGCCTGGCCAGACAAGCAAAGCCACCACCGCTCTTTCAAGCATCCCATTTCTGGCGCAATTGTCGACACCACCACCTCTCCCTCGACAGCGAATTACTCTGCGAGGATGGCGCAAGCCCAGAAGTGCGTCCACAAGGGATGCGGGAAGGTCTTCACGGATCCGGACGAGGAATGCACATATCATCCTGGACCTCCAGAGTTCCACGAAGGACAGAAAGGTTCGTTTGCCCTTGGACCATTGTGAACCCCTCGTTTTTCTTTACATGCTAGCAGTGGAAAAGACAACTTTCCAATGCAAACGACGGCGTTACTGAGTTATTATGCTGACATGAAATCGGGGAGAGCAGGCTGGATGTGCTGCAAACCCCGCGTTCTCACCTTCGACGAGTTCCTCTCCATCCCACCCTGCACAAAGGGCAAGCACTCAGCTGTAGACGACACGCCCGCGCCAGCCCCCAAAGCCGAAGCTCTGAAAGCATCGAATATTGTCGCCGCCGCTCCCCTACCTGCCCCCGTGCCCGTTACTCGAGCCTTAGCATCTAGTCTCGCAGCCGCTCAACAGCCCACACCGTCGGCGACGCCGAAACCGGAACCTCCCGAAGACGAATCCGACGACCCAGACGCCGAGATTCCCCCCAAGGCGACATGTAAGAGACGAGGTTGTGGGAAGTTGAGGGACGAAAAAGTCCCGCGGGACGAGGAGGAGTGCGTATATCATCCGGGCGTACCTCTTTTCCACGAGGGCAGTAAGGGATGGACGTGTTGTAAGCGACGGGTGCTCGAGTTTGACGAGTTCATGAAGATCGAGGGCTGCAAGACCAAAAAGCGGCACTGCTACGTGGGCAAGCCGAAGAAGAAAGAAGGAGGCGCCGCAGCAGTCGACGGAGAAAGCGCGGCCGCCGACACCGAAGAGGAACCCTTGGAGAACGTCCGCAACGACTTCTACCAGACGCCCAACAGCGTCATCGTCAGTTTCTACCTCAAGAAGATCGACAAGGACAGGGCCAAGGTCGACTTCAAGCACGACGGCCTGTCGGTGGACCTGGACCTGCCCACGCAGGATGGCAAGAGGTTCACGAGGAATATCCCGCTCTTCGCGCGGGTCGACCCGGCAAAGAGCCAGTACAAGATCATGGGCACGAAGCTGGAGATGAACTTGGTCAAGACGGACGGCTCTATCAGCTGGGCGACGTTGAGGAGCGACGAGAAGGGGACTGGCGAGAGGATCCAGTTGGGACGCGCTGGCCGATTGGAGCGCAGTTGAGAGCGGAGAGAGAGAAACACCGAGAAGATGGGGACAATTTTGAATGCAAAATTCGGATGATGTTTTCGACACCGAATGAAGAAGCCTGAGATGAATGAATGAAACAATAAAAATGATACAACTCACTCACCACTGTCAATACTAACGGGATCTCTATGAATGAAACGGCCAATTTGGGGGTGGAAGGAGAGGAAAAGGACAATCCCAGAGGGCATAGCGAGGCGCCAGCACGATCAGGCTTGTTTATATTATGTAGGAAATCCTCAAAAAGAAAAAGCCCTGCTCTCGATCTATTTGCTGCGGAGGTGCAATCGCAGACAGAGATTTTGACTAGCCAAGTAAACAACGATCTCAACGTATAGGCAATGGTTGCCGTGTCTTTGCAGCAAGATCATGTCAAACTCCTAGTTTGCATCTGAACAAGCCGTCCACCCTCCCTCCCCCCAACGCGTTTTCTTTACCAAGTTTCCTAAATCACCTCGTCCATATCACTAAAAGCCAGCTCTTCAATCCCTCCAGGAAACTGCACATTCCAGGGTAGAGCCACGGCAGACAGCTGTATCCAGGCCTCCCATCATTTCTGATCCCCATTAACCTATATTTTCTTCTTTTTTTTTGTTTTTTCTTTCTCTCTCTTCTTTTCTAAAAAAGGGTGTTGTAGCATCTCCTCCACAGCTCCGCGCCATCGAAAGATGCAGTCGCAGCCATAATGTGGAAAGGGAAAAAGGACGGTGCAATTCCTCTGCGAAGCCGGGAACGGAAGGAGATCCATTGGAGAATCAAGAATAACCCTCAGCAAGCCACACGATGGTGGAGCTCCGGTGGTGTTAAGGTAATGTTAACACCTCTACTGATGATGAGGGAAAGGAAAAAGAAGAAGAGAAGAGAAGAGGATTTGCGGCGCGCAGGAATTTTTGTAGGGAAGGAGAGAAAGAGTGGGGTCTGGTTTAGGCTGCGGCTTGGCGCGGCTTTTGGTGGTCTGGCTTGGCTGCTTGATGCGGCTGCGTTCAGCCTTGTCTTGACGAGGCTTGATGTTGGACGGATGTTGGGATCAGGAAGAAGTTCAGCATCGTCAACCCTAACGTATCTTGGGGGATGTCGTGGACACTGGAGGAACAGGGGCTTTTCATTGTCGGAAGAGATCTCTTGTACTCAATACGCCGTCTCTGGGTGAGTCTTCGCTACTCTCCTTTCAATGCTCCTAAGCTCGGTTTCAATTTATTATGATTCCCTTTTTCTTCTTTCCCAATTGAGCTGCTGCACTAGTCCTCAAATCCCCAGTGGACGTGACAGCTGAGTTGCGCCAAGAGTACGAACGCCAGACTCGGACCTTTCCATCACGACCTATGGTTGTGAACAGACTTTCGGCGACATAGTCTGTCCCGAAACCTAATCGGCCAACAACTACCTTCATCACTCTGCCTTCATGGCCAAACAAAGCCAGTTCGGGATCGCCAGTCAATGGATCCCAGAAGTAGACACTGCCATCCTCGCTGCCCGAAATGATCCGGCCATTCCACCGGTTGTATGTTGCGCTGAGAACATGATCCTTCTTAAGGTCAGCGTTTGTTAGAGTTCTCTTCCGTAAGGCGGATACTTACTGTATGACCGCTCAATGTTCGCAAGCATATGAGACCCGTGGGATTCAATTCTTCGAACGCCCAGAATTTGATTGTGCCATCAAAGCTTGCGCTCAGAAGTCCCAGAGATAGCCCAGGAGGCGAGAAGAACTTGACACTGTAAACTGTATCGTCAGGGTTGAAGTAGCCCACTCGCTGATCAGACAGTATATCCCAAACGCAAATGCATTTATCTCTGGAAGCTGCAACCGCAACCGCGCCATTGGGAGAGTATGCGACGTCTGTCACAATGTCACTAGTTTGGAAATCGTGAGTTAGTGCCTCTGCCTTTGTCAAGGTTCCAAACTTTGGCCCGCCTGTCTTCAGAACCGGAGAGAAGATGTCTTCCATGTTCGGCAAAACTAAGCCCTCGAATGACTCCTATGTGGTCTTCCAGGACTTTTGAAGGCGTTTGGAAAACCGAGTTTCCGGAGTGCACCAGGGAGACGTCCCATATGCGAATCCGCCAATCTGTTGCACCAGTGGCGAGAACCTTGCCATCGGTAGAAAAGCAGAGAGCCCGAACGGTGCACCGATGTACAAACAGAAATTTGCGTTCCAAAAAAGGGAAGCTAACAACTTCGACATCCCCGTTGACGGCTACGGCCAGGTCTTCACCGTCTTCCGAAGATGCAACACTCCATGGAATGTCCCCAAAACTCTTCTCGCTTATAAGGGCGATATCTAGCTCGCGCTCCCTTTCAGGGTTGAAGACTGCGTGCCACTTATCGCGCTGCTTTTTGAGGTCGTCAGGCAATGCGTTCAAATCTAGTTTGATAAGTTCACGCGCGACTCGAGTAACGCTCGCTCCGATCGTGCCGTCTGAAGGATCCGCCAAACCTCCGGGAAGCGAAAAGTGCGAGGCCTCGAGGCGCCCGATCTGGGGGACGTCGGGAATTGGCTCATCCGAGAGGTCCGGATGATATTTGTGCATGTGAACTTCAAGGTCCCTTTTCCCGGAAAAACCGATGGTTTGCCAGGCACAATAAGATCTCGGACACTGAAGTCGCGGCATATGACTTAGCTCGTGCATGTCTCTCTTTCATCTGTCGTTTGGAAAGCCATGTTGTTCTTCTTGCTACATCCTCTTTGGCGACATCGGAAAACGCCGGTGGGGTGTCTGGCACGGAATACAAGTAGATCCGCTCTATCAATCTCAAAGGGAAGATTTTGATCGTCAGAAGACAGACTGTGCTTGATGTCGGCTTCATACTGCTTGTTGATTTCGCTTAAATAAGTCGGATCTTGGCTCAGTCGATGGGCACGATATTCTGCGAGCAATAATGATTTGTTATTAGCAGAATCTTTCATAGCTTAGAATGGTCCATATTTCTTGCGCCGTTTGGCATCCCGCTTTTTTCCCCCTAAACACAGAAACGCCAAAGGAAGAACCTCGAACCACCTCCCTCTTCTGCGTGTGCTTCTGTTGTGGTGAAAGTTCATCATCTTTACACGTCCGGGCGCCCTCTGTCTGTAATCGAGCCTTGAGCATTTTGAAGAGAACGTCGCTTACCTTCTAGATTCGACGCATCGCAATCTGCTGGTGCGAGTCCTTCCGAAAATGTTCTGGCAACTTCGAGAAGAGCAACCTGTTCATTCGAGCCATCATGATTCTGCATCGCAAGATCCTGGGTAGCGCTATATCGCTTGAGCACGTTTTGAACCATGCTGTTGACTTGAGGATCCATCTTAGGGTCTCGGCTTTTGCTCGGACAGACGCGCCCTGAGGGCTTTTCATCCATGTCCCATCGTTCAGCCCTTGACTCAAGTGATGATGCCAATGATCGATGCAGTATCGATGCATGGCTCTTGAGCTAGCGCAGAAAGGAGCTCGTCCGCCGAGAGGGTGGTCTGCGAATATGCCAGCCACTCAAGGAGACGGGACATTCTTTCGCGTGTGCGGCGATCTTCTATGGCCATAATCTTCTCAACAATTCTATCATATCTGGTCAAATGAGAATGTGAGACCTCAAACCATCTGTGGACACGCTTACGCAGCTTGCAGTCCCTCTGGGAGCTCCCTAATTTTCCTCAAAAAGTCGTCTTCAGACACTGCATACTGGAGGCCATCTATGACAAGATTGACCCAAAGGAACATACCTAAAGTCGTTAGCGCAGACCAACAAATGGTACAGCAATCAACGACCTCCGGATTTTTGCAACAATTCATCTCGACCTGCCGCCTTCATTTCGTCTGACAAGTTCAAGTCGTAATCCTCGATGGCCTGATCGAGTCTGCTTGCTACAAAAATACTCATACCCTTTTGCACAGTGTGCTGTTTGACATTGAGTAAGATTCTGGGCTTTTTACGCATTTTGGCTGAGATCAACCCTTCGTCTCGCCTTGAAATGAGTATGGCGACAGGGGATTTCTTCTGAAGTTTGAACAGCATGTCAAGGATCAGTTTACAGTCCTTGACGTCGTATTCGTCAATGCCGTCAAGAATGATTCGGACCTGTGGAGCTCCAGAAATCAAATCTGGAAGCAGCTTTTGCAGATTGTCGTTGGAAGCAAGTTGGGCATTCTGAACGTAGGTATCCCAGATGAGTGCGGCGAATTCGGGGTAGATTCTCGTAATTTGCATAACCAGCGTTTGCAGGAAGATGCTGGGTTTGTCCGATATGTCCCCCTTATGGAGACAGTAATAGAACAAAGTTGCCCTCTGCTCGATTTTTTGAACTTTCTGAGTAATATGAGCGCAGAAAACGCTTTTCCCTAAGTGGTGTATTAGCGAGGACTGCTGAAGACACTCTTTTAATGAACTCGCCAACATGTAAACTGTTTTGACTGTTGATGTGATGCTGTGGATGGCTTGTCTGATAGAAGCTTATAGGAGAGCACGACGTCTGACTCATTACATACCTGAACCGCGGCTACCAGTGAGCCACAGTAGTGGACTCCTATCCACGTTTTTGAGCCAAGCTTGGTATTGGGGAATGTTGAAGATCCAGTCACAAGTGCCATCAAGGCGTTTCTCGCCTAGCCGCCACAAATTGTTCTCCTGCAGGATGTCCTCCACACAAAGCCAAGCAAGAACGGCCTGTAAGTGAGAACTCTCCCGCTCCTGTTCAGCCTTTGCAATCTCCTCTTCGACTTTCCTTCGATAAGACGTAGCTTCGACAAGGTTAAAAGCGGTCGCTTCCTTGTCCACTAGGTCCTGGTGGTATGCGAGATTTTTTAAGATATTTTTAAACCGTAGCTCAAAGCTCTTCCATCCAGATTCGAACAACAAAATCCAGGCCGCCAGGGGATTTAGCTTCTTTTGAGAACGCATGGAGAAATTAGTATACCTCTTCTCCGAAAAAACTTGTAGGCTCTTCGATGAAACTCGAGAATGTCAGCGTAGACCAGTGCCAGGATACTGTGAAAATCCTTTTGCGGAATGGACCTGCTGTAGCGATCGAAACGCGGTAAGGCATCGGCGATTTTCACGTAGGCATCCATCAACTTGTCAAAGCTCGATATAAACTGGCTCGAGAGCTACAGCCTTCTCAGCAAGATAGGTAGTTCAGAATCATGCAACGTACGTGAAGCATCAGCTTGACGGGGGCCTGTTGGGTTTCAGTCGCTCTTGGAAGGTGTGATCACAAACACTTAACCAGATCCACGGCAGGAAAGGAGTTGGATTGCACAAGATATCAATAGACTTAGCATAAATCTCCAGACATTGGAGAAAGGGTTCAACGCGCTTCATGTTTCGCAGGGAGCCTCGTCAGCGTTGCTCCTCATCGATTTCTACAGCCGCCTTGCACACGTCTTCTAGGGTCGTCGAATGGAAACTGCGAGCATCTTGCGGGCTGACCGATTTCTCGAACCTCGTGAAAGCCGACTCGATCATTGCTCTTGGGGAAAGTTGGGCAGCCGCCATGGTTGCTGTGGTCGTCGCAGGCGAAGACCGTCCCTGCGTTCATTTGCCAGGGAAGGATATTCAAGAGAGGTCGAGGCTCCCATCATTTGCGGATGGTCTTGTCTGCGGTAATCGGGCCGGTGGCCGTGCTCAAGCCGCCCTCGGTGGTGACCTCGAAGCTGCCTCGTGTCGTGTCACTCGAGAGAGGGCAAGAGGGGCGGCATTGCAGGCGCACCGCCCGCAGGTGGCTGTCAGCCTCACTGGCCTCATGGCTGGGTGCGTGCAAGCCTCAAACCGAGCGACACAAAGACCTCAGATTTTGATGTCTTGTTCAGGCCTTGAGTTGAGTCATGGGATCTGGCGCTTCTCCATGGACGTGAGGGCGTTCAAGAAACGGCGACTTGACATTGACGAGGACGCCGTTGTTGAGGGTGCGTTGATCCGACCGAGTGGGATATTCACCCGACGCTGCAACCAAAGACTAATCACGCCCGTCTCTCTTCGTTCTTTGTGTCGAAGCTCCCTCCCACTCAAGCCAGCAACTCAGCAGACATGGCCAAACCATATTACTTTGCAGCAGGACTATATCCCTGCTTCGGATCGACTGTCTTATCCTGCAGCATCTGGGAACGCAGTCCAGACCGCAGTCCCTCAAAACGCAGCCCACCCTAAAGCAAGCACACAGAGTCTCTCCCGCCTCCAACATCACATTATGACAGTGCTTCCATATGCTTTGGCATGGTGAATTTCCCTCTAAACACTCGAAACTAGAGCAAGCTGACGGGAAACTCAAAAGTTCATCGTCTCCGAAGTGAAAGTCTTCACCAAGCAGACTGCGGAATCCTCCCTTGGCTGCTTCTCCGTTGAAGTACAGTCCGGCAGCATCCATACCGCTTCGAACTCGACAGCTGGCCTCACAGGGGCAAAGATTGGACATATAACATGCCACAGGCGTATGGCACTGATCGACCGTCTTGAAGAAGGCCGCGATGTGCAGCTGGAATTTTTCTGTCGAGCCAGTAATCTGCCCGGGCCGCATGCCAGAGGTTCAAAGTGACAGTATAGAAACCTTGAACTCCTTGTCAACGTCTTTGGTCAAGCAGAGCTTACTCAATCCTTCGGTAAGTTCTTCGAGAAGCTCGGAATATGTCTTCAAGACCCGGTCATTTGCCATCGCAATGTCCCTTATCGGAACCCACACTTCTTGGCTCAAGATGACGGAGTGGTCATGACGGGCTCCTTCAAGAGGCTTCTGAAACCGAGAGATTTGTCGCGCCTGCCGACGTATTTGACGAGCTTCTACAGACTGGAAATATGCCAGAGGCTGAATCGCCAGCGAAGTTACGGACTCAACTTCTAACACATCAGAAGCAAGCCTTGTACTTCACGCTTCGGAGCGAGAGAGCGTCTCGAATTGGCAGGTCACCTCATCATATGTGGAGCGAATCGACCGTCTTCGGTTAGGAATTTACCAACATTATCACCGGCTCCTGTCAGTCGTTGAGACCCAAAGACTTCTATGGAGGTCTCATCGCAGATCAAATGGGTCTCGGGAAGACGCTGCAGGTTATCTCGCTACTAGCATCTGATCGTGACCACAACAGCCAGCAAGGAGTGGCTCGCGATCTTTGCGGAGCTCCCTCTCTGGTGGACCGACCATTGTCGCTTGTCATTATGCCAGCATCTCTCCTTCAAACATGGCATGACCAGATGACCGAACACCTTGAACCAGGCACCCTTTGCTGGCATATCTACCGTGGCAGTGGGCGACGCAACATTTGGAAAGCCCTCTCGAGTGTGCAGGTTGTTTTGACGACCTACGACGTTGTAGCCTCTGAGTATCGCAAAGCTTTGGGATCAGATGCTGCGTTTTCCTCAACGCCCATCTTTTCACGGACATGGACACGGGTTGTCCTTGACGAAGCACATTTGATCCGGAATACTGCAGCTTTGCGTACGAAAGCAGTATGCGCTATTCGGGCGAGAGCAAGGTGGGCCGTGACGGGAACTCCAATTCAAAATCGTCTGACGGATCTGTCCGCCTTGCCAGAGTTTCTGCAAGTTACACCATTCGACGACCCCACAATATTTGATGAGCATATCGTCAAACCCTGGAAGACGAGATCAGATCCCAGAGCGGTGGAAAAAATTAAGGAAGCTCGTCAAGGCTGTTGCTATTCGACGGTCAAAGAAATTGCTTGGTTTACCAGCTCGGGAGGATCAGGTAAATCGCGTTGAGTTTAGCGAAGATGAGCGAAAGCGGAATGAGAAGATTCGCTTGCGTATTCGAGACGTTGCTTTCGATTCGGATGGCACCAATTTTTGCACACATATTCCGAGGTGGATCGACGATCTTCGAGGCCTTTGCGGCCATGGCGGAGAACCCATGCGTGCCAGTCGCTCCAGTATGCATTTGCCGTCTACGAATAAGGCACGATCTCCACTCCAGACTAGCGCCGCGGTTGACTTCGACCAGATGAGCTTCCTTCTTAGTGACGATCTGTTGGCCACGACTAACCAAGAGAGGGACTTCTGCGAGACGGCCAACATATCCGATATGTTGACGGATGGGGTTGACGACCGCCAGGAACTGAGCCCCAACTGGCGCTCGAGCTGTAAGCGTCCCTATCAATGGCCACCTAACTGTTTCCTGAGCACACCCGATGCAAGTGGATGTAATTCACCATCTCTCGCGTCTCCGGCCGAGTCGGATCACGCACCAGTGTACTCGTCGAAAGTCTCAGCCCTCCTATCAGATATCTTCAAGCACGGCGGCAAGGCAGTCGTTTTCTCATTCTGGCGCACCACTTTGGACATGGTTTCCCGCTCCTTTGAGGATTGCGGACTGCGCTTTGTGCGGGTCGACGGTACCATGCCCAACCGTGAGAGAGATTCCACACTTAATGTGTTCCGGTCAGACATATCAATCAAAGTGCTATGGGCCACTGTCTCAGCTGCCGGCTTGGGGCTTGACATCACTGTTGCCAAACTTAGCTTGTCTGCTGGAGCCTCAATGGAATCCATCGACAGGGGAGCAGGCGCTGAGCCGAGTGCATCGAATGAGGCAGACGAAGCGTGTAAAGACCATCAGATACGTCGTCAGGAATACCATCGAGGAGAACATTATTGAGTTGCAGCAGCGAAAGTTGCGGTTGGCGCAACTGGCTTTGAGTGGTGAAGGCGAGGCAATTGGAAAAGGGTTGATGGACGATTTGAAAATGCTGCTGAAGTAGTCGGCTCATGGTGATACCTGACCCCCAGCACTGCATGTACCATCGCATATACCCATCATGCAACGCGCACTAAAGATGCGACATTCACCCAACTGCCCGAGGTATGGGGTGTCTCGGTGTGAATCTGTAGAACCACGTCTCCAGCTCCCTCCACAAGGTCTCGTGGATGGGTCCCAGCATTGAACATCGTCGGTTTCGACGCTCGGCCGCGGCTGTGTGGCTTGTTCGCTCGTCAGCTGCCAAGTGCCGGCTACCAGACAAGCAGAGTCCAAGGAATCACGATCGAGACGCGCTTGGCGAAACAAGAGCTGAAAATCAGTTCCTTCTGCCCAAAGAGACGGAGGATTTCGTCGCTCCAAGCAGCACACAGTTTGATACACGGTACCGGTGCACACGTTCGCTGGAGGCTTCGGTGGAGGCGCAAAAAAGGGCACTTGAAGGGGTCTAGACCATCATCATCTGACACAGCTTTGCCGACCCCAGAAAATGCGGAGTACGGAGGATTTGCATTCGCATGGCCAGCGGAAAGCTGTATCACCTCAGACCCAAGAAGTCCCTCCTTTTGGACCTCAAGATGGTCCTAAGGCGCCCAAAGTCCCGATTCAGACAGCCTGTGCAACGCCCCATGCCAAACCTTGAGAACGACTTTCTCTACCTACTGCTGCTGCCCGATTTACCGGGTCCGTGTTTGTGGCGACTTCTGTTCTCCCGCGCCCAAGCCCCTTTCTGCAGCTCCGTCCCAGCCATCTTCCGGCCTAAAACAAACTTCAGCTCTGGACTTCCCCGGCTCATGGTTGGCGGACTGGCGCAAAAGCCCGCCATTTCGGCCCAGCGACCATACCTCTGATCGTGGCGAGATTCTCGATGCTCAGATATCAAGGTGGGTCCCTCGAGGCCTGAGCATCTCCAGGCCCGCAAATGATGGCGTGTCCCGGTGGCTGCCCGTATGCAGCGCCCATGCCAGAACTGGAGGCATAAGCGACAAGTCCCTCGGATGAATATCAGCCTATCTACTCGTTAGTGACCGCGGGGGGGATTGCTAACTTGTCTGTTTAGTCGAACCCCAGACAATCAGATTTGGTCCAGGATTGGCATGTGGCCTTCATCACTACCACGAGTCCTGCGGTCCTGGAAGGGGCTGAAGTTGCTGCCAAATCCTAGAATCCAACGCCCTGGTCTCCTGAGGCTTTGCTCTACGTCATCTTATATGTCTGTCGATTCTCACCCAAGGTACATCGCGTATCCTTTGTATAGTGGTCAGCATCTCCACCAGGTACTCACTCCTTGGATTCCATTATTACTGTCGAAGGAAATTGGGCATTCCCTTGCCCCAGGCACGGAACTCCAATTCATCACTCCCTCATTCTTTCACTCTCTATTAGGATATCCTTCACTGCTCTTTCCGGTCAAAGTCGGCTCAGCCAAACGACCGTGCAGAGAATATATCCCCTCTCCCAAAAGTCCCTGTATCGGCGAAGTATCTCACTTCTACTCCCCTCACTGCAACTCCTTCGAGTCGCTGATGGCCTTATCTTCGCCGACGATGCTCACTCCAGAGCTTACGCCCTCTCACTCTGTTGCCTCGTCTCCTTCTTTACCACCAACACCAGATCCTCGACCACTGGATCTTGTCATAGCCAACTACAATGAATCCTTGACGTGGCTCTCAACGTATTCCCACGTCGCCACTGTCTACAGCAAGGGCAGACTTCCTCCCGATCTGTCCATCTTCCGGGAAGTCATGACTCTGCCCAACTGGGGTCGAGAGTCCCATACCTATCTCCACCACATCGTCCACAACTACGACAATCTTGCAGATGTTACGCTGTTCCTTCAAGGCAACATTCACGACATGAATGATGGCACACCGGCGCACACAGATCTTGATCTAGATGAGATTGTTGGGATGGCCAAAAATTTAGCAGATATGCCTGATATTCTTGGCAGTCGAGGTGTCCACGCTCAAAATCAACCCCAAGGAGGTGTGCTTCCATTAGGCAAAATCCACTCCTTCACTGACTGGGACGGTGTCAGATACCTGCCGGGCTGGATTGAGAGACGCGGCAAAGGACTTCGACGCAGCCCATACTCACCAGAGCAATTTTGGAATTACATCTGCAATGGCACCGTGGATAACAAAGATCCCCGATGGACCACGGTGCCGGCTGAGATCAAATGGACGCAGGGAGCTTTGTTCGCAGTGACCAGACAGACCATTCAGCGGCGTCCCAGAGCAGTCTATGAGCGATCGTACAACTATTTTCACTCTCTAGCAGACATCAATCCGGAGGAAGGCCACTATATGGAACGTTTCTGGTTGGGTCTTTTTGGCCATCATGGGGTTGAGCAACGTGGTCTTTGCGTTCCCGAACCTGTCAAAGCATGGACGGAGGAGGGCGAGAATCCGACTGCCGAAGGACATGGCGCTGGCGCTGAGGACGAAGGCATCTTCAGGTTGTGACAAATAAAAGGGGTTTGGCTCCCTACAGTAAGGATATCCGGTGCTGGCGGGTCTAAAGACATGTTCACGCCATGGCTAGAGCTGCGACATGGCTCTAGGAACGATCTGCAGTTGCCAAGGGGCACAATACGTGCACCTCGTCGGGGTGCTTTGCAAGGTTGTGGGCGGACTGCGTTCTCATCTACTCTTTTCGGGCTGGCATGTACAGTGATGATTCCATACCTGACTTACATGGAGTGCGTGTTTTACGGGCTGTTCTCTGCCCTTTTTTCTTTCCTTATTTTGTTCCTTTTTGCGACCGACTTGAGCGACACGGTGCAGCTTAGAAGGTGGCTATTACACCTTGACCGGAGGCGGACTGTGTTTATTTCAGCTTGCTGCACATAATGAACAGGGCGAGGCGGGAATTAGGTAGATGGAATCGATGGCTTTTGTATTCCTTTTCTCTCCTTTTGCCTTTCCCCAAGCTTGGCTAGATCGGTTCGTTCTCTTTCCATGTGGTGTGCATGGTAGCTGCTCCTGGTATCCTGGACTGAGATGTGGTATGCGGCCACAACCACAACCACAACCGCTGCGTTTCGCGGCCCCGTAATTCCAACCACCCCTCTCATCCTGTCCACCCGCACTTCCAGCATAGGCAGTTGATATTTGGGGCATGGCAAGTCACATTGACGATACAGCACAGCACAGGACGATTCACCGGCCCAAAGTTCCCGTTCTCGTCGCCGTCCCCTAATCATCCAGCACAGCCTTGTCCGCTACCGATGATTCCCGGCCCTATTTCATTTCCTCCCCCTTTCATCGCTTGATCCGCCTCGCCTCGTTGGTGTTTGTTCAGTGTGCGGTGTTGGAGGTATTCGCTAAGGATGGTGGTGGTGTTGAAGAGAGCCGGACCTAACGCGAGGAGAGAGGAAAGGAGGTCAGGACGAATCTCCCTCCCCGCCCTCTTGCTGGCTGCCATCTCCGTCTCCGCTTCCGTCGTCCTCGTCCTCCTCTTTCTTGGCGGACGGGGCTTTGACCGGTGCAGGAGCTTTCTTCTTCGCGGCCGCACTAGCATTCTTCGTACCATTGGTGGCAGCGGTCTTCCTGGCCTTCTTCGCGGCTGGCTTCTTTGCGTCATCCTCCGAGTCGTCAGCCATTTCCTCCGACTTGGTGGTGGTCTTCGCCGTGTTGGGCGCGCGTTTGCGCGGGTTTTTGGACCCAGCAGCTGTCTTCCCGTTGCTTGCTCCGTTGCTTGTTGGGGAGGACACAGCGGTCACGCCATCGCCGCCGGCCTCGAGTAATTTGGCTTTGTTCTTGAGGATGGTGACACGGTGTGTGACGGCTTTAGCACTGCATTCTGTATCGAAAAGATTGGAATGTGGTTAGTGAGATGTGTTTATTGGTCTCGAGTAACTCAGAACGCGAGGTGAAGAGATTGTGGCTGGACATGGCCCAGGAACTGTACGACCGGGTAGGGAATGAATAGCATGGGATGGCCTCATATCCGTTGCCACGAGAACGGAAAGGCAGATTCAGCATGACGGAAGTAACACTTACCACTTCCCATTTTTGCCGCAACGGCAGCATAGTTGATCTTGACATCAGATGTGGTGAGTACCGCGGCAAAGAGCTGTGTGAGAGATCAGAGTTAGTTCATTCCGTTCTTCGCAGGGCTTCTCTTTCTTGAGATTTGACTTGAGGGAAGTGAGCTGATATGGGTACCCAGTGTGGATATGATTGGGGGCAAGGAGACAGAGCATAGATTTGGTTGGGATATTATACACACCCGGGCATCCGCATCTACATCCCAAGTCATGGGCATGGTGGTGTATGTTCGAAATTTCTGTGTCTATTTTTGTCGGTCAGCTTATGTTGTCCACTATCGAACACCGGTGAAAGAAGGCTAGGGATTGTAGACGTACAAGGTAACGGATCGAAGAGAATCGAGTAGACGAAGGAAGAACAGATCTTTCAAGCGGACAGTCAAGGTAAGGTTGTGGGTGGGAGAAGAAAGATTGGGAAAAGGAGGGTGATGAGGCAGAGTTTTATAGAAGGGTTGGGATGGGGAGCAAGAAAATCTCTGAACCTAGGAAGTGAAGTCCAGTCGGGCACATGCTCCTGAAAAAAGAAACAATAGACGGAAAAGTGAAAAGATTCTGAATTGTTGACGGGTCAGTATGAGGTCCGGTCGAAAGGGAAGGCGAACAGACAGCGAATAGGAAGACCAGGCTGCACACTGATATAGACCGGCCAAGGCTGTTGAACAAATTGTACAGCTAACAACTTCAGCCTCAATTGTAATTTCCGTTGCCGCTTTCAAAACTTTTTCAATCTTCAGTTTGAATCCGAGGACAACGCCTTGACGCTCTTTGCTTGGACTTCTCTCTTTCGATTGACGTCTGCTGACCTTGCACCGCGTCCCCTGGCTCGCCCAGAACTTGACCCCTTTTCATCTTTCAACTTGTATACTCACCCTTTCCACCATTTCATATCCAAGAATACCATGTACCTCACTGAATTTCCAGAAGACTCCCACGACATGACAAGACGTCCGGATACCACATCCATCGGCCCACTTGTACTCCACTGTGCTGGAGGGCTCGCTGCTAGTAGCGGTTTGCAATGGAGACGGGAAACTCGCAGAGGATAATCAATTGGCATCTGGCCGAAACCCTCCATTCATGGTCGCTGCTGTGTGCGAGAAATCGAGACTTGATATTTTGCAAAGCATCTGACCCTCCGATTATCCTTTTGTGGAGGAAGGGTCCATATCCATATAGCCACCTGCACGACGATAATCTCATCCTAAACTCGCAAGGTCAAGCGGAACACTACTCCCCCTTCCTGCACGGTATCTTTTTGGCACACCTGTAAATGGGCGTGGCGGAGGGAATTGGCTTTCGTCCTGAAACTTCCACCGGCTATCATCAACTCTAATCGGACCTGGGCCGCTCGAGACGCCAAGTAAACTCCCATTGGTCAGAGTATATGAACTTGCATCCAGTGTTGAGCGCGATGGCATTTGCGATACTCGTCGAGAAGCAGGCGGGGACACGGGCGATGACGGTGAGGGCGGTGCTTCGTGGATTGAGTAAGATGATTGTCTACCGAATGCGGCTGCTGCTGCCCTTTGTGCTAGAGATGAACCTGCACCATTTGTTGTCGGTGGTTGACTGGGTGGTGGAGGTGGGCCTGGAGGTGGAGGGGGGGTTGACCTAGACGGCGGTCTTGGAGAGGTAGAAGGGGGCAATGGTGGAGGAGGCGGTGCTAATGCAGGTGCTGAGCTTGGAGGCGGCGGCGGGGGAGCGGGAGGAGCTGGACTTATCGACGGAGGTGCTGGAGGGGGTGCTGGAGGGGCAGGGCTTGTTGCTGGCGGCGGCGGTGGAGGCGCTGGGGGAGCTGGACTTATCGAGGGCGGCGGTGGACGTGTTGCGAGAAGGACAGGGCCCATAGACGAAGGTGGAGGTGGTGGAGGAGCGGGAGGAGGAGGAGCAGCAGCAGCAGCACTACTGATTTTCCGCGCCGCTGGCGGAGGAGGTGGTGGCTTTCCGGCTATAAGATTTGCTACAGACGAAGGCTTGGACAATGGTTTTGGAGGAGGTTTCTTGAGATGGGCCAGTGGACTTGGAACTGCCGGAGCGGAGTCTGTTGACTGCGGTAGAGGAGGTCTGAAGCCTGGGACTGGAGGAGCAGCTATTGTTGGTGGACGAGGCGCTGCAGCCAGAGGAGGCCGGGGAGCGGGTGGTGTAGATGTTTCTGAATCTGAATGAGCACCGTCCACACTGGCTCCGGTATCGATTCCTCCTCGCGTCTTCCTTAACTTTGGAATTCCTCCAGCGAGTATCCCCGCCAACTGCGGTGGCCCGTCGAGACTGGAATCGCCTCCTGCATCACTGTGACTCCGGGCTCGATTCCCACCGCTTGGGACTGGGGGCGCGAGGCCACTGGGTGCTTTGATTCCTCCGGGGACCGGCGGCGCTCCTGCTATAGGCCCTCCTCCGCCTCCAGAAGTACTGCCTATTTGAGGTGCCGAACGGTCATTCGTGACAGCCTTCTTCAATCTTGTTCCTTTCGTGATGTCTGATAACAACGCGTCCTGCGCAGCAAGTCAGCAACCATATGGTAGATTGTTTACGTTCTCCAGTCCAGTCTAGTTCACCATGACCCTCAACTGCCTCCCACAAACAAGAATTTATGCAACATACTCGTCCTTTTGCAACTGATTTAGCCGGAGCCATAGGCAGGGAGCCTCCAGGTAGAGGCGGCGGAGGTGGAGGTCCTCCCATGCTTGGAGGAGGTGGTGGTGGCGGCGGCGGAGGTGGTGGAGGAGCAGGCATCTTGCTGCCGGTCTCTTGGACGTTGGTTTTCTATTCTTCTCGTCACTCCTTCTAAACGCGAAGTTGTAGTTCGTTCAGAAGGGGAGGTTGGGCAGCGACAGGCTGAGGGAGATGAGGCTCGTGTGCCTTCGGAACGCTTTTGAGTCGAGTGTCAGTGACAGGGGAAAAGTTCTGGACCGGAATCAAGGTATGCCTCTGTAGAAGCACATATATCAACAATGGCTTTCTGCCTGGGCGTTATGATGGTACTTTCGCGGGCGTGGTTGGGGGTTAGCAATTGGCAACTCGTCATACGAACGGGGCGGAGTTGATTTAACACTTGCGAGGAAGAGGCAACTTTCGGTGTCCTTACGGCACTGCTCCACCACGCACCGCAAGGCACATCACGACAAATATAACTACGGACTACACCACACGACTTCATTTCCAGGCAACACAATTGTTTTGCCCCGTCGACGATTTTCTGAGAACCAAATCTATTCATTGCTTACAACCTTGCCTTCGTTTTTCTGCAGAGTTCAAGTTACAGGTACCGGATCCTGCCGCCCGAAGCCAAGGTATGCCAGCAACACGCACAAAAACTCGGAACTACCTATGAGACTCAACTCCCCCGGGAACCATCTGAAGATCGTGACAGACCAGAAACAAGCAGATCATGAATATGCGGGTTTGATGGAAGCCTTTCACTTTCACCTTGTTCATCCTATCACCATGACAAGCTGGCTGCAGTCACCGTAATCTTGAATTCTGGAGCTGGCTATGAATGACTGCAGATCTTGTAAAGACCATTTGGAGAGTAGATTGTTTGGCACCAATCTCGCGTTCGACGCGACTGGTTCATTGTTGAGACCAGCAATCGCACTTGTCCGAGGGAGGGTTGTTCAAGAGTGACCGGCTTTGCGAAGCGAGTTGCTCAACCATTCAAGTCCTTCGTAGAGACCATCACCGGAGGTAGCGCAGGTGGATTGGATATACTGTATCACACATTAGCGGCTTGCATGCTAGAATGACATTCCGTTCCTTCTTACCCAGGCGCGTTGTCGGAGACTGTGCAGACCAAGCTTGTCGGTGATTTCGGCAGCGTTCATGGCGTTCTGGAGCAGAGTCAGAGCCAGTAATGTGTTAGAACTTGCAGCTGAACTCACGGGTAGATCCTGCTTGTTGGCGAAGACCAAGAGCAAGGCATCACGCAGCTCATCCTCGTTGAGCATGCGTTGAAGTTCCTCGCGTGCCTCAACGATACGATCTCGATCGTTGGAGTCGACTACGAAGATGATGCCCTGGGTGTTCTGGAAGTAATGCCTCCACAGAGGTCGAATCTTATCTTGCCCACCAACATCCCAAACTGTGAATTGGATGTTCTTGTATTCGACGGTTTCGACGTTGAATCCTGGCAGAGACGGTTAATCTAGAGCTAGTCTAAGGGCATAATCCCTTATCGTACCGATGGTGGGAATCGTGGTGCTGTACGGCGTTAGTGTGGGATTTTTCAAAAAGCTTCACCGGGCTCCGGAGGCAGCAGCTGATATCACATACACAATTTCACCAAGCTTGAGCTTGTACAGAATGGTGGTCTTTCCGGCAGCATCAAGACCAACCATCAAAATTCTCATCTCCTTCTTTCCCCATAGTCGGTCAAACAGTTTTGAGAATGCGAGACCCATGTTTGCGATTCAGCTGAGGAAGTTCGTGACACGGGAGATTGTAGGTAAGGCGGTCTGGTAAACAGGGTCAGCCAGGGTCAATCCGCAGATGCGCAGCCGAACGTGAAAGAATGTGATATAGTGAAGTAAAGAATGGGTTCAGAGGGTCAGAGACGTCCTGGATTATATAGGAAATCGCAGGGTCGCCCTGTCACCGTCGCGCGACTCAAGGGCACATGTGTGGCCACTTTGTCCTTGAGGACCTGGAGACGATGGATTTTCGGAGCAGGCAGCTGGAATTCTTGGGCTTACCAAAAAGGCCAAGTGACTCTATTCCTGGCGTAACGACAGGCAAAAGAGTGTCAAGATGCTAGGTGGACGTGATTGTCAGGATTAAAGATGGACAATGGGCGAGGTAAGTCTGAAAGTGGACAAGTTCTCAGGACGCAGGACGCAGGACGCCCGGTGGGTAGTTGGACTGGCGAAGTTGGACTCGTAGCCGATGGCTGCCAAGCCCTTTCGCCCTCCTGCAGACAAAACCTGTCGGTGCTAGCCGCGGCGCTGTTTGTAACTTCGAGGCTGCTGGGGTCTAGCCTCTCTTTATGAAAATTAATATTAAGATTATAGTTTTCTTATATGCTTCATGAGCCGGGAGAAAGCCTGGGCCTTCACGGGGCGAAGAAGAAGCTTATATATGCATCAGGCAGAGGACAAAATTGACAGAACAACCCTCTCGTGCCAGTCGCACCAGGAAACAGACTCGGGTTTTGCCATCACACCATCCCATAACACAGCACGTGAGTGAAACAACCCGACCGACTCTGCGCGTTGTCGCGGTGGAAAACACAGACTGTTCGTTTCTCTTTCTACAAGTAGACTTCCATCCTCAATGTCGTCGCAAGATACTTCCTTCCCTCTTTCTCCACCTCTTCGTTTGGGTGGATGATCCGGAATCCGAGTCTTTGATAAAGATCCAAGGCGTTGTCATTGCCACGCACTACGCTTGTGAGGCAGCAGGGAGACTCGTCGTGTTCTCTTGACGAGTTGGTCCTGATATAGTCAATGGTCGCCTGAACGAGGCGCTTTCCCAACCCCTGATCGCGCACCTCGGGCTCGACATAAAGTGCCGCCATATGCCACTCGGCGGATGATGACCGACCTGCCTCGTCGACTTTCTTGCGGTTTGGCGCGATGATGACCACAAATCCAACCCATTGGTGCCTTAGCAACGTCGATTCCTGAGTCAGTGCGTTATGGTGAACCAGTATAAGGTGAGTGGCGCGATCGTCCCTAAGTCTGTTCAACCAGAATTCTTCGGGTTCAGCGACTTCACTCTCGTATCTCGAAATAAAGCTCTTCGCATCCTCCTTGAGACTTCTAAGCCTAAGAGCCTTGAGTCGCGATGAATACTCAAGAAGGGTGTTATGGTCTGGGGCGGGACTGGGCAGAGTATGGATAGAAAAAGAAGACATGAGGAAGACGTTGCCGAAGATTTGTCTAATGTGGGATGAGGCACCGTAACCCAGCTTTGGCCAAGGGCTTCTCTTGTGATATAGGTCTGAGAGGATCCCTGGTGTGTTCCGCTATGCTAGAATGACTCACTGACACCGAGTCGCCAGCATTTTCGCAAGGAAGGCATTGCCGTAATATTCTAGTGCTGTTTCAGCGAAGGATGGCACGCCGGGCATCGCAGGTTGTGTAGCACGACAGCGAATACAGTTGGGCTGGTCAAGCAATTGAAGCAACGAGAAGTGTTGGACATGAGAGCTCGAGCGACTCATTCCTACTTGTTATGTACCAGAACCAATCAGCCGAGGATCGAGAGAGAAACAGCTGACCTTGTTGGCTAATACTAATATGGACTAGCCTTCATTAAGTCTTGGCATCGCTCACAATTGATTTTCGACCCTTTTGACTTTGCAATTCTCCGAACATTTGGTCCTTATTCCTCAACCCGTTTCTTGCGCAGTGCCTCACCATAAGAATTTAACCAATTCTTCTGGAAGACTGTCCTCAGCATGTCGAAAATTACAGTCGGTAAGCCATCGGACCCTCTTCTCTGAGCCAACTCCTTGAGGGGAAAAAAGAAACCACCACGAATTGAATTGAAAGTTCGCTGACGGAATTTTGCCCCTCTATAGCCGGAGTGCGCGTGAACGTGCAACAACTTCTCGATTACTCCTTGAACGAGAAGAAGCGAAACTTCCTCGAGACCGTCGAACTCCAGATCGGCCTCAAGAACTATGATCCCCAGCGTGACAAGCGTTTCTCGGGGACTATCAAGTTGCCCACCATCCCCAGACCAAACATGACAATTTGGTATGTCCGAGACCTCTTTGGGGGAAACAGAACATAAAATAGAAGGGGAAGGAGATGAATACATACCAAACATGTTCTGGAAAATGATAACTGACGAGCGACCACCGGACAGCGTCTTGGGTGACCAACACGACATCGACCGCGCGAAACACTTGGGCGTTGACGCCATGTCGTCGGACGACCTGAAGAAGCTCAACAAGAACAAGAAGCTGATCAAGAAGCTGGCGCGCAAATACGACGCCTTCCTGGCATCGGACTCGCTGATCAAGCAGATTCCCCGTCTCCTGGGTCCCGGTCTGTCCAAGGCCGGCAAATTCCCCACCCCCATCTCGCACGCCGAAGACCTCCAGGCCAAGATCGTCGAGGTCAAGTCGACCATCAAGTTCCAGCTGAAGAAGGTCCTGTGCATGGGCGTCGCTGTCGGCAACGTCGGCATGACTGAGGACGAACTCATCAGCAACATCATGTTGGCCATCAACTACCTGGTCAGCTTGTTGAAGAAGGGCTGGCAAAACGTCGGGAGCTTGACCATCAAGGCTAGCATGAGCCCGCCCAAGAGATTGTACTAGACAACCCTCTCTCACCCGGTCAGTTCACTGACTTTGTTGGGTGTTTTTGTTGTTGGACGGCAAAATCTCTCTACTTTACTGATCTGCTCGTCGCGGGCTGCGGTGTAGATAGTCGATAGAGACATCTCTGCGCACACTTCGAGACGTAGCAAGGAGAGAGGAAAAGAAAAGGGGGATAACCCTGCCTAGAGCTTGCAGCGATCTCGTACGAATCCATGTGCATGCCAACGATTCAAATGGAAACGATCAGGTAGAAAATTGCAAGAAGAATTGCCGAGGCTTGTCGCCTGAAAATTCAGATCTCGCCAGAAATCATGAAGATTCCCTGACAAGACCGACAGTGTAATGATTCATTTCTCTCTTCTTCGCAGTCCTGTGCACACAGAGGTTCGCTCGCTCACTTCATGCCCTCCATGAGATCCGTCTTGTCGAGGATCATGTCCCTCAGCCCACACTCGTCCCTCAGCCTCTGCCACTCGGCGCCGTGCTCCTCGCCCCAGCGGCTCTTGTCTTGAAAGCCCCAGGCGAGGGCCAACCTGTCGAAGAACCGTCTCTCGTCCTCCCTCAGCCATCGGCTGCTCAGATGCGTGCCGGGCCGCCACACCACGCGCTGCATCTGATCATTGTAGGTCGTGACGGCGACGAATCCAATGGTGCTCAGCGTGCCGATGTACGCCACGGCGCCGGCGATGGCCGTGTACTTTGCCATTTCGACGTCCATTGTGTTTTGCCAGTGCGAAACCCAGTCTGCGCCTGCGTATGCTATCAAGGGCGTCGCGGCGACCATCAGGCCCGGAACACTGCCGCGGCGGAGGGCCTTGTTGGCGCGAAATGCCGGCGCTCCTACCGTTGTGTCGATTATCGCCAGCGCCAGTGGGAGGTTCTTTTTAAGAATGGCTGACTCGAGAGCTGCTTCTGCGAGGTCTAGTGGGATGGCGTACTTGGGCAGTTTCGGCCACGGATTCGAGTATTTGACGGGCTTGCTGTCTGCCGCGGGGATCTTCTTCGTCGCGTAGAGGTGGAAGATTTCGGGGAGGTATTCGGGTCTCCCCAGCAGACATAGGATGCGCACGTATATCTGGAGCATGTCTTCGGTGATATAGACTTTGGGGTCACGGAGGAGGTCGTAGGCGAGCTGGCAGACACGTTTAGCCGCGTCCTCGCGGAAGGAGACGGACATTTGTTTGTCGGGGACAGATATCGAGTCGGTCGCTACACCGACACTCTGCAGTTTTGACGACCTGTCCTCCGCCAGATCTTGAAGCAATGCGTCTCCCAATGCCTTGCCTTGTGTAGTTGTCCTCGCAGCCTCCTCCGGCATCTTGCCTGTCCCGTGCACCAGCGCACCTCCGAACTCGTACATATCCATCAGGGCTTCAAGGACATCGTCTTTGTCGGCCGCGGCATTGCTCGACTGTATGTGTGCAACAAATTTGCGGAATTCATTGAGCTGGCGGGCAGGATCATGGCTCTTTGGGGAAAGTTCAGTCGAAGTCTTATGGATGTCGGCAGGCGAAGTTCGTCTTGACGGGAACCTGCTGCTGTTTGCTGGCGACTCTGCTGCCAGAGGAGCAGTGCGTCTTGTTAATGGCACCGATATGCGACTGCGCGGCTTGGAAAGAACAACAGGTTCCTGCTTCGCAGGACTAGCGACTTGCGAGATGAATTGTTGTCTATTAGATTGCGCTGCAGAGAGCTTCTGGCATGAGCGGCATACGAAGCTGGCCCGACGGGGGAATATGGTCGCCATGACCAGGTCAGGTCGGCTGTTGTCTCGAGCTGGCTCTGGCGAGTGGAGGAGTGAGTGTGTCTTTCATTGAGATTCGTGGGCGCGGAAAGCTCTCGGCTAAAGTTGAAAGATCGTCTCCAATTGCCTCGCTACTATTAGTTACACTGAACGATGATTCGACCTCCCAACGACATACGACGAGATGTTTTATAGAGATTCTCTTTCACATATCATATGCTACGGGTTCCAGAGCAGTAAGGAGTATTTCCAGTCAGAGGCTGCCAACATCTATGGCCAATGTAGTCCATACAACCACCTTTGCGGCTGAATATTGATCAAAGGCCGCTATTGCCAGGCAAGTTTCACAACCCAGCACGTCCCCTGGAGACCTTGTCGAGGTTGAAAAGGGGCGAAAATGCTTGCATTTTTGAAGACAGACGACCATCTAGCAATTGATAGTTCGACGTGGAGGTTTGCACGTCAGCAGATTTCCTCACCGCTTACCCACTCCTGCACAACTCAGCTGTACTGGCATCATCTGCGGCGGCTGGGTGTTGACCGACACAGACCGAGGATCACCTTCCACTTTCCCTAGCCTCCTGGTCAATGCAAATCAAGTTCAAGTGGTGCTCGTGGAGGTATTTTCTCGTATTTGGCCTGCCGCGAAAGCCCCAAGGGCCAACAAGCCGAAAACACGCGGTACGCGATCATGGACAGCCTACCAATTTTTGCTCACAAACAATTCATGCAAAATCCTAGCAACTGGTAGGAAAGTGGATTTCTCGCAGGTCCGTCTTGGAGACTTGGGCGCAAGCGCACCATAAAAAGGGTATTTGATGCCAGCTTCTGGTTCGGTACCAGAAAGCCAGCAGTTGGAGTCGGTGCAAGTTGTTGTTTGATCCAGGGAGTCGAGAACTGCCTCGGCTTGTGCTTGGGCTGCTGACGGCAGACAAAGGAGAGTTTTGTTTTCAGGGTTGGGCAGATGTGAAGCCATCTGTGGCTGGAGAGTGCCGTGTCGCCAAGCGAAGGACACCACTTCCACAGTCAACGGAGCAAAAATTCACAGAGCAAAAAACTCAGCTTGTGAGAAAACCCCGCGAAGGATGTTTTTTTTTTTTTTGGTTGACTCCCGGACTTGAACTCGAGTCCTTCTCCCCTCTCGTCGCGGACCCCTCCTGCTCGTCCTCCTCCTCTTTCTTCCTCCTCTGAGCGCTCAACCCCAATTTCACCCTCCCCCATCTCTCGCATCTGAGGCCTTATTTGATGGTGTGTGGGTGTGGCGGTAACAATGCCGGGTTACCTGATCAAATTCCTGTAGTAACCAGAGTGGTACTTTGAGCCCGCGTTGTGGCAACCCAACTCTGGATTTACAGTCAGGTTGATTTGATGCAGGTAGGATCCGATCAATTGTTGGGAGATATATCACCAGAATAAAATATAAAGTAGTAAAAGTGGATCTTACACGTGTGAAGAAAAAAAAAACCAAAAAAAAAAAAACAAGTGAAGTGAAGACAACTTGGAACCATGGTTCGCGCTCCCGGGGCAAGGCTGGATATATAACTGGCGATGCTGTGGATCCTCGTGCCAAGAATTTACGGATCCCCACCAATTTTGGCCGCAATCGTCAACAGTCAAAACAATGCAACATGGCCGGGCGCCAACATGGGCGTCCACTCGTAACTTCTTCTTCTTCTTCTGCAACGATGTTTTCTTTCCTTGTCTGAAGCAACCCACGGCACGCCTCTCCGCACGCCGGTGCTCCTCTTTGACCATAAGATCTAATGGACTTTGAGGATTTTTTGATTGTTCAACGATGCAGCTTTTGAGTCTATTGAATCGCCCGTCCTGAAACACAGCGAGGGCGAAATATCATCAGATGCAGCCTCTATCCTTGTGCGTGGTGATCAAGGTAAGGTCACGTTACCTCTCGTCCTTCCTTGACAAGACGGCCACACCAGTAGCCTGTTATATTTTACATATCCACGCCATTAAAAGCAAAGTTTCATAACTTCATGGTCCATGAGCGTGTTATACCACGGTCGTCTCCTTCCCCGACCCTCCATCACCTCCTTTCACGTCATCCCCGAATTTGACCACAACGACCCGTGCCTCTTCCTGTGTCATTTCCACGTCGTTGTCTCCTGTTTGGGGACCAATGATCCTCCAGATCCTCCTCTGTACTCTGTAGCCCATCACCATCACCACCACATGGCCCATATACATCATTACCACAATCCAGCCGACGACAATCCTCGCAATGCTTACTTCGTGGATGCCGTACATGAAATGGCCTCTGACTTGCACGGGACACACAGCCTGGCCAGAGATGTCTCGGTTGAAGATAGGCAGTTCGCAGTGCATCCAGAACGACAGGGAGGCAATCCAGCCACAAATAAGGAGGGAGGAAGTGGCTAGCAATGCAATGTACGTCTTGCGAAGGGAGAGGATCTGCGGGGTTTGGTGGTGCATGGTGAGCTCAAGGACGAGGTGGATTAGAGAAACAGATGGCACAGTAAGTGCATAGAACAGGAGGGCGGTTTCGGGTTGGTTTTTGGCTGAATAGATTGATGAGTTGGTTGTCGACCTTGTTGTGCTTGATAAAGAGTCGGATGCATAGGGTGCTGTCTCCCGTTTGCCAAATAGGGAGGAATTGGCTTCGGCGTGGACGTCGGCGGCCAGGCGATCTGGGATGTCCGTGTAAGGCTTGGCGACGCAGTAGGCGTAGATGGCAGCTAGGATCAAGGTGCTGAAGGTCAAGACAAGAAGGATTGGTTGCAGGATGGTCCGAAATTTGCGTAGCCGGAACAAGGCCTGGTTGCGTGGTCGTGGAGGAGGTGTTTGGTCCATCTTGGTTGTCGATTGAGACTGACGGTTGGAGATGAGGAAGGCTCCGTTGCCCGAGCTCTTTCGACGAGGGTTGAATGTCATGTTAGAGGATGATAGAGTTGGTGATTAGAGATTATGATTGTTTCCGTAGGGAGAGTGTCCAGCGTCCAGCGCAACAAGTAAAGGCCAAAGACAAACGGGCCAATATCCAGGCACCACTAAGAAAGAAACAGCAAAGCAAGAAGAATCAACCAGATGCAGTGTCAAAAGAACAAGCCAGAAGAACACGAGGCAAGAGCCATATCTATGTCCTTTGAGGCTCACCTACCCGAGTCGCTGGTTGTTGTGTTGCCATGTCCTCGATGGTGGTCAGCGGTAAATGCCACAGAAATCATGGGCGAGGCCATGCACTATGGGCTCGCTGATTGACCAGAATACAAGAGGCCTTGTGAGGCACAAGGTACAACCTCGACCAGTGCATGGACGAGGCAGTACGCGAGTTGAGGATGAAGTTGGCGAGGTCGGTGGAGGTCTATGCCAGAACTATTCTTGTCCACGCGGGTACCAGAGCCTCAGCAAGCGAGGAGCCATGACAACCAATGGATCTGAGGACGATCGTGGAAGACTCGACGTGGATAGGGTCATGGACCTCTGCATGGGCGTACGGCGTCTAATTGTGGCAGAGATGAAGGGGCCGTCAAGATTTGTTTCACGTCGGCCACAAGGAACACCAGAAGGACGTTTCAGGAACGAGACTCGCCCCCATTTGCCATTGCCGCCCACGTCTACATCCAGATGCGCCCCATCAAGGGCGTTTCAGCTTCGGCGAATGTCGACACCAGAATAGAAGTACCGAGTGCTCCAGAAATTCAGCTATGAGTCGACTGCCTGATACCAGGCATGTACGCGCGGTGTTCTCTACCCCCAACACAATCAGGAGGATACAAGATACACACCAAAAGCATATATACATATGTCAACACAGCTATCGCAGCCTTTCATCATACGGGTCATCTTTAGGCCACCCTCCTCCGTTGCTTCTCGTCTTACTGGCTGCCACGAATCAAAGACGCTCTATCAGACACATCTGACATCTTTGAAGAGACGATGGAGAATAGAATCTTCGCTCTGTCTAACCCACCTCACCGAACATCTGCAACATTCGAGAGAGGAAGCTGTCGCTATCAGGTTCTCGTGGAGACGCCCACTGCCTGTACGGTGTGCGGTGTACTTGTAGGTGCAGTCTCCAGGGTCTTTAGCGGTCCTCGGGGCCCCATCTTGTTCCTCTCCTCCAACCTAGGCATCGTCCAAACAGCCGAAGAAGGTCTACCGTTGCCAAAAGCCGACCGCACACAATGACGACGACACAAAGAAAATTGCCATTGCCGCCGGGACACGGATGTTCGGCACACATTTTGCCCATCTTCGTGGATGTCAAATCGAGGGCGTCCTTCTATTAATCATCACCGTCCTTTTGACCTGGGCTCAGGCAGTGCTGGGCTCCTCTCAACTACAGATCTTCTCCGTCTACAGGTGGGCCTCGGTGCTCTGGATAGATCATGATGCCACTCATCTATCCCCGCTCTCTTCCACAATGTCGTTGCTCGATGCATGAAATGCTAGGTGGGAGAGTCCCTTGTTCCACTTTTCCTTTCCCTGGTGTCGCAAAGCGTTCAATCTGCTTTTAAATCGTCTCTTGTCCTTAGTCTTTTCTTTTCTGCATCGGGAACTTCTACCATGTATTATTGCATATCTCGTCAAGAGCCCGTCCTGCGGCTCGACCCGTGAGAGATCTCAGTCTATCTCGAGCTGCTTGCTGCTTTGTGCGGGTTCCGAGCCTATTCCGCCTCGCCTACCGCCGCCGTCCCTCTTCCAATCATGAGTTCTTCCACCATGCTCGAAGATGACCTCGACGAGAAACATTTATCGGCCTCGAGACCAGAGTTGATACGGATCGAGTCGAACCTGGACAAGGCCATTGACGCAGAGGCAAATGTCAATATCTCAACCGCTTCAGATGACACGGACCGTCAACACGAAGACCATGACGACCTGGGCCCTCCTCCGAATGGCGGCTTTCGTGCATGGATGCAGGTTGTCGGCTCCTTCTTCCTATTCTTTAATTGCTGGTAAGGCCTTGATCTATGAATCTCTCTCGTACAACGCTCGGTTAACCGGGGCTCCAGGGGTACCGTCAACGCATTTGGGGTTTTCCAGACTTATTACGAAACCAACCCGCTCTGGCACGCATCACCGAGCGAAATCTCGTGGATCGGGTCCATCCAAGCCTTCCTGCTGCTGCTCGTCGGGCTCTTCTCCGGGCCCGCGTATGATTCCGGCTACTTTCGAGAGCTGATCACGGTCGGAGCCGTTCTCGTGCCGCTGGGCTTTATGATGACCTCCCTGGCCAAGGAGTACTGGCAGACGATGCTCGCCCAAGCTTTCTGCATCGGAATCGGCAACGGGTGCATCTTCGTCCCCTCTGTCGCCATCCTCCCGCAGTACTTTTCCACCAGGAAGGCCCTTGCAAACGGGCTGGCCGCGTCCGGCTCGAGCCTGGGCGGTCTGATCTACCCGATCGTGTTCCGGCGTCTGCAGCAGGAAGTGGGCTTTGCCTGGGCAACGCGCACGATCGGCTTCATCTCGTTTGTGACCGTGTGGTTCGCCGTGCTGGTGATGAAGCCGCGAATCACGCCCAAGCAGCGACGGCCGTTGACGGACCTGGGCGCGTTCCAGGAGCTGCCCTACACGCTCTTCTGCGTCAGCATGTTCTTTGGGTTTGTCGGCCTGTACGGTCCCCTGTACTACATCGGGCCGTACGCGATCCAGAACGGCATCACGGGCGAAAACCTGGGCTTCTACCTTTTGCCCATCATCAACGCCGCCAGCATCCCCGGCCGGATCATCCCCAACAGCATCGCCGACCGCATCGGGCCCTTGAACGTGCTGTTTCCCTGTGCCACCATCGCGGCCGTCCTGGCGCTCGCGTGGATCGGCATCAAGAACCTCGGCGGCATCATCGCCTTCGCGCTCATCTACGGCTTCTTCAGTGGCGGCTTCGTCTCGCTGCCCCCCATCGCCGTTGTCACGCTCACAAAGGACATGAGCAAGATCGGCACCCGCATGGGCCAGTGTTTCTTCATCAGCGCCTTCGGCCTCCTGGTCGGCACCCCCGTGTCCGGCGCCATCCTCAAGAGCACGGGCGAGTGGTGGGGCGTGCAGCTTTGGAGCGGAGCAGCCATCCTCGCCACGGGCTCGCTGCTGCTTTGGGCCCGCGTCGTAGTGGCTGGCTGGAGCCTCATGAAGCGGGCCTGAAGTTTCCTCTATTCACACACCCCTTCAGCTCCCTTCCGAGAAACGCAACCAACCCCTGTTGCATGAGAGGAAGCATTTACCTACCTACACTACCCTGCACTGAATGAGTTGGATACACACCAACCCCCTCAGCCCGGCGCCAGATCCAGATCGGTGCCGTGGCAGTGTGCACGATGCTCGCTGTGGCGTGGCAACGAACACCACATTTGCGTTGATTGCCTCCAGCCTGCTCCAGCGACACATCCGATGTTCAAGGCCAGTGGGTGACAGGGTCCTATTAGGCGTCATGTTGCAGACCAGCCGACTCGGCGTGGCGTTTGCGGGGTGGATAGATGCATGTTGCAACGTAAAGAAGTCTGGCCCGCGTGCACGCACGTCCGCAGCGAATGCAGCGAGGACGCTCGCGCATAAAGGGGTGTTCCTCCGACAGAACATGTCTATGTAGATACGTGGTTGCATCTACGAGGATACGCGGCATCTCGGCGAGGCGATGCGGAAGGGCAAGCGAGAAGGGAGAAGGCAGATGAGGCGTGCGAGGCGAAGATGGCCGCAAGCTTCTAGCGCATGTCGCAGTCAGTTTGTGCCGTGTGTCGACATGAAGGAGAGGAGTGAAGAACATATGAGAATATGACTGAGTCCAAAGAGAGACAACAAGACAGCTGTCTACAGCCAACTGTGTGGCTTTGTTCATTGTTGGTCTCATTTTTCATTTCTTTTCGCATCTATGACGATGGCGTACCTCCTATTCAATCACCAGACGTCCACATCGACTAGATTCAACCAATTGACCACCCCCATGGCCTTGACCAAATTGCCCTTCAAGTCCAAGTGTACGCCGTCATACTTCGACGCTTGCACGCTCATGTTCCAGGTGCCCATGGTCTCGACGCCTCTCTTGGCGGCCTCCGCACGCACGCTCTCCTCAAAGATCATGAGGGCCTTGTCGCCCTGACTGACTAGCCACTCGTCTGGTTTTCTGACGCCGGCAGCGTTTGGTGTGATGAACAGTCGAGGCCAGATGGAATGAGCATGTCGCTTGTTCACCGCGGACAGGTACGGGGCTTGGAGGAGTGTGTGGTCGAGGATGCCGTCCAGCCAGTTCAATGTGGCTTGGAGGTCGAGGTCGTTCCACAGGCCGTGACCGAAGATGAAAGCGTAGGGTTTGGCTGGTTTATTAGGCGAGAGCAGGTTCTTGTAGCGGTTCAGTTCTTCGTTGTCAAGTGGGAAGCGGAGCATCATCTCGATGACGAGGTCGATTGGAATCTCGGGCGGGCAGGCCAAGCTTGACAGATCGTGTTCCAGGACCGAGGAGGTAGAGAAGATACCTTGTACTGAGCAAGATTTGACGTCCATCTGGTGGTTGCAGAAGCATTCACGCCTGTTTTCCCGATCACTAGGTTAGCAAGATTAGGCTCACTTATGGCTCAGCTGCAGTGTGAGGAAAGGGGGACCTGGGACGTACAATTCCTGGTCATCAAAGTTCCAGTTCGTCACCGCTCCGTATCCAAGATCTTTGCGTAGAAGCACGTTCAACGCTCCCACGACGTGTCTCATCATACTATCCCCTACGACAATGATCTTTTCGAACCGTGAGAAAATCTCGCAGACCTCTTCTGTAGTGAACCAGCGCATGTCGCACTCGAGCGGAATGAAAGGGCGATCAAAACCGATCCGTCCACCGCCAGAGAAGGCTCGTAAGAAGTCCTCTCGCGTAGCGCACAAGGGAGAAAAGGCAGAGTGTAAGTCCAGGGAGGAGATTTGACACTCGGTGTGGTTTCGCCAGGCGTAGTTCCGAAAGGTGTCGATTGTGTCCGGTGCTCGATAGGTTGAGTTTTCTGGCGGTTCGAAGGCTGGAATGGAGGCAGTGGATGGGTTGTAGCCAAACTCGACATTGATGCAGGCAGAGAGACCAAGATAGCGGCCGGACTGCACGTTTCAAGTCAGTTTGCGTTTACAATATTACAGCCTGAGGCCTGGGCCAGTTATACGTACAAGCACGCCGTAGTGAGTCAACTTGCACATGAAGAACCACAACACGAAAAGGAGCAAGAGAAGCTGGATGAAGCGGCGCTTGAGCAGAACACGCAGAGGAACTGGGCGGAACTCCATCCTGACCTCGCCGGCCTCGAGGTCGTCGACGTTGGGAGATGGGGGAGGAGAGTAGCCGGTGATGGTGTCAGGGCGGCAACGTCGCCGCAGGGTCGTTGGGAAAATGGCGGAAGAACTATCCGCCGATCAGTACACGGCTGTGCAAGGCGGTGGACAGCGACATATGCGACGTGATTCGGATTCACTCACCTCATCGTGCCGTGACGACTGTTCGGAACGGAAAATCATTGTCCCGAGATATATTGTTGCTGTTTTTGAAGGTTGTCTTCGGGGTGAGGCAGACGCCGTGTCCTGCCATCGTCTTCCCTGCCATTGCCGAAATGCTGTCAGAACGGACACCCCATTCACTGTTAGCTTTGAATGAGGTAGTCTGCCGGTCAAAGACTCCATTGTCGGCCCAATTCTCACGGCAACCTCCTTGGAGGTAGTTTAACAACCCTTGGGACCGCTTCCCCAGTAACTCTCCACCGTGATATCTTTGCATCCCGCATGTCCTCAGTCACCGAGAAAAGATGAGGTCTTCATTGTGCACAGCGTGCTTCATCCATTCACTGTCATCACACAAATGGGCTCGCTCACACACGAGTTGACATCCAGCCTCCAGATATGGGCTGCAGTGGCTCTTGCAACAGCGGTAGAGTCTTCTGCCTCCGCAATTCCACCTGTAGACTTTCTTCATCCCATCTCCTTCTCTCATTTCGAGCCTTTTCCAGCTGCTGCTTTGTGCCCAGACCGAGTCCAAAGAGCCCCTTGCTCCTCTCGATTTCTTGTTCCTTTTTCGCTGCAAGCCGCGCCATCTGTTGAGACATAGCTTTCCAGTTCTGGAGGCCGGTTTCCAAGCACTCTCGGCATCGTTCCCTTCCATCTCGCTCCTTTTGTTCGTCCATTACCCACATGATGGCTTCGGCGGCCTCAACGCTGTCTCTAGTCCAGCTAAGGCCTTTTGCCCGTTCGCTAGCACTTGTGGCAAAAAGGATCTCGCCAATGTATGTCATGAGTCCTACCTCTTCACAAGCTTCCTTCAATGTGTGATAAGGCCTTTCGTTCCCGGTTGGCGGAGGTGGAGGATACGGCCTCTCAACTAACAGATCTTTCAAAGCATATACATAAGCCAACAATCCTTCCCCCTCCTCCGCAAGCTTGACTTTCGATGGTCCAATGGCTGGGCCAAGAGGGGACGCAGGCAGAGTCTTCCTAGCTCGCAGAACGCTGAGAAATACCGGCAGGGCGTTCTTGACGTTTTCCCCTCTGACGTGATGTACTCCGAAAGCAGTGCAGGCTCGCAGAATGTTGTCGCTCACGGCATCTTCCCGCCCTTTGAGAATTATCCCAGTCTGCACATCGACCACGTCCGCAGTTCCCGCTGGCAAGCCGGATTGAGCAATCTCTGAGGCTTTGACGTACAGATCCTCGGCTGTTCTGTCGTTGGCCTTGAAATCACACCAATCGGCATAGGCCAGAGCAGCGTCAAGTCGTTGTCGGGTGTCGAAGCCAATGGTGTTTAGTATTTTTTCGTAGAAAACATGCGGAGGCGGAAAAGCGTCTTCAACTTCCTCCAAGGTGGGCGGGGTAACATGGCCTTGTCTCCTAGAGTATGGAAGTGGTTTTGGTCGTGGATTGTCCGGAGCTGGGATACTCTCCCGCGGATATACACGGCCTCCTCTGACATCTCCTTTCAGTTTGCACAAACCCTCCAAATGTTCAGCTACACGTGCAGCACCCATGAGAGCTTCGTGATAACCTCGTCGCCACTGCTCACTCTTGGCACTCACATCGAACCCTTCAGACTTGTCCACTGTCGATGACTCTATCTCTGCGTTCTTGATGAGGAACTGCCCATCCAGCTTCTCGCTTTCCAGCCTTTCAAGAACGCTTAGGTATAGCTGACCGGCTTTTGCCCAATCCGTCAGGATCTGGTTCAGCTTGGCGCCTTCCGCAAGCTCTGTAAATTTTGCTTCGCGCATCCACCACCGGCTCCAGAACGACCAGTCTCCAGGAGTGGGATAATCCCGTTCAAGCTTTGTATGCACCATGCCCATGGACAGCACCGTGAGTAGGAGGGCCGCGGGCCAAAGGTAGGCATTGATTCGAACGTAGCGCCAGAATTGTTCCCTCCAGCGTTGTTTTCGTTCGGTCGAGATGAATCGCCCGACGTGGGTTTGGAGCGTGTTCCCACGGGGGAAAGGATACAGGAAGGGCAGCTGGGGGCGTAAGATAGGTCGAGCCACCACTAACAGCGAAGTCTTGTGCGAGAAGAACCTCGGCCGCGGAGGTCTTGAGTAGAAGAAATCGCGGGTTGGACTGCAATAACGACAGGTTCTCGCGCTCGGGCGAGGAGACGGCGCCGCAAGCTTTAAGAACGCCATGGTAGTCTGCGGTGCTCAATCGGCGCCAGGGCCGTCGAGAATGGGGCGAGAGATGCCTCTGTATTGAGAAGATTGTGATATAGACGTGAACAGCAAGAGCGATGTCCCCTCCGCATTAATTGAGGAGTTGTCGATGTCGACGGAGCATTAGTGCCGAAGCGCAGATTCTACGGTGGAGTAATAGTTCAATGATGTCCAAGGCTGAGCTGCAACGTTTTTCTCGCACCCACCTTACATGGGGAGTATCAAACGAAAAACTATCCTCCATCTTCCCGTCGTGATAAACCGCTCGCCGCTCTGCTCACCCTCGGCCCACCTGCTCCTTCCTGAGTGATCCCAGAGTGCTTCCGGAGTCTACCTGAGCCCCTTGGTCTTCCCTCTTAATTCACAACACTAACGTTCGTCAACTTTAGACGATGGGACCCGTCTCAGATACTAGGGGATCCTAAGCCAATGGGACTTGGCACTCGCCTATATGGACAGCGTTCCTTTATATCCTGACTTGGTGGTAAGCTCCACCATGAAAGTCCCGCACGGTGCCCTCCGGTTTCAATACAATCGGCTGCAAGCGTTCCGAGAGAGCGCTGTCAGTCCATCTTGATTGCTCGTTCGCTCAACAAGATGCCCGAACGCCATGCGAGACCAGCAGCGCTAGATGGGGGTTACTGGCGGCACAAGCTGGGCTATCTTGGTGGACGGCCCCGCCGGCCTGTGGCACTCTTTCCTCCCCACCATTCAATCTCGTTGACGGCCACTCTCCGCATGTTGGTTAGCAATTTCTCAAGTGAATTGCTCCCAGAAATCATCATTTAGAAAATCGCAGAAAAATGGGGTACGTTGCATGCCGATTTCGTCGTCTGTAAGCATCATGATGGTTTGTGCGGGACTTGGAATCGTCGTGACTCCGGGGATACTGGCTTGTTGTGCCCTGTACTTGGCTTCGTGGGCAGCCTTTATCCGCCTCAGTTTCTCCATAAACGTCAGATATAGCTGTGGAACAACTCGCGATAGCTGGTACCACGATTGGTTTTCGGCTAACTCCTTGGCAGCATCCAGATGCCGCATCAATTTGTCCATCGTTGCGGAGAAGTCGATCGTCTTTCGAACGTATTCCTGGTCCCATCCGTCTGCCTTGGAAAGCGACAGCCTCGACAGAACCACTATTGCGTGGCCCAGTAAAGCCCAGACAGCGTAAGGGAGGTCGAACCAGTCAAAGGCTGGGATGGTGTAGGCTGTCTCGAAGCATAGCTTGGTGGAATTCAAGCACGCGTAAAGCATGCTAAGGCGAGAAAACGGGTATGCCCCGTACCTTGAGAGGCCGATACCGTCATTGAGTGCTGTCTCGTACAACAGGATTTCAATGGCATGATAATGCAGGAGAAGAACAGCTACAGTGGTTAGCTCAGAACCATGCTATTGCAAATTCAGCTCACCATTCTGGCCTCCTTCGGATAAGGAAGCTCTAAGCTGTAGCAGCTCCGACTCTAGTAGCTTGACACCAGCCCCGAGAGGAAATGAGGTGCATGCAGGGATGGTATGCCAATTCTCTGGAGTCAAAGAACGCGAAATTCTGTCAGCCAGGCCATGGAGGCGCGCCAGGTGTACGACAGAGAGATCTGTAGGATATTCCGCAGCTTCAGATACGACGCGACAACATTCGTCCACGTATCTCGAGTACTGCACCGGATAGAGCTCTCGAGTCCACATGGAGACCCTGGATTGCAGCTTGTAAGCGATGAGACACAGTTCTCGGCTGTCAAAACTCACGTAGAGATAAGGAAGAAGCAACCGAGAAATGTCCTACGTTCTTCCAGAGTCCTTGTGATCGACGAGCTTTGAGCAGCTCTGCTCGTTGGCCGCATGGCAGAGGCGTCAGAGCCATCGTTGCCGAAAGGCTCTAAACGACCAAAAGAGGGTTTGAGAGTCTGCACGACAGCTCCATTGTTTAACCGAAGATCTGACAACAATGCCATAATGAGGTGACCGATATTGCCCACCTGTGAGCTCTGATGGACAGGAACGTGATACCTACGTGGACCAATCGTCAGCAAATTCCCAACGCCAAACCCAGAATCTGCACTCACCAACTGAGATATACGAGGAGAGCCTGGAGCATGTCAAGGCTTTTCTTGCCTTGAACAAGCATGCTGTGGCTCACCATCTCTCGCAGCTTGTGTGCAATGGTTGTTTGTCGTGCTGGGTCTTGGCGGTAGCCAACCATCAGGATCGCAAGGACGAGGAAGGGCTTCTTCTGCCTCATCTCCACGAATGTCATACTTGGTGGGATAACCACAAAAGGAAAGAGAGGGGTCATTTCACTGCGGAAACTTTGCAGGACTATTTCTGCCTCACTGCCGTTGTTGATGGACAGATCTATGTATGCCGCGGGAGCGATGTCAACCGAGTTGAGAGACCAGGAAGTGACCACTCTGTTTGGAATCTGTTTCGAGACTGCAAGAATGGCAGATACGCCGTCTAGATTTCCCTCGGGTCTTACGGATGCATTGGCTCTTTTGCGTCGGTGAGCACCAGGCGCCTGCCCGCTACAATTCCTCTTCAGACGTTGACAACTAAATCAAGGTTAGGGTCGGAATCCCAGCTTAGACTATGCCACTGGAGCAGACGCACCGCTTACAACTCATATATCCAGCGTCAATCTCGCACCGTACTTTGGCTCGGGCGCACGGCAGACAAGCCTTTGGTATACGGCCGGTGTCGGTCTCGGTCGGTGGGGACAATCCTTGCATAGCTTGAGCTGCTCTCAATGTCTAACGTTGTATGGTTCAAACGAACACAGGACGTCTCCTAGAGCCATGTGGGAGTGCGGACGAAAAGATCTTGATCTTGTCACGTTGTAGAGAAACATAAGTGAGAAACCAGGGACACAGGTACCGTCTAGATACGGACACGGAGCACGGGATTCCGAATCCACAACCACCACTCCAGGCACCGACCAGGTGCTGCACAGGCATACACAGGCCAAGACAGGCCTAGCACATACTCCCGGACTAAACCAAATGCAGAGGGACGGATTTCCGGCCTGACGGCGCTATTCCTATTAAGCAGGAGGACATGCCTTAATCTGTTCATGCCACGTGATCCAAAGTGGGTTATCTGCCCAACAACCCGAATGAGGCCTTCCGATCTTCAGCATAGGTGATCTGTGGCCGTTCTTTTTAAATTTGTCTGAGAATCTTGCTGTCGGCGAAGAGATGACCATGCGTCTTCGTCTCGGTGAACTCGCCTTTCCATTGTTTTTTGTGTCCAGACTTGGCTGCCACTGTAACCACGACACTTCCCTCATACATTGTCGAATACCTTACGAGTCTATAAGCCCCAAATTGCATTCAGTTCTGAAAGCATGCTCAATCGTTACGTCCTGGCAGTGATTTTACTGGAAGTCGCTTCTCTGGTGGCGGCTCATGAAGTCGACGAAGCCCACGAGGCAGGAATTGCTGGTGTGGAGATACCTGAAAGCGCTGCCTCCAACAATGCCACACGAAGCGACCTTTACAGCATGTCCAGTTATGCAGGCCTGTCCGAACAGTCGAGCGTGGTCATAGCCCACATTGTTTTGATGTTTGCTGCCTGGTTCTTCGTCCTGCCGATAGGTATGGTGCCTCCGATAGCTGAGAGTCAATCCGAGTGTTAACATCACTAGGCGTTATGTTCAGCATTGCGAGATCTCGTCTCGGATTTTTTACCCAGTCAATATTTATACCTTTGAACAGCCTAGGCGTATTACTTGGAATAATTTACAACGACAAGACGCCCGATTTGTATCAGAACAATGCGCATCACACGATTGGATGGATTGCAACATGGGTCACGACTGTACACGCCGCCCTAAGCTTGGTATTCTTTTATGCTGGACAACATCACAGCATGAGCTTGATAGCAGCCGGGAGAGCAGCGTTCTTCCCTCTAACGCGGGACAGACGTCAAGCATCCCGAGCCCCCCGACCTTGCAGCGGCCGCCATGGCTCGGCAATTGCTCTACAACGACTGAGTGAAGACTCCCAAAAGTCAGACTTTGAAGACATCGACGACGACGACGAATCTCCAGTGCGTCTGCCTTGTCGACCAAATCGCCTTGGCATAAGCTTCCTCAACAGGTTCTTGGGGACTCGACTCTCTGATGGGGTATTACCTAGGTTGATGGGAACATTGAAGGCTCTTTATGACATTGTTGATCGAACTGTTTTGGTCCTGGGTTTTCTTGCTCTGGTAACGGGAGGGGTTACATACACTGGCATCTTCGTAAGTCTCGGTGTGCCACCCGCAGGAAATTACTGACATGATCAAATCAGCGTGGCAACCACATCTTCAACGGCCTTGCTCATTTCATGAAAGGAGGTATTTTCTTTTGGTATGGACTCCTGACTCTGGGCCGGTGGATGGGCTGCTTTGCCGAATATGGCTGGGCGTGGAACATGGGATCCTTAACAAGCTCTGCTCCATCGGCCGAATTCGTCGAGTGTTTTTGCATTTTTCTGTATGGGTTGAGCAATATGTTCCTCGAGCATCTAGCCGCATGGGGAGGCGCGTGGACTGCACAAGATCTAGAGCACGTCTCTATATCTATGATGTTTTTCGGTGGTGGCTTGGTAAGTTAGCTTGTGAGATTGTATCCTTACAGTTCCAGTATGAGGCTGATAATCAGCAGTGTGGCCTGTTGGTCGAGTCCAAGAAGATCCGAAAATGGCTCGACACGACAATAATCGAATCGGCTCGCATACACGACAACGCTCCAGGACTCCCCAGACCGTCTAAGGTGTACAACTACTCGACCAACCCGATGCCGGCACTGATCATCCTCTTACTGGGCCTCATGATGTCCTCTCACCACCAGAGCTCCGTCGTGTCAACCACAGTTCACAAACAATGGGGCATGTTGCTCGTGGGATTCTCGGTGATGCGAATGCTCACCTATATCGTCATGTACATCTCTCCGCCAGACTCAGTCTACGCAAGTCGGCCTCCGTCCGAATTAGTGGCTTCGTTCTGCTTGATATCGGGTGGCATTGTCTTCATGGCAAGTACTAAAGACATTGTCCACTGGATGGAAGAGGCGAACCTGATGGGTATGTTCATCTTTACAGTCGCGATGGGCTTAACAGCCTTTATTATGGCGTATGAGATTCTCGTGCTTTCGCTCAAAGGCTGGGTGGCGCGACGCGAGCTCAGGAAATAGTACGAAGTCGTGTTTCCCGTCGATGCTGCGAAGAGTCTCGGCTCTCCACAATGACTGTCGACTCAATCAAATCTGGAAAGTGCGGGACAGTCTTGTCATCGCAATGCAAAAGTACTGAGGCGTCGGTGGCTTTCCTACATTGTATACGTGAATTTCTGGAAGCCCATCACAGCTCTTTCCATGATTGGGGTCCTCAAGCGACTACCTCTTCTACTCTTTGTTCGACCTCATCCAGCTAATTACAACCACGAGCGTCGAGGTGCCAAGCTGCTAGTGCGACTAGAAACTGTCCTCTCCAGTGATAGAGGATCATTTTCACTGCTTTCGAGGGCTCTTGGAGCGTCGTGGATAGAACAAGCCGCGAATTTCGGCGCTCATTGAAGCGCTTCTATGCCTATGTTATCCGAGATTTTCACGAGACCATCACCATTAACGATATCCACAATAAGGCTTCTCTGAACGAGGGATTTCTCAGCCGAAAATGCATCTTCCCGTCTAGGTCATTCGAAAAATGTGAACACATTGTCGTCCCCACCACGGATTTACACCTATCCTCGAGTTCGGAAAAGTACGTCGGAACTGGAGAGATCTTTGTGAAGCCCATTCTCGGAATTTGAACGTGTAGTCTAAGTTATGCTCCGCTCTTATAGCGCCGGCCATGGCTCTGAAGATACTGGGTCTACGTTGCTTGACGCGTAAGACTCGCCGTGAAGTCAACGTACTCATGAACCGTTCCGAACTGCAAGCACACTAATCTCCGATTAATAGCATCTGGCCAGCATACATGTGGCCCAGAATTTAACATCCAGTTACTCCGGTGGAATATCACCTGTCCCTCTTGTCCCGTTCATGTCATTTCTTGGCCTTCACTTGCCGTCTCGCTCAACATCCGAGAGCTCAAGGGTTGAGTCTGCACTTTGCTCCATCACTGCAGCTGTTCCTGCCTGCTTCGAGAAGTATGACGGATACCAGACGCTGAAAATAACCATCACTGCTGCCATAGGTATTGCGTCGAAGATATAAAGGTACACCTCATGGCGAATGATCGTCCCCTCGAAGCCCTCGATGAATTCTGCCACGCGCACAATTGACCGAATCATGACGAACGCGCTCGCAATGTACAGTATCCAAAGAAACCTCTCCCAAAGTAAAGAACAGGCGCGAGGCACACGGCGCAATCGAAGGTGAAAAACCACCGCAACGGCAATGAAAAATCCGAAAAGGACGATCTGAATAACCAGTCCAATCAAGACGATGCGGGAGCCTGTCTTTGCTGTTGACGCTTTGCTGCTCGCCATCAGTCCGCCGCCTGTACAAAGTTAGAGCAAGTCCTGGAGGAGACTCGAACCCGCACGGAGATTAGATCATTCAAGCGTACCACCAAGCTGGATGAAGAAAGAGAGCACGTCGCCCGTCACGAAGGTCTTCGTCAACCACCTCTTTTTGATCAGACTGTAAGATTCACCATCCACACTGAGAATTATGCGACCCAGTACCATATAAATGCTAGCCGCGAACAGGGCCGGAGCGACGAGCAGAAGGAGGGTCTGGATGACATAGGGAGCGAGAGTTGGGTCTGGCGCTTGCCCGTGAGATACTCCGCGGGCTGCATATCCAACGATTTCGAACTGCAGTCGAAGACGTTAGCAGGCGTTTGCCGGGGTCGGAGATGAGGGTGGCGGGGGTCGAATTCGACGACACGACGCACAATACCACCAGTAAGACATGGAATGAAGTACCAAGTTCGGTGCTTGGCGATTAAGAATGCGTGCCATATGGTCGATACCCCGAAAAGCACAACAAAAACACAGGCGGCGGCCAGCGAGGGATCGTAGTGATAGAATTTGAAGTGCTCATTTGAGTCTGACGACATCCTATAACGACGGCAGTTGTTGGTTGTGTATTGGGGGTTGCGAAAGCTGCTTGAATGGAAATCATGCAGCTCGATGGGACGAGCGAGTGGCGCCAAAAAAAAAAGGAGCTCAAAACCGACGATCAAGAACAAGGAGGACCGGGTGGAGGATGAGAATGAAGACAGACGCCATGAAGGCCAGATATATATACTACCAGCAGCACCGTACACCTCCTCTACATGGGGCTGGAGAAAAGGACGGGATTCCGATGTTGGATGTCATTGACGAGCACTCATCAACAGGGCATCAATCCTCGAGACCGAGCAATGCCAATAACACTGGCCAGAAACACTGATGCCTTGAGCGACATATTTCGACGGGCAGCAGGTTGACCATGATTCGTGAGTATCAAGTTCGGAACTCGATGGCTAAATCTGAAGCATGCTACGAATAGGGAGTCGTCTCCCGATTTGGCTAAGGAACGGAATTCCGCTTGGTCGATCTTGCCAGATACTCCATCTCACATATCCTACTCAGCCTACTACATGTAGTAAGGCAGCAGAGTGGAGCCGTCCATCCCCCTTTTGGTCTCACTGAATTAACATATCATTCCTCTCCAAGGGAGGCATCCTCTCCGAACTTCGACCATGCAACTCAGTCAAGTCCATCAAGGCGTCCTAGAGGCAGTTAAAAGAGCTCCGAGCCAATTCCAAGAACCAAAAAATGGGTCTACCAAATAGTACAAGTTGATCTGGCAAGGGCAGCTATAGGATTCTTGAGACCCCTGACCAAAGGGACACAATGGCAGATAAATCCATTTAGTTGAGGAATCTGTACTGTCTTGGAACAAGGGAAGGGCGAACTTCTGACGGCTCTACAGGGAATCCTACCTTGTTTTCTGGTACTTGTCAGAAGCTTTTCAGATCCTGGGTGACGCCTGGTCTCACAGAGATGCCTCGATAACACGGCACAGCACCTGCTTCTCCATCTTGCACGTTCTTCATTGTTCCGACGAGTGGCCATATCCGTCAAAGCGACCGCCAACCGAGCCAATTCTTGATCCCACATGTAGCCATATTGTGCTCCGAGTCATTGAACCGCTCAAGTGAGGTCGTAGATGAGTATGCGAGGAATAAAGGTGGAGGTCGTGGAGGGTCGGCCTTGGATCTCAATTGCCTTTCTCTACATGGGAGCCAGAAGTAGAGCCTAAGGGAATCAAAAGGAACCCGAAACGGCTGGTTGACTTGACCACAAAGCTAGCCTTTGTTGGGGACCATCTTTCTCTTCCTTGAACGCTTAGCCTTGCAATGGAAATCAGAAAGGTGCTGTCGATGGCGCTGAGTCGCAGGAAGGGAAGAGGCGTAGATTTGTTTCTGTCAATTGGGGCTCACTAGGCCTATCATCGTCGACGCTCGCTCGGGATCCTCTGTACTCGGTTGGTAGATCGCATGGCCATCGTGGAAAGGTTTGCTCATATAAAATCCTTGGGAAATCGACTCATTCCGCAGTTTTGGAGCTTGGAGGGTGTTTCCTCAGCTATTTTGGAGGTGATATGTTCCAAGATTTACACTCGCCGTTGTTGTTGTGGCATGGAATGACCTGTTACGGTAGCGTCTGCAGTCTATTAGACTGGTCATAACTAGAGAGACTGAAGCATTATTCCTCGACGCCAAGCAGAAAATGAACCGCTTGAGCTGATCCTATGGGTGGCATTAGTGGGTTAATGAGTTACTGGTCTCTGCGCTGCGTTTTTCGGCGTTGCAACGTAGTCGGCAGTGTAAGGACAGGGGATCACCCAAGGATCTACCGAGCTCCCAGACATTCGTCTGGAACAGGTGCCTAGCAGAGAGGTAGGTGTAGCCTCACCAGCCTCACCATCCGACCGCTCGGGGGCAGTTTCGGCCCCTCCTTGTACCTCGGTGTGCTCCTCAAGGTGTGCTCATTGAGGCTGCGCTAATTGCTCAGTTAAAGCCCAGGTTAAAGCGGCCGTCGCTCGCCCTCTAGGATCAAACCGTAATATAGTAATTAGGTTTTTCGTTCGCGAGTAATCTAGGTACCTATGTAGGTAGTTGACCTAATAGTCCAATACACTCCACATTCCGCATACGAGAGTCTGACCAGCTCACGAGCCCACTCCGTAGGAGAAACGACATGAGCCAACTTCCTGCTGCCAAGATTTCTGAGCCTTTCGCGATCGAAGTTGGCTGCTCCTCCTCACCAAGTGTGTATGCTGTCAGTTCTGGCCCTCGAGACATACGTTGGACGGCCATGGCCGATATGCCTTGTCACCGAGGGACAGCCTTCTCCCATGGACCTGGGCTACATGGTTACCATCATCGCATCGAGGATCGAGACCATGTGTGCATTTCCGCACCAAATGGCGCCCGAGACAAATTCATCTGGTCCATTTTCAACTTCAACTACTGAGCAGATAAAGACAGCGATGAGTCCTCTGCCGAACTCACGGACCCAGGGCCATCCATACGGCTTGGCTGCCGAACAGCCTATGTGGCGGGACGTGGTCCAGAGCTTCGATGCCATCTATCCATGTATGGCTGGGAAATCTTATCCGCGAACATCCAAGATTCCCCAATCGTCAGCACTAGCCATGGGTGCCTTAACTGTCTGCCATTTTCTTACCAACCTTCGTATCCGAATCTCACCCAGAATATGACTCGCATGTAGGAGGAAAGGAGGTCCCCTCTCTTTTGAGTCTTCCTTCCCTCGGAGAGAAACAGAAGAAGTAACAGACCTCGCAGGGCCTGGGAAAGGAGAAACCAGATTTTGAATTCTGGACTCCGTTTCTGCTCAGAGAGCAATAGGGTCTAGACACTCTGCATAGACACTATGATTTATAGGATATATGTGGGCAAGGCTCCACCTCCTGCTCAACGTAGGGTACGCCCAAGAGAGAGAAAAAAAATCCCTACCCGTGAATGCATGACCGCCTTCCTTCGTAGCGTCTCCTTACGCTCGGAGAATCTGACGATCCGATGCGTGGTTTGTCCTCCTCAAAGAGTCCCTAACCTAAGATTACTAGCGAGTGACCACAATCTTCTTGACTTCCTGCTAGATGGCAAGCCGCGCTGACATCTACACCGCTTCGACTGCGGTGGGGACCAGTTTCTCGTCCGGGCGTCTGGCCAGTTCGCGTAGAGGCGTTTGTGTATTTTTTTCGGCCCCGTCATCGATGTTGGGATCATTGGCGAATGAAGACAACTGACATTTCAAGCCGGCGTCGAGTTTTCTTTTCCCTGACCTTTTCAACTTCTGTTCCATCTTTGGACTTTCCTTGAGGGCAGAGAAAAGACCAAGCTTTGTAGGTTAATCTCTTCCCCCTTCCTCGCAGACGAGCCGAGCTTTATATCAAGGATAATATGCTCAAGGCCAACACCATCGCCATCATAGCCCGTGGAGAGCCGACACTCCCTGCCCCGTTGCCCACCTGCTGCACCAAGTTCGAGTTCTCGACCACCTTCACACACGACAGGTGTGCCTCTGGCAAGGCCACGGCCTTTTGAGAGTTCGAAGAAGAAGCAGCCGGATCGTAGAAGATGGTCAGAACTGGCGTTATGCTGTAGAAGAATGGCGCGATGTCACTAGAGACTTCTTCTGAAGTGACCGTTTGGGTTTCAACCAAGGCGATGTTGTATGTCGTGCCACTCGAGACGCTGGAGGTGGGGTGGCAGCTCGTTTGGGAGATGGGAGCGTCGACAGAGGATTGAGGGCCGGTGATCTCTAGAGGGACCCGAGTCAGCAGGCAAGCCACTTGGGGGGGGGGAGGTTTCAACAGGGTCTCATCTCACCTTTGGCGACGATAGTGCCCCATGTTACAGTTGCTATTGAACACGACGGCGGAGGATTGGCTTCCATGGTGGTCTGCAGGGCGGTGCACACAGAGCGGTTGTCGACATTACTTTTTGATCCAAGCGTCTGTACTTGCTGCCTGGCCTGAGACAGAAGATCATTGACACATACATCCTGCAGCGTCTGGCCGCATGTCACTGTCCCATATTCCGTGACACCGTTGAGCGGCAAGCTCCTCGCGATTCCTTCGAAGAACAATGCACAGCCTGCAAATGCGGCCGGCGTCGTGAGGTTCATTGACGGGGGATAGCCCAGGTAGAAGTTCTTGCTGAACGTGACATCGCTCGAGTTCGAGTTCGACGAGGACGCCCCAACGGTCCAGGTGAGCGGTGCATTGTCGGGCGACAAACTGCTGTTGAAAGAGGTCGTTCCGATGAATGAACTCGTCGTGTTGCCGAGTGTGCATTCATTGTCGGCCCCACCGTTGCAGTCCAGGACATCGCAGCCAACCACCTGAGAGCAGGCTTTCTGAATGAGGAGCGATAAGCATATCGCGAGGGCGGCCCATAGATTGCAGTGGGGGACGGCCACAGGTCCTCTGCTTCGGTCGGGGGGAGAAGACAGCATCTTTCACGAACAACGACAGCGAACCAAGGGCAGAAGAGATGAGGTCGAACCGAAGGCCATAACCTCTTACAAAACAGCGCTGGCAAAACACAAGAGCTCAGACGAGAGCAGTTCGTTCAGATATTATGAGCCCTCGTTTCTTTGGGCCCTGGCTTTTTTATTTTCTGGCGTCAAAACTTACCTTACGTTGAGTTTCCCGCTAGTATGCATGTCATATGTATGCCGCCAACATGAAACACCTCCTCATGCGAGCGCTTCGGAAAGAACAGAGAGAATCCAGACGCCAGCAGGCCCCGAAGAATATCCATAATTAGCAATGCAGATTGTTTTTGTGGGCCGGGTCAGCGCTTACCTCTAGGCACTTATTTTATGCCACTGATGATGTCCGGTATGCTATTGGTCGACATTATTATCCAGTGGGTCCTGATCTGGTGGTATCGATTGGCCCAGCCGGCCCGCTATGGCGCTTAACGTTGCTATATTCGTCGAGCTCGCTCTGGACTGGACAGCTGGACAGTTGCCCCACTGGGCTTGTCCCTTTTTGGACATTCCACTCAATTCCGGCCTTGAGGACCTGCCATCACAGGCAGACCTTCTGGAGTGGTGTGGTTGTTGGCGCTATCCACCCATCACCAATGGAAGTAGTTTTGCTTCTTTGATTGAGTTCGCCATCCCAAAAGTACAGTTGTAATTGCAAAAGCGCCTGGCCGGATGTGGCCGACCGCAAGGCGATCCCGTAATCTTGTTTGCCACTCCTCTGATAGTGAAAACTAGTGGACATTCAGCGAAGCTGGAAGGTCCTCGTGCAAGGTGCGAGTTCTTGTTGAGGAGGGGTGGGAGAGCAGATTTCCAGAGGCAGATGCGGCGACACCAAAGGGAAGGCTGTGCTGACATAATACTGCGGATCGGTTTGGGGCAAGGCTGAAAATCCCCTGAAAATGAACTCGAGCGCTTATAAAGCACTACATGCGTCTTGAAAATCTCATCATATAGGAGGTATGCCTCGGTAGCCTTACTTGATAAGCCCACTGGACCCCTACTTACCCTTCGTCCCTCAGTATGGCGTTCAGAACTAAATAAACAACGGCCACACTCCCCTTCTCCCAGAGGATCATGGGGCTCTGGAAACCAATCTCTCTCCCTCGTCTCCCGTGGACCAGGTCTCAATTTCCGACGCACTGGTATATACCGATGATATAGGTTTTCTCGGGATTTGAGGGAACGGTAATGGGGGCAATTGCCACTGAGTTGGAGCAGGTGTGTATGGCACAGGTGTGGGAGACATATCGAAGGCATTGAAAGAATCGCTGTACCTTGCATTCTCAAATTCAGATCTGCGTATGTCTCCCTTCTCCTGTATGAAGGATGTCACAGCCCTGATTTGCGACGTTGTTGGTCGTTTAATTGGACTGAAGCTGAATTCAATGTCGGGCGAAGAGTGTAGGCTTGAATTTCGCTCAGTGGGCCGGACGCCTCTTAACATCCATTCCAACTTTGACTGGGGCGTTTCCTCGAATGTCCTGCGGCTGCGGATGTAGGCGCTGATATAGCTGATAAGACCCAAGATGATCAGGACGAAAACCAGGATTGAGATGGCGAGAAATGCGGTGGACAGCTGTACCACCGGTACTCGGACGCTCAGCGTCCGCGTAACAGAATACCTATCTTGGGTGTCTTTGGTAGACACCCATACCTGGTAGAATCTCATCAAGTCGCGTGGTGTGATAGTTGTAATGTTGCCTGTCGCGATGGACTCGCCAACGAACCGTGCATAATAGTATTGGACCAGTGCCTGGGCGACCTGCCACGCCTTGGAACAGTCGGGATATGCGATGTAATTGAGACTAGGATCTAGAGTATTTCGCCTCACGATGCATTCGATCTTAGTATAGCTTGCAGACTCAACAGGGCCTTTCCCAAAATAGCAATAGCTGTCTGGGTCCTCCTGGATACTGAGGTTGTGTAGGTAGACCGCGGCAAGGTCGATGGCCATTTCAAGATTGATATTAAGTACTTCATCATAATCAGTCACTTTCGCCGCACCCATGGCCAGCAGCACGTCTTGGTTTATCCCGTTATTTTGTTCTCCTCCCCACCAGGTGCTAAAGTTCGATACATCGTACTTGGAAGGCGAGATCACCTTCTGTAATCCTGGCAGCTCGTCGAGAATATAGTCGCAATTTCCAGTGTCCTCAAGCGTGATAGCGGTTCTTTCAGTACTTTTGCAGTCCAGGCTCCACGTGGAATTCCACTCTCTGCGATCGTATGTCCACGGGATTGTGGGATCAGGGAGGTAATCCAGTAACTGATCGTGCGGAAAGTCGGCCTGATCAAGGCTTGTGAACGTCTCATTCCAAAGCACAGGAGCGTTGAGAATTGCTACATAATGCCGCATTGCGATGGTTCCTGAGATGTTCTGAGGAAGGACCCGGTGGCTGGTGCTCGTTGAGTACCTTGCAATCGGCCCAGACACCAACCCTACGACGGAAAGGATAATAGCAAGACAGGATTGCACGAGAATCTTGAGATGCCGCCGTTGAAAGATTCTGGTCTTCAGGAGCCAAATGATGTCGATGGCTTCACCGAAGGTGTTGACAGTGATCAGATCCGATATGGGTATGCTCCGATGCCTCGCCATTCCCGGAATGGCGGACTGCCAGCAGAATCGCGCACAGGCGAATATGCCGAGCACGCTCAGGCTAGTGATGATCACGTTCAAGGCTGCTTGAACGTCTTGAAGTCGCCATTGGGTGGGTAGGTTGACCCAGCTGGTCGAGGGCATTGTTGTGCCTGACTGAGACAATCAGTAGACAACTCCGGCAAACCAACATCTTTCGAAAGGCTGGAAACTTGAAGCCTGGAATCGATGTGGTGCAGATAGCAGAACACAGCCCTGATATACCCTACTTGTTATTCGATTTCTCCTGGGTTGGTGTCCACGTGGCAAACCTTCGCCGAAGCTTCCGGTAGCTGAACGGACAGCTCACCTTGTGATTCATCCGGACTTGTTAGTGCTATCGTCCTTTTTCAATTGTCGCTTTGCGGTGGAATGCCAAGCGAAATATGCTGAATCGGGATACTTCCAAGACACGCCGCCATCTGGGCTTCCCCACTTTATTGCGCTTTTCCAAACCACACGGGTTTAAGCGAAGGACGAAGACTTCGTATAAAAGCTCGGCGCAGAGCTGGTTGTGGTTTTGGCCCTTGTCTGCTCTTTGACAGGTAGGTGATAACCTTCTTGTATGTTCGTGGACATGAGCTCGCACTGCTTGTTCACGGGCAGAGCCGCGAACTGACTGGGATCGATGAATACCCTATTTCATCCTCGAATTTTCTGGGTGCTGAAAGGCAAGAAAGATGTTGAGATCTCAGGTCACTTTCAGCCGGGTAAGGCTGGAGAGGGGTGAATCGTCGATGACCTGCACACCATGATGCCGACGAGCCGACGGGCTGAAAAAGGTGGCTTCAGTTGACGACCCGCGCAAGTACCGGGTAGGCAGAGACTCAACAACACCCTGGGCGAGACAGAAGTGCGGCTGGGGAGGCTGTAGCGCAACCACCCACCACCCACACAGCAACATGTCAAGTCTCGTGCGGAAGAATCAGCTTGGTGCTGCAGTGCAGTGTATGCATGAATTGAACAGAGTTACAATGCTATGCTAAAGCCAGACTTAGAATATGTTATCACAGCTTCCCATTCCAGCGGCTCCATACAGGGCACAATGCTGCGCATCATGCTCGAAGTAATCGTGCAATGCTTCCTTTTGTATATTTGAGTACCGTACTCGAGTCCAAAACGACCGGGATGCCTCGATTGTGCTGTCTTCCTTACAAGACTACACTTCTGAAGCCGGAACACCCTGCTCACTCACTTGAAACAGATTTCCCCCATCGCCGCATCACCGCATAATCTTGTGTTGTAAAAGTCTAAATGGGGCGTCGCAGGAAACAAAATATGATGCCTGACCAGTCGTCCTGTGTAAAAAAAAAGTCATCTTCATTGAGACGTCGTTTCGATGCGTTCCGCATGTACTCCGTAAACGTGTGCTCCACTTTATTCCGAAAATGCATGGCGTCCTTATTGTGTCATTGTAACGTCCTGGTCTGGATCCTCAGTAGACTCTGGGTCCTCCACTTCAAAACGAATGTTTGGTGTTGGTTCTGCCCGCGTGAGAGGCGTTCTTGCTACCCGTTCTATTAAGTCGGGTGGTAACAAAGGGAGCTCAATTTGCCGATCCGATTCAGTCCGAGGGAGGTCCGGTCTCAATTGATCGGCAGCATCAGCTTCTGCAAGTGCCCGCAGCATTGCTTCCCGTTGTGCTTCTTCCTCCATGCGGGACCTTTCTCGGCTTCGCCGCTCCCGACTGCTGCGCCTCGCATCGTCTCCTTGACTGAGTGGGGTCGACGAGAAGCTCCGCGGAGGTGCTAGAAGACTGCTCAGTCTCGACCTGCTATTCACCCTGGACAGGTGAGGGCTGTTGGATCGTGATGGATGTCGACTACCAGGCCGACTACCTGGAATGGTGGACATTATTGCTTCGTGGTTAGCGTCAAAGGCGCTGAAACCTGGTTCAGGTCGCAAAAACGACTGCCGCACATCGGCAGGGTTTCTGAAAGACGCTCCTGGAATGTGCCTTCGAGGGGGTTCTGATGCAAACAAATGCGGATTTGGCCAGCCAGGAAATCTCCTCGGGTCGTCTAGCCCGAAGTATCCGGCTCGTGGATCGTTGGAATAGTGACCGAGTTCGAGAGGCCGAGAACTGCTTTCTCCAAATCCATGTATCGGAACAGGAGGAGGCGCGTAGAGACTCGAAGTTGACTCTAGGGTGTGTCTCCGCGATGGAGTTCGCGATGTGCTCCTCGCACGCTCACCATACTCCGCTGCTAGATCAAACGCGTTTGAATAACCAGGGCTCCGCGATCGACGCTCATATGGCTCGGATTGATATAGGGTATTGGAATGCATGAGATTAACATGTGGCGAAGCTTGGGATGTGCGGGACTCAGGTGGGAAAGCTGCACCAGGCGTCCATGGGCCCATTGGTTGAATCTGATCAAATGGCAGCAGTGGCATCTCAACATGACTGGGAAGCTCATGTAAACTTCGCCGTCGGGGTCGCGATCGAGGTACAATGGCCAAGGACAAGCCGTGTCGCTGGGAATTGAGCACAGGATCCATCAAGTGTTCGTTCCCATCAATCGTGCCATCGTCCGACAGGGTGTCCGCACCCGGACTGTCGACTCCATCAAGCAGACTGTCGTCAATCGCATCACGACCTTCTCGTTGCACTTCGTCCATAGCAAGGCGCAAGAGGTAGTCCCGAAGTCGCTGAACACCGTCTCCAGAAAAGACACAGAAAACATCTCGTTGGGGGTGGGTAAACTCGGCCGGGGCATCGCGGCAGAAGCGGGTCAAGTCTTCACGAAGAAATGCTTGCACGCCGGTCAATGACAGGTGGGTCAACCGAGGGCAATGGTGAAGAAGTGCTGTAATTCCCTGTTCAGTTGTTAGATAGAGCGACAATCGCGACCGGGTTTCTCATACCTTGAGCGTCAGATTCACGCAGTAGCTGAGATGGACTCTTTCGAGAGATACAAATTGTGAGGGTACCCCGATCTTCCCGCCCGGACTGAACAATAGTGGGCCCCTGGCCAGCGCCATAATGCTTGCATCCGTCAAGTTTTGGCATTTGACCAGACCAATTCTGCGCAGCTTGGGAAGTTGTGCTAAATGGCGAACGCTAGCATCTGTCAGTCGTGAGCAACATGCCAGGTCAATATATCGAATTCGATTGCAAGCCTTCACCAGCTGTATGACCGCATTGTCCGTCAGGTTGACGCAATGGCCCAGATGGATGTAATGCAGATTCTTGGTCAGTTTGCAGATGGAAGCAACTGCGCGATCTGTAATGTGTCTGCACTTGGCCAATACCAGGTTCCTCAGACGAGGCGCGGCCGGAATAATCCTTGCAATAGCATCGTCTCGGACTTGTTCACAAGCGGTCAGATCCAAAATCCTCAGCGCGTCAAAGGTAAGCCGCGGGGATAGGTTTGTAAAGGCTGAATCATTGATGTCGCTGCAATGAGCCAGGCGCAGCTCCCTGAGATGGGACAAATTCGATAGCAACGCAGTGACGGATTCCGAGGTAATGGAATGGCAGCCAGCGAGGTCAATTTCTAGGATAGATCGACAATTCCTCGCAACTGCCGTAATGGAGGCGTCGGTCGCTCGCACCACGCCATTGAGTTTCAGTCTTTTGAGTTGCCTACAATTCTTGGCGATCTCGACCAAAGACTCGTCGGTGATATTGGAACAATTTGTGATGTTGAGACCCTGCAATTTTGCGCAATTCTGAGCCACCACATGCAGCGTGCGGTCTGTCAAGGCGTCCAAATCAGTAACATCCAGCGCTTGGAGCTTCCTGCAGCCATCCACCAATCCTGCAACACCGAAATCGGTCAGATTCGAGCAATTGGTCAAGGTCAGGCGTTCGACACCCTTGCAGTTCATAAATGGCTGGACTGTGCCGTCATTGATCTTGTCTGCAATTGCGGATAGGTTCAGTCTCTTGACCATCTCGTGATATGGAAAATAGCTCTTGTCGCCCTTCCCCAAAGCTGCCACGACGTTAAGCAGGTTTGTCCACTTGTTGCATAGGGGGCGGTGCCACAGAATGCCCACTGTGTACAAGGCCCAGTGATACGACACCATCATACAGTTTCGTAGGTCAGATGTGGTGGTCAGTTTTGCCAGGATAGCAATGAGGATTTCGGGAGGTAATTTGGAGATGGGGGAGAGACGGTGGACTTGTTCGAGGTCGACATCGTCGTCGCAGTCACGAATGGCGGTAACGGCACCGAGGGAAGACTGTGAATCATTGGCATGTGCCATAAAGTAATCGGTGTCCTCATCATCGCCTGGACATGGAGAACTGTCTGAGCTGTCGGATTCGATGGTGACAGTACTCAGATTTCGGGTATGGATGGGGGAAAGACGAGGTCGCGGTTCGTCAGCCATGCTGGCGAGATCAGGCTGCGCGGGTGGAGGTGTGCAGCAAATCCAGAATTGTAGCAGAGCGTGTATTGAGATTCGACGAATCCGTGCCTCTGCTGCAGCATAGACCAGCTCCTCAAAGGATGCTTTCAGACGGGATTAAGTGAGAATAGTGTCATCGCTCGGTGGTGACGACGTCGGTTTGCGTGTCTTCGAAGGGGGGACAGTTCGGCGCATCCGGGTGCGGCGGTGAAAGGTCACAACGCAAACAGAATAGGGATGTGCATCAGACCGCGACCGGAACGTCCAAATATAATATGGAATGTTCACTGAGGGTTGTAGAGGGACGGAGAGGTGTGGAAAGGTGAAAGAGGTGGAGTGGGAATGGGCCCGGGTTCGGGCAACAGAGGATTGTTGAATATTCACGGTCGGTGGTCGAAAGGCGGATGGAGGATGGAGAAGAATGGAGGAGGATGGAGGTCGCAGGATGATGGAGGGAGACGAGCAGTGAGAAAGGAGGCGTTCGGCGGGTCGCAGTGGCTAGTGCCGCCGCTGGCCTGAAGGGTTGCGCCCTTGGTGCCCTTTGCTCGGGGGACTGCCACTGTTCAGGCACTGACAATTCAACTCTATTCATCCCCAAGAGCTCTGGCTCGGCTACTCTGTACTCGGTATACTGGGTGCTAATTATTAAAAGGCTCAGCTGCCAAGTTCGGGTGGTCATTGCTGCAGGGTTCCTTCGCTTCTGTCCAGGTTTGGGCCTCTCGAGGTTCACGATTAGGCCCCAGTTGCGTCAGGAGATGTGGCTAAGGGATGCCGGGGGGTTGCCTGGGGGGCTGTCACCAGAGAGGCTCTTCCATCACAGGGATGCCTAATAGCCCCTGTTGGACAATAATATCGCTTGCCTTTCTCCATCTCACAACGCTTTTTACATCATACTCGTACCCGACCTCCAACCTACTGCAGACTATGGTTGTAGGAACGGACTATGAGTGGACAACAGCAGATCTTGATTTCTCGAGCCACCAACGGCACAACTAAGACCCAGTGTATTATCTCTTGAGATTTGACTCAACTACGAGAAGCGCGACTTCTTCTCACCCTCGAAAGCGTCATTTGCAGTTCTTACGAGTATAGCAGGCTCTTAACGCGATCAGTTTGCTCCTGATCATCTTCCGTGCGGGTTTGACCAGGGTCTCGTCTCCAGATCGTGATCAGCCTTCAGCTAACGTTGAGGCGACAGCTGACATTGTTCCTCCCGTTCAGACATGACATTCATTCTTCAAACCAATCATGCAGTCCTCCGTTCTGTAACGTCTTTCAGGTCCTTATTCGCAGACGCCAGCCTGGATCATACGCGTATTCTCATCAACCCAACGATCCACCCTGTTCTCCCGCATGACGTGCTTTTCATACTACTGGTACTTGTACAAGTATGTACGGGAAGCTACGGGGGCGGCGACTCGAACCTCCGTGACGCCGATAAAGATGCATAGGTAGGTAGTTAGCAGGGCTCTTGCAGGGCTGTCGGCTGCAGCCATTGACCACTAAGCTATCCCTACCCAGTACCATCCCGCGGTCTCTCAAACCCGAGGCTTGATTTCGTGCTCAAAAAGTCTGCATCTATGAAGGAAGGTTTAGAAGGAACAGAATCGGGTCAATCGCATACCAGACTAGCTGCTTGGTCAGGCACAAAGTGAGCTCGACAACACAACGTGCACAGGCTTGAGTAGGATGTACTTGTATGTACCCTTTCTCGCCTTCTCATACTAGTATGAATCTTGCCGATCCCGATGGTCCGGCTTGAGCCGAAGCCATCCCTGTCTCATCCTGCAGAAGGACACACGGCCTCGACGGCAACTGTCCAAGACGATCCACAACGTCTAGCCTAAGAGACGTCACAACCGAACATAGAAAAGCCATGGCCATGTGTGGGCAACATGCTCCGTTCGGATCTTCGGGCTTCACGTACTGGGTAGTCACCCACGCATGTCCTGAGAGAGGTGCCGCGGAAGGAAAAGAGGATTTGGAATGGTACCAAAACTGAAACTCGGCTATGAAGGTCAGGAGCGCCATAGGTATATCATCGACAAGAAAGAATGGACATCATGGCCCCCCAATTCCCACGCAAATCCATGACCTCAGATATCCTTGGGCATCAGCCTCGCGGGTCACTCCCAGTTGCGCCCTTTACTCCCCTCCTCTCTTTGCCCCTTTGGCCCATTCTCGGAGGACATTTTTCCTGATCTTGCCCGTGCTGGTCTTGGGCAACTCGGGGACAATTTCCACCTCTCGGGGCACCATGAATCGGCTGATTCCTGGGTGGTCACGCGCCCATTTGATCACATCTTCGCCCGTCACCTTGACATTGGGTTTGACCGTTATAAATGCCTTGGGCCGTTCGCCCCAGTGGCTGTCGCTGACTGCAGCCACGCCACACTCGAGAATATGGGGATGCGTGACGAGCATCGATTCCAAGGCAACGGAAGAAATGTTCTCACCACCTGATCATAATGTTTCAGCGAGCTGTGCATCACGCCGCGTTCAGAGACAAGAACTTACCAGAAATGATGATGTCCTTTGCACGATCCAAAATCTGGATGGCTCCATCTTCATGCCACACGGCTAGATCTCCGGAGTGCAACACGCCGCCCAGGAACAGCTTTCTCGTCGCGGTTTCATCCTTGTAATACCCTCGAGCACAAATGTTGCCGTTGAACACAATCTCTCCTATCTCTTTCCCATTCCTTTCGACATCGATAATGGTGCCATCAGGTACGTCGGTCTTGATCACTCTCGCGGGTAGTGATGTCACAAAGCCGTGACCCTGGCGAGCCATTTTGGCGTATTTGTCCTTGACATTGGGGAACTTGTGCCATTCTGGCAGGATATAACCTTTCGTGATCGGGCCGTATGTCTCAGTCAGCCCGTAAACGTGTACTGGATGCAAATTCAGGTTTGTCATTTGCTCGAATAGATGGGCCGTAGGTGGACTGGCCGCCACAGTGACTCGCACAGGGTTGGGCAGCTTTTGGGCATTGGAATCAGCGCACAGAAGAGTGTTGACGGTCGGAGCTGCGCAATAATGGGTGATGCCTTCATCCTTCAGCAACCGCCATATCTCTGGATAGTCGATCTTGCGAAGACAGTAATGGGTTCCTCGCGCAGCAGTCACGGCCCAGGGGAAGGTCCAACCCATGGCATGGAACATTGGCAGGGTCCAAAGGTACTTGCAGCGCTCGCCATCATGATATGCAAGACCGGATTCGATTATATTGCCCAGGGCGCCCAAATAACAACCTCGGTGAGTGTACTCGACGCCTTTGGGCCGCGCGGTTGTGCCACTTGTGTATGCCAAAGCATTGACGGCAAGCTCGTCGGGGGCCAAAGCCTCGAGACCGTCCCAGCCGCGAGAGCCTAGCGAGGAGTCGTATTGCAGGCCCTCAAGCACGGCTTCATCAAACGGTCCACATAGCTGGCCCTCGACGGCATCGGTGTCTGTATCGATGATAATAGGCACGTTGGGATGGGTTTGCCTGTAGTCATCGAGCAAGGGCAGGAACTCGGCGTCCACCACAATAGCATCGGCATCGGAATGGTCAAAGATATAGGCTATGTCGTCCTTTTTCAAACGGTAATTGATGGCAATGTTGATTGCGCCTGCGCCCCCAATGCCGAAGACCGCCTCGAGGAAGGCCGGGGTATTCGTGGACAATATCCCAATCCTCTTATATCCCTTCTTCTTGATATAGTATGCGAAGCCTCGAGCTCTGTCGGCGAATTCGATATATGACCTTCTCAGGATCTTGTTGTTGGCCGTGCGGTGATAGATGGCTGGAGCATTGGGCTCGATGGCTGCTGCGCGAGGCAGGAAGAATGCTGGGGAAAGAGTATGGATGTTGTACCACGATAGAGTGCCCACGGTGTGGTTGTCGATGCTGAGATTGTCGATGGACTTGCTGGTTTGACCCTGGGGACTGGAAGGGAAGATTTGCGCTGCCAAACTGGACAGACGCGATTTGGCGGAGGACATGGTGGGCACTCTACGGTTTCCTCTTTCTCTCTGTGTCCGCGACAATGAGTTACGACATGGTGATAAAGAGTGACGCTGTGAGGTGTCTCCTGGAGGGCTCTTGGAAATCAAAACGGGAAGGAGGGTGGGCTATAAGTTCGTTCTATTGCTGGCTTCCCGAATTTTGAAGCTCATGTCACCAGAGAGGCAGCGTCACCAGCGTTGGAAAGGTCCGAGGCATTCGAGGAGCTGAATGCACCAAGTCTGGGGTACGATGGGTGGGAGTGGAACCCCAAAAGGCCCCAAAGTGCCCCTCAAGTCTCCAGCTGGGGGGGGCACCAGGGGCGCCTAAGATGCCTTTAAGCGGGTGCCTGGCAATCTTGATACGTCGGTCGGGCGGAACCACGAGTTTGCGCCGTGGCTGATTGGTTCCGCCGTGGCCCTGGCGATGGACAGATTTCCGAGCCCGGACTTCGACTTTCCCGGTCGACTCTCGGAAAACACTGCTCGGTAGTTGGCCACAGTCAAAAACTGCACATCAACTGTTTGCCAGCCTTTTGGACCCGAACAAATCCCGCGCGATACGAGGCTCGATCGACACTTGTACAGCATGTAAAGACTTTCTGGGCGAATCTACCTGCCAAGCAGCTCCCTCGTCTGCTGGCATCGTTTTCATTGGAAGAGAGGACACCTATTTGTCTCTGCTGCCATCTCCTATCTGCGGATGGATACAGATATCATATGCTTCGCAGTGTCTGGCAAAGTGGTATGCCGCGGTCCAATTTCAGGGTGATTTCGGAAAGCTTTGGCTCCCCTTCGATGTTCGTCTGAGAGCAGCTGGATGTTGGGTTCCCGCACCGTTGGCCCTCCGGATCCGATGCTCAGAATTGTCAAAATGAGCAGAGGCTACCCCTTTTCCGCGATACGGTCCGCTGCGGGCTTGCGGTTGCCGTATCGTCAAGCATATCCCAAGGACCAAAACGTCTCGATGTTCGTGCCAGTGTCCTCATCGACGTATGGGGTCGGTTCCCTTAGGGTCACGCTTTCCCCGTGGATTTCAGCAATCTGACCGGTCAAGGATGGATCTGATACTAGCTGCTGAACCCCTCGTGTCAGCGTGGACATGGGTGTGAGGATCATCGTCTTGAACAACGCTTTGTCCGGAGCAATGTTTGTCTCTGGGCACACCAGTCAGTTTCACCCCCCCCTACAGATTTCCACCGAGCAACCTACCAAGAACAGCAGGCGCCAAAGCATTGATCTGGATCGCCTCTTTCTCAAGTTGACGTGCGAGTGATCTCACCAGACCGACGACCCCAAACTTGGACGCGGCATAAAGCGGTGCGACTGCGAACGCATATAACCCGGCGTTCGATGCTGTGCAGATGATGGAGCCTTTGGAAGGGGCTGTGGCACCATTGACAACAGGATTCTTCCTCATGTAGTGGATAGCCAGCTTTACGGCTGTGCGAAGGGCATCAGCCACAACCCATTTTCAGGAGAACCATTTCTAACTCACTGTATATTGTTCCGATCAAATTAACTTCCAAGGTATGCAAAGGTGGCTTTGAAGGCGCGTCTTCGTCCACGATCAATCTCGGTTCTTTAGATATCCCAGCATTGGCCATCACGACATCGATCCGGCCTTGTTCTCGATAAATCTGCTCAAAGACCGTTGCTAGCCCATCCCAGTTGGAGATATCGGCTTTCGTGAACGAGAAGGTAGCATTGGGGAACTCTGACGACAACCCTTTGACAATTTGCGCACCCTCAGGGTTCACATCGAGGACGGAAACATGTGCACCTTGTTCCGCAAACGAACGGGTGATTCCCAACCCTATTCCCGACGCTCCTCCTATTGAAATTGCCTTATGTTAGAAGGACCTCTGCCGCGAGACGGGGTGTTTTTGTGCAGAACTACTAACCAGTTACGACAACACTTTTCTTCTGAGCAGCCATCATGAAGACTGGAACTCGACGTCCAACACCCACAAAACGAATTGCGACTGGGTTCGTGTTATCGTGGTAGTATATGATGGACGTACTCAACTTGCCGGTAGCCACCCCAGTTTATACCCAGATCGACAAACACTTCAGGACCGACGACTGAAATATTCAGCCAACTGTCCATCTCCCGGCTGATGCTCCTCCTTAACGGAATTGCCCCACGGGATGCCAGCGATTCTCCCATGTGGGGCACCTCAGCCTTGAAGCCCCCGTGGCGCCTATACCCCGATTCTCTCTGGGTCTCCCAATCAATAAGGGAAGCGAAACCAATTGCCGAGAGCTAGATGAGCCCAACTAGAGGATCCCCCTCATCGGATATGGACCGCTTCGCTTCTGAACACTGCGTATGTGTGAAGGCCGTCAACGTGGACAAACGTTCAAATTTGGGTTGTGTCCCAGCAGGCCAGGCGGCCTTCTCATGTGGAACAGTTCGACGTTTATTCTCGACTGTTTTACTTGTCGCTGATTGGAAGAAAATAGCCGGTCGACATCTCGTCTGGGCACCAGAAAACCGTTGAACAATACCCTTCATCGGACCACAATGGCGGAGGTGAATATCGAGCAATCCACCCTAGAGTCAGTGAAGGGCAAGGTGGTGGTCCTCGCAGGTTGGTGTACACAACCACTGTACTGTTGATTCCTATTTCTCACCATGGCACCTTCTTTTTCTAGGCGGCGCTCAGGGAATCGGGGCAGCAACAGTGACCCAGCTATATAAATCAGGCGCTCATGTCTTCTTCGGCGATTGGGACGACATCAAGGGCTTGAAACTGGCAGATGAGCTTCGAGCCTCGCCTTCAGAAGGCGGCGTGACATATCTCAAGGTCAATGTTCGGGATTATCAGTCTATCCTTTCATTGTTCGATGCCGCCTACAACAAGCACGGACAGATTGACATCGCGATCTGCTGCGCTGCCGTGACTGAAAGACCGGGGTATTGGGAGCCAGAGAAGCTGGATCTCCAGAGCGTGAGAGAGGTATGTGCAGCCACCGGGGGCGACAGCCTCGAAGTTTTACATATGGCATGCCACGAATGTTTCTCATCAGTCGCTCACTATGAGGTACATAGATGCCAACAGGCATCACCGAGGTAGTCGACATCAACCTGAACGGCACTCTATATTTTGCCCGACTGGCCATGGCATATCTGAAGGAGAAGCACACGTTCGACAAAGCATCAACGACGGCCCAATCCATCACCTCGCCAAAATCTATCACGCTCGTCTCCTCGGTCGCGGGCTTCAAGGAGTCGCCCGGCCTGTTCGCGTACTCGGCGGCGAAGCATGGCGTGTTAGGACTCATGAGAGCTCTCCGGCCCTTCACGGCGCCATTATACGGATTGAGAATAAACGCCATATGTACGTTCCATCCCGTCAAAAGAAAACCATTTCCCCCTTTGCCGTGTTAAGGGTTGAATTCCTCACCCACTCACCCGTCATCCTCTTTCTTACCTCAATCCTACAGGTCCCTGGGCAACCGACACGCAACTCCTGGCCGGCGTGCGCGCCGAATGGGTCAAGCACGCGATGCCGATGAACCAGCCCCTCGACGTGGCAAAGTACATCATCCAAGTCAGCGCCGAGCCGACCACGCACGGCAAAGCCCTCTTCGTGACGGGTGGGCGCGCCGTGGATATCGAGGAGGGCATCAAAAAGACCGAGCCCGTGTGGTTGGGGGAGAAGAACTCGCGCGATTTGGCGGCGGGACAGGTCATTTTGGGATTGGTGAGTACAACCAGGTTTTATTCATCCTCTCCTGTCTTCTCTCTCTTTTTCTTTTCTCTCTCTTTCTCTTTTCTCTCCCTTTCTCTCCTCTCTCCCTTTCTCTCCTCTCTCCCTTTCTCTCCTCTTGTCTTCCTTCTTTCCTTTTTTTTTGCCCCTCGTCCCCTTTCTCGCCTTTGCCTTGCCTAGAAGGATCCCCCCCTTTTCCCGTGTTCCTAACCATTTATATCGGGAAAACACAAACTGATCACGAACTGCTTCACATCCGCAGGGCATGGACTGGGGACATAACAGCCCGAAGATGCACGAGAGCACGAACGGCACTTCGAACTGAGAGCCAGTCCTTTGGTGGACCCCAAGGGAATTGGTCCAAGGGAAGGGGTGCTAACTGACACGGCCGGTGCGTGGAACAAGGCAGATGAGAACCGACGAGGACACGCTTGCATGCACACAGGTAATGCTCTCAGACACATCCTTTTGCTCGTCCTTAAAGCGAGAGTGAGCATTGCTTGCTATGTGAGCGCTCCAACTAGGCAGATAAAGTGAATGGCTTGGAAAGAAAAAGACTGAAGTCCAGTTAGACGAGTATCCTGACGAGAGACTCTATGATATGATATCCCTTGCTTGCCTGCAAGCTTGATGCCTCTGTGGCCGGTTGTCCAGCATGGCGTTCTGTGCTGTGGCTATCCAGCGCGATGACACCCTCTGACTGTTCAGTATGACATCCTCTCACGCACCACCCACCGCACCTCGCACGCAAGTTAACGTTCTTGGAACGGCGGAATGTCCATGGTGATGACCAATCTGGAGTACTTGGTCGCGATGCTGGCCTGGTTGCCATACTGAATGGGGTAAACCGTCAGATACATTACCACAATCCAAGTTTCCGCACAGGATTCCATCGGGAGGGAAAGAGAGAAGAGGGACAGAACTTACGGCACCATGAACCAACGCCAGCTCCCGATGACTCGGTGTGTTCAGCCACTTGACCTTCTTGACGCTAAAGTCGCGGGACCATGTCTTGATAATGGGTATCAAGCCCTCCCCATCACACAGGCCCGCGTGCGTGTAGTCAAATGGGACGAGACCGTCAGCCAGCAAGTCGACGTCAACGAGTTGTTTCTTATCGACCGGGTCCCAGACGTAGTACTTCAATCCGTATCCCTCTACTTCTTTGCGGTGATACAGCTCCTTCAGGTCTCGGATTCTGTCCGAGTCATCTGTCCCGTACGCGCCGAGGATGTAGGCATAGTAATCAGAGCGGTCGCGTTTGTCGAGCACGGGTAAGTGTCGGAGACGCACGGGGAGATTGGCTGCGGCGAAGCATGCGTAGACGACTTTGTCGACGCCCTTGAGAGCGGCGGGGAGCGTGGGAATAGTGTCTCCTGAGGTATGTGCGTAGGCGTGCGCACAGTGATAACCGAGTGTGAGACCTTAGAAGGAACAAGAAACGCAACTTAGCCATATCATCCCACTGCTTTCAAGTCGAAAGGCTTACCGTTCTTGCAGAATCCCGGTTCTGCAAGCAGTGTTCTCAGCGAGTGGTATAGCTCGACCTGTTCCGGATCTATCCAAGCCGTGTTCGCTGAGCAGGTGGCATACAAATTGTAGGTCAGTGTCACCCGTTGGCCCGCTGTGACTTCGAGCACCTCATGTTCGCAGTCGCTGTAGAAAGCTGCCCATTGAATGCTACTGCTGGCCTTTTCACCAGACCAGTCGAAGACGATCTCTCGACCCTGATGGCGGAGCACTAGCTGTCCGCCTTCGTGGACGCTCGGAAGGCAGACGACCAGAGATCCGATCTGGTGTTTCGAGCGCGGGGTGTCAACGTGGGATTTGAACTTCCCCGAGGGCGCTGCATACACCTGTGTTGGAGGAGTTAGTGGAATGATCAAGTGCTAGAGGAAGGGTACCTTTACATTCAGCTTGTACAGTTCCGCCCGGATACCGTGGGTCTCATTTGTTTGTCTGCAATTGTTTGGAGCAAGAGCTTGCGCCGCAGCGTCGATGATTCCGAGGGCATAGGGGTTGAAGTTTGTGCAAAAATCAGACTCGTCCAGCTTGCCGGCCTTGCGATATGTCTCGTCCACGACATCCTTTCCACCGCGTCCAAAGCTGGCTGGCTGGCAATCCTTAAGGAGCTGCTCGAAGGAGGGCCTCTGACTGTCGGTACACGGTAAGGTGACCTTGTGGGAGGACCCGGCGTTGGCAGCTGAGTCCCATCTGACTGTGATCGGGTCGCAACGCATTTTGTGGACAGCAGCACCTCCAGGTCCCGGTAGAGCTGCTGGTGATGTCGCTATTTGGGGGTTGTCCTCCCGTTCACTGTCACTGTCATCGGCGTCGACAACCTTGACATCTTGCTCGATGCTGGACTCCTTGGAGGCTTCCTTGCTGGTCTCGTTGCCGCCATCCGAGCCGGCATCGTCAGACTCGCAGATCAAATGGTTGTCAAGAGAGGTGATTGGAATCGAACCGCCAATAGCAAAGAGCGATTGCCTGCCTTCGTTCTGAACATGGTTTGCCAGTTCTTCAAAGACTTTTTGCTCGGCCTGCTCAGCCAGGGATGGGACGTTGAGGTTCTCAGCCGTAGAAGCAGCCATTGCGAGTAAGGCGAATTGTGGTTGTTGCTTCGTGGAGAGGGTGTATCGATGATCTTCTCTGGGACTATTTATGCTCTAGGAGGAGCGTCAGTCATTCTGCACGTCAACCCGTAAGATACTTGAGCTGCACATACATACAAGGCACCACCAGGCAGCATATGCAGGGGACCGGAGATTCATTTCCCATTCGCCAGTGGGAACGAAATCCACTCGACTCCTGCACATTGTCTTGACGGAGCTTGGATTGAAACGTGAAATTTGAAGGGCTTGAAAAGACAGCGAAAATCAGGGGCGCATTTCCTGTTATTTTGTCGGCAAAGACGTCGACGCTGTGGTGGGTAAGACGTCCCATCACCGTCCTCCCTTCTCTTCATCAGTCGTGCTAGACTCTTCCACTGTAATCGGCACAGGTCCGCTCGTCGCTTCGGCCAGATTCTTCTTCCTCACATCCCATCCTCCATGCCAGCCTATCCAACCCTCTTCGTATGGACCTCTCAAGCCACAAATCACAAACGTCAATCCCACCAGCGCCACGCTGAGACTCCCGCTCGCGATCCATCCACCCCTCTCATACAGTTTTGCCCCCGCCGATGTGCCGGTCAATTGCCCTGTGAACGTACACAACATGAAGGCCGTATTTACTCGATTCCGCCCGTTTGGTTCAATCACGTGAATCGCTGCGCGGTTTGCCACTTGAGTGATTTGCAGGCCCATGTCTAGTGTGAAGGCCTGGATTATTGGTCCTACCACGGTGTGTTTCCCCGTGTACGTCCCGATGGTTATCCCTATTAGATTGGCCGCGCAGCCGATCAAGCAAGAAAAGAGAGGTGCGAAGGGTTGAATGATGAATTTCGCGTAGATCGGACCCATCACAATACCAGCCACACCAATTAGTGCGAACAGTCCAATGACGACAGGTGAGTAGTTGTACGGTGAGTCGGCAAGGAGAAATGTGAGGGTAGTCCAGTAATTCGTGAATGCGGCCGAGATACAGAAGCTGACCAATCCGGCTTGGACGAGGACGGCATGCTTCTTGTACAAAAAGATGATTCCGCCGATCATTTTGAAGTAGTTCAATCCTTGAGGGTTGGAAGAGGGATAGTCGGGCATAAAAAGCCAGAGTGTAATAAGGATGAGATACTGCAACCCAAGGGCAATCCAGTAGACGTTTCGCCATGACGTGAATTGTGTGACAACGCCCGAGAGAATACGGGCCACCACGATGCCAAGGAGGTTACCCGAGGTGGTGATGCTCAAGGCTAGGGCGCGTCGATGAGGTGGTGCCAATTCCGCGACCAACGGAAGCATTACTTGAGGGATGACTGTTGTGACAGCACAAATGTAGGAGATTGCACAGAAGGCTGTGAATGAGGGGGTCACGCAAAGTCCGATCCTAATTGGAATAGGTGAGCATTATAGAGCCATGTCCGTCTTTTGTTGCACAGGGCTCGGGCTCTGGAATAGGCGTGACTTACCACATGGTGGCCGTAAATGCAATCAGGCCCAAGGTCAGTGGCCTCCTCTTCAACAGGTCGCCCAGCGGACATACGAACAGCAAGCCTGTGGCATAGCCAGCTTGCATCAGAGTCGGGATTCGTGACACCGTCACATAAGGCACACTGAAGTCTCGAGCCAATATATTCAAAATCGGATGGTTGTAGTACAAGTTGCCCACGGTAAAAGCACCCGCAAATGCGAAAAGAACATTATGCCAGACCGAGAATGTAGGCGGCTTTTCTGGATCCCATCGGCACCATGGCGGCATCCACGTCAGCACATCGATGACTCTCTGCCATTTCGACTTTGGTGTTGCGACCTCGGATTTATGGTCGTCATATGTAGCTTCCACAGCCTCGACGGCCTTCCCGGCAGGAGCAGTCGGCCATACCCGCGGTTCGCTTTGTGTGCTTCCTTCCACCATGCCCGGATGATGATCGATTTCCCACTAAAGTTGAAAAGAAAAGAAACGAAAAAAAAAAAATCCAAACAAACTCGGGGATCGATAACAGTATAAAAATACGGTGGAGGTCCTCTTCTCGGAGTCTCGCCTGGGGCACGGAATAAGAATTGCGCTCGATCGCTAGTTCTCGGAGATCGTCGGCTCCATACGATTAACTCCAGCAAGCTCCAGGCAAGAAGTGACCAAGGCCCAGAAAGGAGATTGATAGATATGGGACAGCTCAGAGCCGAAGTTGAGGAAAGCATCAACCCTTGGTCATCCCTCTGCTGCCATACATTGTGCGCGCTCTTTGTTGGGCACGCCAACGCACAATATTCTTATTTTTGCAGCTTCCGACTATTAGAGGGGACGGTCCCACATTGTGAGAGAGTTGGATTGCGGGCGGCATGCCGTGTTTGCCGGGAGCGCCCTGGAGATATGGCAAATCCGTAACCCGTAGGCTGTGACGTGCCCGAAGAAGGATTGCTGACCGCATGTCTTCTCTTCAACGCAGGACCAGCAAGGCTGCTGAAAGAGTATTGAAGACCTGGGATCTTCCTGATAAAACGAAATACGGAGAAGGGGAGAAGGAACAACGTCCAAGATGACGTTTGGACCTCGACATGGGCACGTGGTGCACGTGATGCACGTGATGCACGTGGTTGCCCTCGGTTGCCCACTTTGACCAGCCTCCTCGTCCTCCGTCCTCTTTCAGGCATCCGCCAGCCATCCATCAGGCAGAGTTCAAAGCATTCAACAGACTTAGCTCGGACACATCTCAGCGACATGCGAACTCTGACTCATCCAAGGTTCGAAGGTGGTCTTAGTCAACAAACCTTCCAGGAGTGAAGTCAACACACAGGGTATTAACTGCTCCGTACAGAAAACATCAACCATGGACGATCCAAAGCTTCTGGTCCAGAATGGCTATGACGAAATTGCACAAACCTATTTCGACTGGACCAGTGGGAAACCAACAGCCCGTCTCGACTATGTGGACAAGCTGCTCTCGCGACTCCAGAGTCCTTCGGAAGCAGAGGTCCTTGAACTTGGCTGCGGCGCTGGTGTTCCATGTACACGACTATTGGCACAGCGATGCCGTCGAGTCTTTGCCAACGATATCTCCCAGTCGCAAATCGACCTCGCAAAGGCGAATGTGCCAGAAGAGAATGTTGATTTTATCCGGGGAGACATGGCAAGCCTCAAGTTTGAGTGTTCGGTATTACAGGCTGTAGTGGCGTTCTATTCCATCATTCACCTTCCACGAGACGAGCAGCGCAACCTGGTCCAACATGTTTGGAAGTGGCTTTCACCTACAGGCTACCTCCTGTGCAACTTGGGAGTCGCAGATAATCCTGGGGGAACAGAAATGTGGTTAGGGTCCCGGATGTATTGGAGCAGCTTCGATGCTGAGACTAGCCTTGAGATGCTGAGAGACACCGGCTTCAGCATCATTCAAAGTGAAGTGTTACACGACGACGAGGACGGCAGACTAGTCCCCTTTTTGTGGGTTCTTGCCAGCAAGAACTGATTCTTGTGCTGCACCTCAGCTTCCACTACGAAATGCATTGCTTGGGCTAACGCTATGATTGGTCTCCAGCTTCTGAGACCCTACTCCAACCTCTGCTTCCTGATATCGACGGAGAGGAAGCCACTGATACTGTCAATAGCAACTACACCCATATTGTCGCATTTGGTACAGCACCCACACCGACAATTGCTATGGAATGCAGTGTCATGCCCCAGAAAGTGGATCTGCCAATTCTCGCTACCTTGAGGCTCAGAATTACCTCTTTTGTACTATGGTCAGTAGCCATTAGATTGCTGGCAGCCAGTAATTATACAAAAGGCAATCATTAACATGACCGCATCCTCAGAAAAGACGCGGAAAAGCGGCAGATCACGGTAAGGCCCTTCGCCCCTAGCGGCTCGGTCTCCTTTTCCCTCACTTAATGACCTGCACCTTTCCTCGCTTTGAGCACACAGCTCGGGGGGCCAAGGGCATTCAGTTCTCTGGATCAGTACTTCGTGTTCTGTCTTATATACGTGGTACTATATTCAGTTTTCTGATTATGTCGTGGCCCACTACATGATTTTTCGGTGATTGTTTACTGATACTGATACCCACCCATCAGTTGCCGTGATCAATCTGGATTCTGGACCTCATTCATTTTGGGATTCGCCGCCCGCTTAGCCACATTGGGGACTTTGTCAAATACTCCGTACCTTGTGCCGATACCCTACACTAAATGCGACTGACAGAGGTCAAAAGCCCATTTGCATACATACCTACCAGACAAACACCTCCTGGATCACTCTAGTTCACTTGTCAGCTGACTAAGGCCATCAATCTCTCTTGTCCCCTCTCGATCAAAGGGCAGCAAGCGCACGAGCGACATGGCAGCGAGACAAGTACCTATTTCGGAAGGCCATGTGGATCGCACGGATACGTACGCACTGCTCTCAAACTCTCTCACATTATGTGTTACAGCTTGAATGAGCATCTACAATCTGTTGTTTCGACACGCTACGCTTCGGTCCCTGACGCGTCAAAATGGTGTCTCCTACGCTACCCACGCTCTTAGGAGGAGCGTTCATTGTGAGAGTTGGCTTAGGCATCTCTTTCAAGCAAAATCCTTTCACCTTCTTGTGGCTCGCGGTTTTGTTGCAGCTGCTTTCTCTGCTTGTTTGGGTGGTTTATGTGGCACCACGCATCAGTCGCCTTCGGAAACTGCCTCTAGCATCCCAAGGACCGTGGTGGAAGACGTTCCTCGTTGAGCCCGGCCCTGAAGATCTCGAGCAGTTCATGAACGAGATTCCTAACGATGGTTTTATCCGGTATTTTGGTGTATTTCATGGCGAATGACTCTTGATCACCAAATCTCAAGGTACCAAGGAGATGATGCTTCTTCAAGCTTATAATTACAACAAGATCCCCATCGCAACCAAGCTCATCGGTCAGATTACGGGTCTTGGATTGCTGGTTGCTGCCCAGGACGGGCACAAGGTGTGTAAAAGCTTTCTATGTCCGTTGTTCTTGCCTTGCTCACGGAAGCTTCACAGCGTCAGCGGAAATCTCTACTACCTGCCTTCAAGTACAAATACATCAAAAATCTATTCCCTCGATCCTGGATGCACACCGCGCAGTCGGTTTCCTCGCTCGACAAGGAGATAGATCAGGCTGGCCCGGGTTCGTCTGCTGTTGTAAACGTGGAAAGTTGGATGATGTGTGCCACCCTCGACATTGTTGCGGCGACGGGCTTCGGAGTTGAGATAAAGGCAATCGAGAACCCGGAAGGCGATCTCGCTAGACTTCTGCCTCTATCGAGTTCAACAAGCCCGGAAGCGACATTCTTTAGACTCTTGGCATTTTTGATGCCCTACTGGCTGTATGTCCGGCTGCCAATGGCAAGACGCTATGAGATTGATCGGATCGTCAAAGCCTTGGACGATGCCACCTTACCAATGATCAGGTCAAGAAGGAAGGCCCTTGCCGGTAGAGAAAGTCTCGATCCTGACTCGGAGGAAGAGAAATCCGCCTCTGATCCTCAAAAGTTCGCTGACACAGATATCATTTCGACTCTATTGCAATTCAAGGAGCCTTTTACGGATAAGGAATTGGTGGCTCAGTCTGCAACGATTCTGGCGGCAGGACAAGACACAACATCTGTCGCTGTTACTTGGGCACTATATCTCCTTGCGCACAATCCACAAGTTCAGTCTGCTTTGCGAGTTGAGATTCAGACTCATCTGCCCTCGCCGAGCTCTAGTGAGGAGTCCGTCGACGCACCGCTCATTGAGTCTCTCCCATACTTGGCTGCGGTCTGTAATGAGACCCTCAGACTGTTCCCACCTGCTCCTGTCCTACGGAGACATGCCGTCAAACCGGAAACGGTCGTGCTTCATCAGCCATTGCCCGTGGGGACAATGCTGATAACTTCGATCTGGGGCACACACCGTACCAGGAACATCTGGGGCCGGGACGCGAAAGAGTTCAAACCTGAGCGCTTTTTGCAATATGGCGAAGATGGAAAGATGAAGCTTGACCCTCATGCAGCCTTCCAAGGCGAAGATGCAACCTACCGTTACCTACCTTTTGGAGCTGGGCCTCGAAGTTGCATAGGCGAAAGATACGCACGAGGAGAATGTGCGACGTTGTTGGCGGGTTTAGTTGGCCGATTTGAGTGGTCACTCGTCAATCCTGATAAGAAAATGGGCGAAGACATTAAAATGAATTTCGGCATCGTCTCCAAGCCCGAGGGCGGGTTAATGCTTCGAGCACAGAAGGTTGATGGTTGGTGAAGAGCCAGGCGCTGCCATCTTTAATCTCCACGCAACGCCCAGGAGCCTGAATGCTATGCAACCCATCATCTGTGTCTCGGGCATCTTCTCTTTGAAAGGTGAAAGTTGAAGTGACGAACCGCAGTCATTGTCTGCCTCGGAGGATCTGGTGCTATTCTGGGCGCTCTTTTGCTCGTACCAGCGGCTTTCATTTCCGAAGTTCTCGGGGAAATTGTATGGGCTCGTGCACTGGAGTCTGTCGGAGGCGAATTTAGAGACAGTTTCGATACCACTCCGTCTGGCTCACGGGCGTCCTTCGGGCTCGACTGGCTGCCTATGTTTACATGCTATTTGTGTCCAATGTCAGTCGTTGCAAAATCCTTCGGCCACACAGATCCATATTCGCGTTCCTGGGCACGTGAGAAAAACCCCTGGCAGCTTCCTCATTTGACATAGCCTTATGCATTGCCTATCGACGGTTGATAACTGATGACAGCCTCGCAGATCACCGCGGACATGTTTCGTCAACTCTTTCTCCACCACAGGCAAAAATCTCTGACACCCAAAGGATTTTCAGTTCTTGACGCACGTTGCCATCGGATTTCCACGACCATGCAGCCATGCGGTTCTATCTGACAGTGTCAATCAAATGGTGTCATCGTCGTACAGAGCGGCTGATCAGCGCTGCAGGGAAAGCGTTCCTCGAATGAGATAACGTCCAGGACGCATTCGTGGATTTATCGCATTCTGTACAGGGGTTCGGAAGTGTTCCAACGTCCTCAAATGCGTTATCAGAGTCGGTATTCGCGTCACAATCATTTCTCCTTGCAGGAGATTGACCGGCAACGCAGTCGGGATGTTGAACACTCCTTCACGCAGTTGCTATTCGCCTACTTGGCATCGGGCTTATGGCCGACGGTAGGTATATCAAGGAAGGTATATGAAAGTCCCTCTGCGCTTGTCTGGTGTCGTCTCGTTATTTTCCTCACATCTCCTCTCTATTGTTCGACTCCTGCAATCCTCGTCACTATCATGTCAGATTCTCTATCAGCAGTATTGTCCCAAGGAGTGGGATATGGGGTGGTCGTGGGCATCGGCTTCTTCTTTACAGTTGTCATGGCCGGCATCTCCATGCTTCAGGTACCAATACCCTATCTCTAAACTTCTTCTCAATGCTCACATACGGTGCAGAACCGATACACAAATTTCTCTACGAGGACCAGTGAAGAGTTCAACACCGCGAGCAGAAATGTGAAACCTGGTCTCATTGCTGCTGGTATAGTTTCAGCGTGGACTTGGGCTGCTACACTTCTCCAAAGCAGCACAGTCGCTTATACATATGGTGTAGCTGGACCGTTCTGGGTAAAGCACCCCATTTCCCTTTGATCCCTGACAAGCTTCATTCTAACAGTCCCTCAGTATGCAGCAGGAGCCACGGTTCAGATCCTGATGTTCTCCATCCTAGCCTGCAAGACCAAGATGAACGCTCCTCGATGCCACACATACTTGGAAATCATCCAAGTTCGCTATGGCACCGTGGCCCACCTTGTATTCATCTTCTTCGCCCTCGTTACGAACATTCTGGTCGGGTCGCAGCTCCTGCTGGGCGGCTCAGCCGTGGTTACTAGTCTCACAGGCATGAACGTCTACGCGGCCATCTTCCTGATCCCTCTGGGTGTGGTTGCGTATGTTCTCATGGGCGGATTGCGAGCGACGTTCCTTTGTGACTACTCTCACACGCTGATTCTGATGGTCATTATCCTTTACTTCATGTTTCAAGTGTATTGCACGGACGACCTCATCGGGTCCCCTTCTCGCATGTTCGAGCTGCTAAAGAAGGCGGCGACTCTTCGACCCGTGGCCGGCAACCAAGACGGCAGCTACATGACTTTGAAATCCAACAACGCGCTGATCTTCGGCGTCATTCAGCTCTGCTCCGGCAGTGGTACGGTGTTCTTAGACCAAGCGTATTGGCAGAGAGCCATCGCGTCTCGTCCTACCACCGCCGTGCGAGCATACATCCTCGGCGGGTTGGCGTGGTTCGCTATACCCTTCGGCTTCGCCACGACCTTGGGTCTGGCCTCGGTCGCGCTGACTGACAACCCTGCCTACCCGACTTACCCCAATGCACCTTCGTCGAGTCAGATATCGGCTGGTCTTGCCTCCGCGTTTGCAGCGAGCACGCTCCTCGGCAAAGGCGGCGCCGTGGCCTTGCTCATCACGCTCTTCATGGCCGTGACGTCCTGCGCGTCTGCCGAACTGATTGCTGTCTCCTCGATCCTCACCTTCGATATTTACAAGACGTACATCAAACCTAACGCCACGCCCAGCAATTTGATCTTTATGGCCCACGTCAACGTCGCCGTCTTTGGCTTGACAATGGCCATCTTCGCCATCATCTGGAACGTTATCGGCATCGATCTCGGCTGGTTGTTCCTGGTCATGGGCCTCCTCATCGGCGGTGCCGTGTTCCCCGTCGCATTCGCCATAACGTGGAAAGGGCAGAGTCGCGCCGGTGCCATTGCCGGGGCGTTGAGTGGTCTCGCCGCCGGCCTGACCGCCTGGCTCGTCGAAGCCAAGGTCTATTATGGTGAACTCAACCTGACGACCACGGGATCAAACTATGCCACGCTGGCTGGCAATCTGGCTGCCATCATGACCGGCCTGATCGTCTCGGTCGTCGTCTCTCTGCTCAAACCGGACGATTATGACTGGAGCTCGACGCGGGCCATCAACGCGGCGGGTGCCCATGGTGCACTGGAGGGCACCACTCCTCCCACGGCGGATTCTTCCCGGTCAAGCACCACACAGAGCAACAGCGGCGCAGAGGGTGGCGCAGAGAAAAAGGATGCCATCAAATCTGTCAGCGAAGCACCGACGTTGGCACCACCGGACGAAAAGCACCTCGCGACAACCGCAACCAAAGACCCCATCCGCGCCGACGAAGAGCGCCAGATGTCCCTGGACGCCGCAATCGAGGAGCACCCATCGCGGCTGCGCGCTGCCTTCAAGCTCGCCTGCGTCGCCTCCTTTGTCCTGCCCTTCATCATGGACTTCTTGATCCCCATCCCCATGTTCCTCAGCCACTACGTCTTCTCGGTCGGCTTCTTCACCGCCTGGGTCGTCATCAGCTTCATCTGGGTTTTCAGCTCCGCACTGATCAGCGTCGTCTTGCCCGTCTGGGAGACTAGGGCGTTCTTTGCAATGTTGGCCCGCGAGATTGTCGGCGATTTGAGACAGAGAAAGAGGTCTGCGTGACGCAGGAAGGGCTTTTGAGGGGCAAATGGATTGATGATGACTCCCCTATCAAGGACGGGTTACACTGTCAAATGCATGATGTCGGGTAGATCATTGTCGTATATTTGTTCCCCCGGTAGATCGCCATAGAAATAGAAACGGAATAGAGAGACCCTCGTATAGCTATCTCGTCGCTCATAGCACAAACTGGAAATGAATGACCGCCAATCCGCGTACTCAGCCGTGAACAGTCTCGGAAGACGTCATCATCTCCTCTTCCTCTCACAGAACTTTTATGCCTTTTGCTTCATCGTCAATCAAGTCTCATGAGGTCTTGGAGCTTCCCCAGTTTCGGGCTTCATCCGAGCCAAAAGCGACACCTTCGCACATTGCAATTTTCCCAGAACGATTCGACTGCGGCAGGCGTGAAGATGTTGATCCGGATCACTCCGCCCCTAGTGGCAATGCCGTGTCTCCGATACAGATGCAGACATTCCAGGCCCAGGGCAGGCCGAGAGCTAGAATCTGACCGGGTTTCATCATATTCAGCCTGCCTGGAGAGACTTCGATCTATTTCTGCCCTCACTCTCTGATTTGTATAACAGCTAACTAAGCATGCGGATACCAGGAGAAAATCGTGGCTTCGAACATTGTCGCCTTTAGGCGCGGCCGCCGTTGCCGCAATAGCGCTAGCCGAATCGTTCCTTAGGAAAGCCGTAGGTGCGATGTCACTGATGGAGACATCACTAAACCAGCGACTAGTAACGGGCCCTGTGTCGAGGACAGTTCTCGAAATAAGAAGGTCGGGCCTGAGGTGTTTGCCCTCGTTTCTGACCTTGATAATACAGGGCAGGTTCAATATCGTGCCCTCGATTTGAAGATGGAAATCCTGCAGAGAGGTAGTTGATGAGTCCAGTGATGTCATATCGTCGACGCCCTTTGCATTCACGCAGCGGAGCACTTGTTGGGTGGCAGATGCCAACCGTCCTTTGATTCCACCCCAAGAAGGTGGTGCGTTTCGGGAGGTTTCTGCTGTTTCGACAGTGCTCATAATGAGCTCCTATCCCCCACAGGTCGTGATCTGTAACGGCGCTCGAAGATTGTTCAGCCAAGTTTTCTGCGCAGGCAGTTCAATCTTGTGTTGCAGCTTCCAGGCTGCCCAGGTCCAGGTTGGAATGCACCTAACAGCGCGCATTGTTGTTCCGTGTAAGTCAACATTACGTTCTCCATGCTGTCGCCATAGGAGCGATCTCCTAAAATTCGTCCGTGGCAGGCCGTACAAGAATCCACCTGTAAACAACGGGTCTCTTGCTAAGCGACGGAGAAGACCCGAGATGGCATTCAGAGAGTCGTCATCGTTAGAAAGTATCCTTGTTGCATAGGTGTTGATTATATCCTCGAAGCTGTACATTTCGATGTAGGGTTCTGACCATCCAGGTCTTACAGGATTCAAAGAAGATTAACCCCATGTGCCTGGTGACTTTTAGTTCTAGCTTCGTAATCCGATACCGTTAGACATACCTTATTTGACGCGCTTTCCCCTCCTCATCAGCCTGGTCGATACATAATGAATCCACCCACAGATATCGTTGACCGAGTGATTTTACCACTTCGATACTATCCTCAATTGTTTGCGGAAGATTTTGGGGCAACTGACCGAGCTTTGCAGGTTCCTGGTGAACATTCCCCCAGATATAACTTAGTGCCACGTAGTTGCAACGGCCATTTTGAGCCGGTGAGTATTTGATCAAACTGCGAGCAATGACATCGACAAGAAGAATTGGGCGCACCATATTAATTTGAGGCGGCCGGCATAGCGCGTGTTTTTGTGAACAATCTCGTAGCCATGCAGACGCCGCAGCCTAGTCGGGTTGACAGGACACTAAGCGGGCCTCATCACTAAACACCAGTGTGTCCAGACACTCGTTTTCTTCGCGATACAAGGATCCATAGGCAAGTACGTCGAGAGAATTACTTTCGAAAACCAATCGTTTGGCTGGAGATAGGCGGTACGAAGATGTAGACAAAAGCTGTGCAGACTCAGCATCTGACGACCTGTTCCACGATACGCGGGACGGTGTGAGGAGGTTTTTCGTCCGTAATCCCGGAGGCTAATACAGCTGCTGCATGTCGTCTGGAAGGGGTGGTCACTGTTGGTATCAAAGATCACACGCTGAACGCATAGCTCTGAGAAATGCGGGACTTCGTCGCCACAAGCCATCGAGGTCAATAGCTTGGGAATTCCCAGTTCGGTACACCTGGCACATATTGGGGTTTGGCCACTCTCACTTTGGATGTCTGCAGGCACCGAGGACTGCTTCTTGGTACTCATTTTGTCTAGGCTCTGTCAGTAAGCAACATTGGATGCCACCATAAGGAGTGAATTTCAAGACATTTGTCAATGTGACATGTCTACAAAATATTCGAGACCATCCATTACTCAGGAGGAAGGAGCAATTTTTCAAAGAAGCTCTTGCAGCCAGTAAGCTGTGCCCGTCACCGCCTTGTATCAGGCAGCCATTCAGATCTCGGCTGCTTAACCGCCTCGAGAAGGAGAGAGGCACAGTTCAATGGTAGCCTGAGAAGTTGCTGCAAGTCGCCGCGATGCAGACAGCTGCGCCTTGAAGGTGAGTGGTTTCCCAGGAAGAGTAAGAGGAGGGAGTGACAGAGGGCAGAGTTCAAACCCAATAGAGGGATCCGGAGAGAGGGACCTGAGAGACGAACAACTTACATAAGATGCTTCGTGGTGAGATGGATGGTCTAACTATATTCGGAAACGCGTATATAGAGCCATTGAATTGTTCAAAACTGCGTGAGGATGTTGCGCAGAGCATTGAATTAGCCGCAATCCCACTGACAACCCCCGTCCGTTCCTCAGAACGACTCCTGCCAGCGCTACCCGTGTCTCGCGTGCATCGATAATCCTAGCAATATGCCCCCGAGAATCCGCTTGCGCACCCTTGCGCAGCTCATAGAGCTTCAAATCGAACCTGCTTTGAGATACACATGCGGCCGCTGCTCTCGACAATACGCGACAGCAGCAATATCCATAGCAACAACACCAGCCCCTTCAGATGCTCAGATGCGAGCCTCGATACCAACGCTTTCCCGCTACCCACCCGTTCAACCTCCCTCGCACCGCAATCCCGCCTACCGAAAATCCCAACTGCTGCGCTCCTACGTCTCGCTCCTACAAACTACACCGTTAATCATTTTCTTCCAGCACAGCAATCTAAAAGCCACCGAGTGGGTGAGCATACGTCGCGAGCTGGCCTCGGCACTCAGAAAAGTTGATGCACAACTGGCGGCTCAAGGCAAACCTCCGCATGAGCTGATTGGAGACTACATCAAGTTGCAAGTCATCAAGACAAATATGTTCGAACCCGCCCTACGAATCGCCGAGTACTTCAAACCTTTGCCGCCTCCGGAGCCAATTGGCGGCCTGTCTGGAATCCAATCGGAAAAAGATGATCCCTCTCTAACACACGCGCTGTCGGTCGCAGCATACGAGGCCGCGCAGCAGCACAAGAACGAACATCCCCTAACGCCCGTATTAGCGGGCTCTGTCGCCATCTTGACATTTCCTACGGTTTCACCGGTCTATCTCAAGGCAGCATTCTCGATACTATCTCCCCAATCACCCCTCTTCCCTGCCCCTACGAGAAGAGCAGTTCCAAATTACTACGAGCAATCCGTACAGGACGGCTTGAAGAAAATAATGCTGCTGGGAGCAAGGATTGACGGGCAGCTCTTTGATATGGAAGGCACGAGATGGGTGGGCAGCATAGAAGGCGGAATTGACGGTTTGCGGGCACAGTTGGTGGGGATGCTGCAGGGATTTGGAGCTGCCATGGTGCAGACATTGGAGAGTGGGTCGAGAAGTCTGTGGTTCACGATGGAGGGCAGGAGGAGAATGTTGGAGGACGAAGAGAAGCCGAAAGAGCAGGAAGGGGAGAAGACAGACTAAGTTGGTTTGTCGTCTGTAAGCCCACAGCGGATCTGTATAGCAATGCATGGTGAGGATAGGACCGTGCTGGACCACAAGCTAACCTCCAGCGCTATCCTATCCATCATCTGTTTTGATTACGGGAAGAAACATTAGATCAACCGGATGGAGCTGACACGGGCCATGCATGGATCCGAGCTGGGAACTCCCTAGATGCAAAAAGTGATCGGATATGTATCAACAGATTTCGATATAGATTCCCCCAGAAGTACAGCAGAGAGATCAAGCCAACGGGAAATCAATTTAGACTTCGATTTGCTTCCTACATGGGGGAAAAAAAACCATTTCCATTTCCTTGCCTAGCAAGCATTCGGGGTATCTTGTTTGCCCACATCACCTTTAACGATATGTTCTGTTTCACACCTGAGGCCCCCCCAGTGGAAACCATGATGGTGGCTTCCCACGAACAACCTCATGTTAGTCCGGCGCCTTCGCAAGGTCATGAAACCCCAGATAACTGGCATTTCCGCCCTGTTCTCAATACATAGAAAAGACAAGTGCACCAAATACTGGATAGTGGAGATTCGTACGCCTCGAGCACCAGAGATGACCAAGACCAATCCCTCCCACACATCAAGATACAGACAAGGGTCTGAGACCAACCCAAGATTCCGCGCGTGCATACCTCGTACTGTACAGGACAATCGTGAATTCCGCTCGTACGAAAGCGGGGCAAGATGGGCACATTTATGCCTGTGCCAGTGGCTCATCTTTCAAGAGATGGTATGTATCACAGGGCTGGGCTCTGGTGGCTGAAGCAGGTGACAATCTAACCACTCTTCTTCTTGGTAAAAGGAGGATCGTCGCCGTAGACCGTCTTATATTCCTCCAAGTATCGATCCTTGTCAGCTTGGGCTTTATCTTCGTAGATCTGTTCCGAAAAAGGTCAGTCAACTTGTTCTGTCCTCTCAGTAGATTCAGGCGGTCTGGACATACCTTTCTTTCCGATGTCGACAAACTCTTCCACTCTTGCCCTATCAATTTGCCACGTTCACCAACGGTCATGCTTGTAAGATCGCCTGAGTCGTTCCTCTCTTTGAAGAAGTATGCGTAGGCGTTCCTCGGGCGATGGACAGTCCGGTCGTCTTGGATTGGTTTGTACTGCTTCTTCTTTCCAGCTGCTCTTGCCTTTTTGGTCAATTGGCGTCGAGCGTTGTTTGCCAATTTAATCTCCAGCGGCGAATGACTTTGGACCCATGTTTTATAAGCCTGGTCATTTTTGGCTTTGTTCTCATTGGCTTCATGGTTGTAACGCTGAAACAGAAATGTGAGTTAGGACCAGAGTAGATGACAGTTATGCGGAATCGCCTACCTCACGCTCTTCTAATGTAAGGTTCTTGAACTTCTCAGCTGCGGCTCTAGCAGCAGCTTTAGCCTGTCCTCCACCTTTTTTGGTCTCTTCTGCAAATACAAGGCGGTATGCTGTTGAAGGAAGGTGTTTGGGCTCTTCGAACAGAGCCGCAGCTCTGAGGTCTGTGTGTTCTTTACGAGCTTTCTTGAGGAGAGCGCTTTTGCTGAGTGGCTTCTTAGCTTTTGGTTTTGCCTCCTTGGTTGTTGTCTTTTTGGTTTTCCTCGCAGGTCGTTTCTTTGCTGGAGCGGCCTTTTTTGTGGTCGACGTGGTGCGCTTCGCAGGAGTGCGGCCTGTATGTTGTTTTGGGCGGCTCGCAGGCTTTGCAGACGTCGTCGCGTATGTTCTAGCTTGTTTTGAGAGTGATGCGAACTTCCCAACCTTGGATTGAGAGCTCGATGGGCCATCAATTGGACTGCAGTTGGAGGTTACGCGCAGAAGATGGTTGGCCGATACAGGTCGCGTGAGAGATCGAGCAGACCTGGCCAGCAGGTGTTTGGCCAGCGGCCGAGAGAAAGGGAATGTGACCGTCATGACGGCCCTCGAGAAAATGACAAACTATTCAATGCAAGGAGGTGGCCATCCAAAATGTATCAAGTATGATCGAAATCAACCACGGTGGAATGACTTCTGTATCCGGTGGCTGGGGGAGAGCCTCCTAGCCTTCCCTCGATTGATCCACGCGTGCCTGGCTCCCATGCAAGCTGAGCTTGTGGCTGGGGAAGGAGTATCATCTCACGTGATATCACGTGCGAGAGGGACATGCTTATGTAAGAATACCAAGGAAATGCGGGACATCCCTCCGCAGGCGAGGTTCAAGTTTTGACAGAGCAGCCTTCAAGGCAACGACCTGCTCGTACGGACATCGCAATGAAAAACGACGCGATATAGAACACTGGTCTCATCCGGCCCTGTACCCTCGCTCAGTCCAGAGTTCACTCTTTTGCCACTGTCCGAAAGCCCATCTCGAGCCTGGTCCTGATTTGCGGTTCAAGCAGTAAAGCTCACTTATCTGCAGCCATAGGATGGCTAGGCACGGGGACACTCGCTCACCATCACCTGCAGGCAGTTCTTATTCCTCGTCAAAACGCAGCCGAAGAGATGAGGATCGCTACGAGAGAAATCGAAGAGACGATGATCGTGACCGCGACCGCGGTCATCGGAGGAGACACTCTAGATCTCGGAGTCCTGATGTATGTCTCCGCTCCCCGTCCCATTTCCTGACAACCCAATCTTACCATTTCTTGGAACAGCGACGCCATCGTGATCGCGACAGAGATAGAGATAGGGAAAGAGATCGTGATGCATACCGTCGCCGAGACCGTTCCTTAGACCGACGCTATGATAGCCGAAAGGACGATGACTATTACTATTCCAAAAGAGACAGAGACAGAGACAGATCACGAGAGCGACGGCGTTCACGAGATAGGGATGATCGTCGCCGAAGCCGAGAACGAGACGGTCCTTCAAGGCGTGATGACTCACGCGATAAGGATCGCCGCTTGAGAGAAGAGTCTACTGAATCTAGAAAACGGAAGCGTGACGATAGCTGGGATCGCGGTTCGAGGCGAGAATCGGGCAATGTGTCGAAGGAGGTAAGTGCCTACGTCAATCTTACGGATCTTACAGAGCTTATCAACATTCGACAGGTATCGAAGCCATCCACTCCCACACCACAGACGGCCGAAGAACAGAAAGCGGCACGTCTCGCAAAATTAGAGCAATGGAAAAAGAAACAAGCTGAAGAACAAGCCAGGAAGCAGAAGGAGCTCGAGGCCGCAGGCGGAGCAAGGAGTATATTGCAGGAGATTGACAGAAAAGCAGGCATCTTGCCTGCAGTGAGTCCTCCGCAGTCCCCTGCGGCCCCCGGCTCGCCATCACCCGTTTCAACGCCGTATGCCGGCAAGTTCGATCCAAAGGCCATTGCGAAGAAGGCCCACCATGCCTCGGCGGCCGCCAAGGTGCTTGGGGGTGATGTCGCTGCGCCGACCTTGACGAATGGTCATGTCAAGAGCTCACAGGCTTCTCCAAAGCCTACCGCAAGTGGTGTCCCTCCTTCAAAAGCACTAAAAGCGACAGGGCCTGTGGGCAAATTTGGACTCGGCAACAGAACGACAGTGGACAATGAGGTGGCAAAAAAAGGTCTAGATTTTGCAGACGATGAGGAAACCAAAAAGAAACTCGAAAAGCTCCCCAATATAGCTTTGGAACAAGATACGATTGTTGACGATGCTCAGCCGGATGGAGTCGACGATGGTGATAATGATGTCGACATGCAGGAAGAAGACGGAGAGGAAGAAGCTGAAGCCATGGCCGCTGCACGTGCAGCGGCAGAGCAGCGGAGCCAAGCAGAGCGAGGCGAAGATACCGCCATGGCCGATGCATCTGCTCTTGTACCCACGACTACAACAGTGGAGGAAGAGGAAGAAGTTGATCCGCTGGATGCATTCATGCAAGATTTACAACCTGTCCACACTGCCAAGTTCTTCGGTCAGAAGGCAAAATCCAAGGCACGCCAACAAGAGCCAGAGGCACTTTTTGGAGATGACGAAGTTGACATGACGGCGGTCGATGATGAACACCCCGACAATATCCTGTCACTCGCCAGTGCCACTGCAAAAAAGAAGAAAAAGGACATCCCGGCCGTCAATCACGCAAAAATACAGTATCAGCCATTCAGACGTAACTTCTACTCAGAGCCAGTGGAAATGGCTGACTGGACAGAAGAAGATGTAGCAAACTTACGAATGGAGCTCGACAACATCAAAGTCCGAGGGGTAGATGTTCCGAAGCCGGTCCAGAAATGGGCGCAGTGTGGGCTGGGAGTCCAAGTTCTAGAAGTCATTCAAAAACTGGGCTACGAAGCGCCGACCAGCATCCAGGCTCAGGCCATCCCAGCTACTATGTCTGGTCGCGATGTCATAGGTGTGGCGAAAACTGGATCAGGAAAGACCATTGCTTTTCTTCTTCCCATGTTTCGACATATCAAGGATCAACCTCCTCTAGAGCCACTGGACGGACCAATCAGCCTCATCTTGAGCCCAACGAGAGAGCTTGCTACACAGATACACAAAGAGTGTAAGCCATTTCTCAAAGCTCTCGGCCTAAGAGCAGTCTGTGCCTACGGAGGAGCACCCATCAAGGACCAAATTGCTGACTTGAAGCGTGGCGCGGAAATCGTCGTCTGCACTCCTGGCAGAATGATTGATCTTCTTGCAGCCAACAGCGGGCGGGTGACGAACCTGAAACGTGTCACGTATGTGGTGCTAGATGAGGCCGATCGGATGTTCGACATGGGTTTCGAGCCTCAAGTTATGAAGATTCTCTCCAACATTCGACCGGACCGCCAAACCGTCCTCTTCTCGGCGACCTTTCCGCGCCAGATGGAAGCGCTGGCAAGGAAAACTCTGACCAAGCCTGTCGAGATTGTCGTTGGTGGCCGCAGTGTTGTTGCGCCAGAGATTACTCAAATTGTCGAAGTCCGCGAGGAGAACACCAAGTTTATTCGGTTGCTTGAACTGCTGGGCAAGCTGTACGAAGACGAGAAGAATGAAGACGATCGGGTGCTCATTTTTGTTGATCGGCAAGAGGCAGCTGATGGCCTTCTTCGAGATTTGATGAAGAAAGGTTACCCATGCATGTCAATACATGGTGGAAAGGATCAAATCGATCGGGATTCAACAATTGACGACTTCAAGGCTGGTGTTGTGCCCATCCTCATAGCGACCTCTGTTGCCGCCCGTGGTCTTGACGTGAAACAGTTGAAGCTGGTGGTTAACTACGACGCGCCGAATCATTTGGAAGACTACGTACATCGTGCTGGACGCACAGGTCGAGCCGGCAACAAAGGGACTGCGGTGACCTTTCTCACCCAAGAACAAGACAGGTATGCTGTCGACATTGCCAAGGCTTTGAGGCAGAGTGGTCAACCGGTTCCCGAGGCTGTCCAAAAACTTGTCGACTCCTTCATGGAGAAGGTTAAAGCCGGCAAAGAGAAAGCTGGTGCGTCTGGGTTTGGTGGCAAAGGTCTTGAACGCCTCGATCAAGAGCGAGATGCGGCTAAGGCTCGAGAACGCAAGACATTCAAGACTGGCGAAGAAGGCGACGAGCAGGAAGAGAAAGAAGAGGGCAAAGAGATCAAAGTCGGTGACGACCTGTTCGCCAAAGCCGCCTCAAGTGTCAAGGCGTTTGAAGGGGGTGCCAGTCAAGCCGGTGTGCCCAAGGGTATCGACCTGGACGGCAAAATCACCGTCCACAAGACCGAGCGTGAACCTGCGGGGATCAAAACTGGCCCGCAGAACCAGATGGACAAGGTCGCGGCAGCAGTGGGTGCGATCAATGAGAAACTCTCCAAGGCAGGAGTCATGCGGTCCGGCGTCCCTATTGACAACAAGGGCCCCGACGCTGGAGCATTCCACGCGACTTTGGAGATCAATGACTTTCCTCGTAAGTTTGACACCCTCCTGTCATTTGAGCAGATTTGTGCTAACCATCATTTACAGAAAAAGCACGATGGGCCGTCACCAACCGGACGAATGTGGCCAAGATCCTGGAAGCGACGGGCACGTCTATTACCACAAAGGGATCCTTCTATCCCGCAGGCAAAGAGCCTGGGCCAGGCGAGAATCCCAAGTTGTACATTCTTGTGGAGGGTGACACCGAGGTTGTGGTGCACGACGCCATGAGAGAGTTGATGCGATTGTTGAAGGAGGGCACGATGAGTGCGGCTGATGCAGCCGAGAGGACGGGCGGGAGGTATTCGGTGTTGTAAACACAGTGGCAATGTGGCCCATGGAGATAGAAGGAGGTTTGATGATAGACATATGGTGTCGAATCACGGTCCATCTGATGTGTCAGTTGTCAGTTCCTTACATGCCTTGATGCATGACAGGATCTATATCCGTTATTCTCGACAATCATATCATAGCTTGGTAGCATAGCACCGTTTGTTTGAGAAGCAAGGAGCAAGGAGCATTATAACCTTATGACGCTGGCTCTCGATCATCAAACTCAATCCCCAGCTCCAAACTCATCATCTACTCATTGTTGGGTGCCCCGTCAACACCGCCCAGACGAACCAACCAGTCACTAACTTGCATTCTCATTCTATATACAGCTCCCCTAGAAATCTCAGCCTCGTCTCTCCCTCCCTCTCTCTCGTTCATTGCCTACCAGGGCCTTCTGTATACCCCTCCAGCCAGCGATCTCGCCCTGCCATCCTTATATCAACCCATTCGTGGTGATGTGACTCTCTCTCTCTCAGAGATTTAAGACTAGGTTAGACTTAGGGCTCATGAAGGCTTGCTGCTATCTTCTCGTCTCCATCTACCTCTCCCTCCTCTGGACCCTTTCTCTATCATCTATCTCTGCCGCCGCCGCTCATACTTATGGAACCCCCTTTGCCTTCCCCGGCGCTCAATCAAGCTCTACATCTTCATCTCCGTCTTCATCTTGGAACAAGACCAAGGCCCTCCTGCACATGACCGCGCTCACGAACCATCCCGTGCCCCCGTACCTAGCCCGCGTGCAGTGCTGGGCCCTCAGCGCCGACTTCACAACCTACCCGACCGTCGGGCGCGCACTGGCGCTCGGCGCCGTCGACAACGCCACGTACGTGGTCCTCCCGCCGCGCGGCGCCGAGGGGTGGCATCGGCCGCCGCACCCCATGTTTTTCGTCCTGCTGAGCGGGGTGGCGCAGGTTTATGTTCCCAACGCCAGTGGTGGTGATGTTGGAGGCGAAGGCGCTTCTTATTCTTCATCGGGCGACAATGGTTGTGACTCCGATGGCGACGATGGCTACGACTACGGACGTGGCTTACAACAGCAGCAGCAGCAGCACCAAGAACGACGACAACCACCCCCGGACGACGAAGGCTGGACAACCCTGGCCATCACGCCCGGCTCGCCGCACCAGATCTTGATCGCCGCGGACACGGACGCGCGCGCGAAGGGCCATTTAACATTCTACCCGGGCGACGGCGAGACGGTGGCGCTGCAGATCCCGTTCCGGGACGGGGCGGTGCCGGCGCACATGGTTGTGCATGAGGGGCCTTGTCGGGGGGATGGGTGAGGCTGGGAGGGAATATAGATAGAGATGTGGGCGAGGGCGAGAGCGAGGGTGAGGGTGAGGGTGAGGGTAACGACGTGGATGTAGACGGGCAGGCATAGGCGGGCATGGAGGCGGAGGCGCGTGTTGGCATGAGGAAGAAGCGCACAAGGAAGTTGTGCATGCTAGATGCCAGAATATGATCTCGAGTCGCCGCCGGTGGTGGGTGAGGTCCATGACATTGCTCAGCCGGCCATGAAGTCGAGCGTAGTCGGTGGTCAGTGGTCTAGTCTGTACATTGGAGCTACAGGAAGGAGTAGAAGTGGAGAAAGAGATGACGGAGGTGGGTATATCAGTAGGTAGATATGTAGATAGGCAGTTGAGCACCTAGGTATACAAGGACGACAAAACCGTCACCTCTAGCAGACACATACATAGACACACACGAGGCCTCGCGAAGCCTAGGAATATATGCCGGTGGTGAGATACCGTGGAACTATATACTTCCATCCATTCACCCCGCTCTCTCTTTTTCTATACAAACACGAGTTCCTTCTTGGTACAGTGCGGGTGTGGAACGGGGCTCGTCTTCAATTCAGTTCTCTCCGCTCTGTCTCACCTCACTTCAATTTCCGTCGAGGTTCTACTGTAACCGTTACCGCCACCACCACCGCCACCACCAATGGTAGCAGTTGCAGGCCTCCATCTCGCAAGGCAGACAAGAAACGGAAGACGTACGTGTGAGCCAGATCAGATCAGCTCAGTTCAGGTCGGCCACAGATCTGTTTCGCCCGGCTCTTCAGGTAAATGACAACAATCAAAGCAGACCCGTGAAAGGGGTACATTATCCAAGGGGGTCTGTAGGCCTGAGGGACGCGAATATACAGCTTCAGGCTACTGCTGTACAGCCGCGGTTGATCGCAGACAGCACGCAAACCAGGGGTGCAGACCAGAGGAAGGAAGAAAGAAAGAAAGAAAGAAAGGGGTAGGCAGATAGATAAAGGGAAGGACGAGGAATTGGAACAGGACGGCAAAATCCTGAACTTTCGCGCGTGGTCTGCGACTTCAGGACTGAAAATCCGAAGAACAGTCGATTTACGCCCGAAGCCTGAGGTCTCACCTCCTCACAGACCTTCTCACTCGGCTTTTTCTTTGGCTCATTGGACAAAGCTGTCCCTGGAATCGACCCGCAACGCTGGTCGTTGGACAGCGAGAACACTGCGCCTCTCTCGACGGTGGGCGAAGCAAAAGAGGCATCCCTCAATGTCCTGCTTCATCGTGCTCGGCCATTTGTCCTTGGGGCCCATCGCCCTGGTCTCAGTACTTGTCTTGGACGAAACCAGTGGAATTCACACAAATCCGTCAGACGTACAGCAGATGGTCGAGAGGGCGCTAAAGACCTGGTCTCCTGGGTAAGGACAAGCCTGCCCGACTTTCTGACAAAATTCCCACGCGGACTCATTGCTTGTGTTGGCCGGTCACCGCTGGATTACGCGGAAGCGAAAGGTTGGTTCGGTGCAATTTTCCCAAAATGCCCCCTTGTTTGACTCGAAAACACCACCCATGGTAGAGCTGAGAGAGGGTTGCGTACCCGTACACGTAGTCCCAAGGAAGGCGTAAGCATAGGGCCCAAGGCCCTTTGGCGGAATGAAGTCATAAGCAAGCCTGCTTGGGTCCTTGAGGACAAAAAGAATGCAACACCAGCCCTCGGCATGGCACCGAACGACTCTGTATCACGATGCCGGTCCAGGGCACGAGACGTAAAGGTCCGGTTTTCGTGGCTGCAGGATATATCCCTTTGGCTCGATTGACAAGCTTCCGAGTAAACAACATTGACTTCGCGTCTGGAGCGCGATAAACGAGAATCAAGTGTTCCACGCTTTGAACGATACAGCCCAAGACGTTTGGCAATACGCAGAGGAAAGACGGAGCGATTTCATGATGTAACTCAAGCCGGACAGTTGCAGGGGGCACAACAGGTCGATTTCGGGCCATGGGATCGAAATGCTGCTTTTGGATTCGATCTCGGATCCGATGGGAGAATGAGGCAAGTGGTTGTTCAGCCGCAATACGCCTGGAGGCTTATGTTCGATGTCATTCCCTCCACTGGAGCCCCTCCCCAGAGTCGGGCACAGCAGCAATGCTCGCATGACAGGCAGCGGGAGGATCAGTAAACGTCGGAAGGAAGCTGGCAGATCATCCGGAAGTGTTGTCCAGTGCCTGTCTGTAATAGGTGTCCTACCGTGATCTTTGGATCACCATTCAATCGTGCCCCTTTCGATTTTCGATTTCTAACTCGCATTACTTTGGGGCGTCGCTGCTGTTGTGCGAGTCTGCAAGCAAATAACAAAATCTCTGAATGATCTAGTTGTGTATGCCGATCGCAAAGTCACCGGTCTGGCAGTAGGTTTCACTTGGCCAATTGGTATGCATTGCTAGGGGCGGACGTGTTTGCGGCAGAGCCAGTGCAGCTATACAGGTGTGGCCATGTAATTTCAACTCGGGGTTGTAGCTAGAGTTTCCCAACCTCCAGGCGACGTCACAGCAAAACGAAGAGTCTACCCAGAGCTGAACGCATTTGGCGGTGGCATCCATGGCGGGTCAGGCGATGCCGTGGCACTTCCAAGGCTTGAACATGCTGGTTTGGGCATAGACTGCGGACCCTATCCATAGCTTGTGCATAAACGATGTTGGTGTGTTCAGCTGCCAAAGCAGAGTACGAAAACAAAGGAGAGGATCTGCACGATGAGACTGAAAACGATCGCTTTCGCCGGCCGCGGGGAAACTGCGACAGGTCCAGCACGCGTCGGATTCTCTTCTGGAAGAAGAAAATATCCGCCAGGTTCAAAAGGTTGTTGGCCATGGCCGCCCACTGATGGCTGGAGCTGGCAGGGGCTAAGGGAGACACCAGGCCTCGGTACGAGTTGAGAAACCAATGGTTCCCTTCTCTGCGGTGCGAGTGACTCGTCGTCTTTCCGACCAGCATTTCCAAGCATCGTCCTTGTGCATTGTGTGATTCGGAATCGATGGCCCATTCTCGAGCCGAGGCCAAGGGATCACCCTCGCTGAGCCAATTATGCAGGACAAGTTTTGATTTGGACGTTGCAAAACTTCTGAGAGAAGACTAAGTAGATTAGTCCCAACGGAAACGCCCAGGATAGTTCCATCCGTGATCGAGAAAAGAGAGTTGTGAAGGGTCTGAAGCTCTAACAAGTATGCTGTGTGTGTGCCCTACACCCTTTGAGGAGCCGGGGCAACCCGGGGAATGCATACTAACTTGGCCTCTTTCATCGTCGTCTGTCGCTGCTTTACGAGGTACTGCGTACGCTGGCCGAACAACAGTCCATGGCGCCAATGGGCCCGTTGGGGGCACTCTTCGGTCTCTTCGGACTCGGGTTTCGGAATCGATTTCAAGGCCAGTTCGTACCATTTAAGGCGCGAGATGCGAACCTGGAGAATCTCTCCAAACGCTTGTGCACAATACGACCGACATACGAAGAGCCAACACCTCCTCAGGCTTCTTTTTTCCTTTCTTTCTTTCAATGACGTGTCCTCGCAAGATAGACGTACCTTGAACGGGACCAAGGTCTTGGTCCACAGCCACTGATTGGATGGTGTAGGGATCAGGCGGCACGCCTCAGCTGTTCTCTTGTTGGGGGTCCAATGCGCTTTATTTTTGCTCTGCGAGCCCAGCACCGAGTCAATCCGTGGTTTCCGGGAGGAGCGTCCGTGCGCAAAGGGGGTCACTCGTTCCAAGGTTAGGCACCTGCGAAAAGATAGGAAAAGCGAGCGGATCCCTTTCGAGGCAGTTATATTGCATGGCGTTCTTGTCAAGAAAAGGGCATTGTAGACTGGTTTTTTTTTTTGGTTTTCTTTTTTTTTGGGCCAACGTGGAAAATAAAAAAGCGAAGTAATCCCAAAGTTTTGTGCTGACTCAACGTAACTTGTACCTGTTAGGGGGACTTTGCCTATATGTTTGGCCGGCATAGTGGCAGCAGACGTCCATTCACAGTGCACACGTCAGATGCTTGAGCAACTCGCCAAGCTGGTTGGGATGTCAACAGCACTTCCGGTCAAATCAGTCTGTCATTGGCGGTTCCTGTAGAAGGAGGATGGAGTTGTTTTTCGGTGGATGGTCCCCCTGGAGAGTTTCGCCCGGGATGTTGATTGCGACACAAGTGCATACGCCATTAAACGCCCGTGGTCAGTCTCCCTCTTTGTTGGTCTGTCATAATGCAGTCCCACATTCTTGATTGGATACCTGTACTCCCTCCCGAATATTCGATTCGATTAGTTATTCGGTTCATCTGGTGCCGTAACTGCCTCGGCCGTAGCTCCTGCTTTGATTCTCGAACAAATTTCCGCTATCAGTTTAGATGTCGAGAAGGTGGCCTTGCCTCAAGTTGTGCCTGAATGTTGGTCTCCAAGGGATCCCACCAGGCTCCCACCACCTCGCTACGTAAGTAGGGACATGCCATTAGGGCGCATTCCCAATGGGGAGATTTGCAGTGGGAGAAGCGAATCCCAAAAGGCATTGATCACGCGTGGGGCCGTTTGAGAAACCCGCAAGGGCTTCATCAGAACAGGAAGTGGGCTGGAGAGGCGTCAGTGGAGGGAGATTCCTCAGGCGCCTCTCCGAGATTCAACTGTCATGGGCCTGGGTGTCGTTTGGGCTTTGATGACCGCTCCACCATGCTCCAGCAAGCCCTGCCTTACACGTGATTTTCCCGATGCTGTTCGAAAAAGGAAGATGGATGGCGGGCCCCCATGCTTCCCCTACTTGGTACCCAGTAGGGCGTGCTGTGGCGTTTGCTCGCGCCGCAGCCGCCGTTTCGCCTGGGGCGTGATAGAATCTGGAAAAAGGTGGCTTGCCGGGCTTAAAGTAGCCTCCACGCTTCATGACAAATGCTGCTTGAGCGAAAATGCAACCTGGGAATGTCTAGTGTCTCGTCTTCGGCGCGACACGGTTGAACACTGGGCATTCTAGGCTCCCGTATTGATTCTGCTTCCAAGCACCAGGGCTCGCAATATTTGCCGTGGAGAGTGAGTTGCGTGGCGGCATGGTCGAGTCAGTTCGCCCGGGTGCACGAATGGTTGGCGACCTCCGGTTCAATGACGTTGTTCCTCTCCACAAACCGGACGGTCATTTCCAAATTCCAACACGAGAGAAGCGTATGCGCGTGGCCTGAAGAACAATCAAGCCTGCATGGGGTTTGGCATTGGGGCCTTGGAGTGTGCGCAATGCATCGCCATGGCTCGAGGCAATGACCAACAGGATTATGCAATCGCACTACTGCCTCGCAGTGCCTCGCAAAGATGCTGGATGGAACAAAATCACCTGTTGAAAGATTCCCCTCGGTGTATTCGGCTTTCCAGTGTCCAAGACCGTGAAGCTGGAGATCGACTCGGCTCCACAAAGAAAGGCATCAACCTAGTGTAGTTTTAGGGCTGCATGTCGGCAGCATCAGATGCTCCGTGTACGGCCGTGTCTGCGCAAGTTGCTCGAGGCCCTGACGGGCCCTACTTCTCTTTCCCTGGCAGCCTACTTGCCTGGCACAAGACAACAGCAGGAGCAGCGTTGGGTGCCGAGGTATATTCTGTCATCCAGAAATGGCCCCCAAGGATCAAAGACACGAGTGTTACCGTCAATTCGACAAGGCTTCTGGCTGGCACCACTGTCAGCCTCGTACGGTATGGTCTGGTAACGATACCGCCTGTGTACTGGGTGTGTGGCCGTGTTGAGCGTTTCTCGTTTCTGCGGCCTATGAGTAGACGCTCCCCGGAATATAGCCTAGCCTTGCTCACTCTGCAAGCATATTTGGCATAATATGTCTCTGGCCTGCTCACGACTTCATCTGGCCTCATGCCTCAAGCTTCGTGATATGCTACTGCACGGCTTTAGTCAGGGCGGGTTTTGAATGTCGTCAGTTGGCTTCTCCGGCGTGCCAGGGTGGATTCCACCTCTTCTCCAGTCGTTACCGGTAGAGGACGAAGCCTCGTGCAGGGCGTGACTAGTTTACTACTGCGTACACCGTATCGATCCTTTTTCCGACCGCGAGACGCACAAGCCGAGAGCCTTATGAGGCATTTACATGCGTCCCTGCATATTCCCACTCCTTGAGTCCGGAACAGTGTAATCTCCATCTCCACGGCCACTTGGCGGAGATAGGCAAATGGCCATCGGTAACTTCGCTGCTACGTTTTCTCTTGTGGATGTAACGGACAGCGCATCTGATAGAGCCAAGTGCGTAATTTCCAACGAGAACCAAACCCTTACGCGACCCTTTGCAGTGCGCCTTTCGCAAAGTCCGCTGAATGACAGTCGTGTGTACATACCCCGTATACCGTAGGGCTACGCCAAGCGAGCTGTGTCAGCCTATTGGCTTGGAGTGAGAATTGCCCTTCTCGGTAACAGAAAGCGAGGGCATCTGTAGCTTCGCACAAAGGCTGAAGGGCGCATGTAACGTCAAGCCGGACAGTCCCATTGACGCCCTTGTCCTTTGCCCACCTTGGCTGTAAAGATTTCAACCAATTTTGAGCTGCTGATTAGGCACACACGAGGCTATCGCCATAGTCCAGATAATCTGGATGCGGATATGTCCTTTTGCTTGGATGCTTGCACGCGGTGGAGATGATGACCTTACTCAGCCACGGAGCCGCACTCGACAACGACGAGGGGAACAAGCTTGAGCAGTGCCCTATTGGCAGGTAGCGACCGACGTCCTGTGCTGTTCCTCATGACAGGATAGAACTTCAAGCCCACAGTTGCTGCAAGGGTTGGACGAGATGGAGGGGGGCGACTATGTCGACACTTGTTGTGACAGTCGCTGATTCGGGTTGCGTGTGCTTGCTCTGCGGGAAATCGACCGATGGCCAACAGCGATCCTCTAGGGCAAACGTTGAACGCACCCTGGGGCAATACGAGGACGAGCTGCTTCTTCTCCATATCGTTTGCCCCCCCAGACCTGCCTCCACAAACATGTTAGTGCTCCTCTGTCCAGCCATTTCCTGATGAAGCAACATTCGTGGCAACTCGGGCAGCTTGACTGTGGTTGCCCGCCACCGCCGGCGACACTTCTGCGGGCGTTGCGGTCGAGGCCGCGACAATGGAATGGATGTGCAAGTGAAATTGCCCGTGTTGCGATCCAAAGAAGCTTGCCAATCTGTCAGCTCTTACGAATCTTTCAAGCGGACCAACCACCAAACCTCCTGATCATGATGCTGACCATCTTGATGTCGCTCAAATCCAGGCCCTCGAGCCTGCTGGTCGGTTTGCCACGGAATGTGGGTTTAAAGTGGTCCCATGGGATGAAGACAGACTGGCATGAAGCGGTAGTAGGGCTGTCGATCCCGGGGCGGCACTTGGATGTTGAGAAATCATACTCCCAAGATGTCGTCGACTGTTCACGGCCGCCGACCGGATTGGGAGGGAGAATCTCATCTTTGAGGATCAGCGTGTAGACCTTGTCGTCGGACTGCAATGGATCGATCGAGACCTCGACTCCTGCAAACGAACTTAGGTCCCAGTGTTGATCGTTGCCGGTAGTCCGCTGGGAGGCAAAGCCAGCCCCGCCCAGAGCATCGATGTCGAGAGTACCGTGGAAACAGGCGGCCGTGCCACGGTTTTCCAGATAGGACTGTCAGAAGAGTTAGTCAGTTGAGGTTTGCGGACATGTCCCCGGCGCCTGATCCAGCCATTTCGCAGACCTTGTCGTGGACGACACCGCGCGAAGGGGCGGCAACAACCTCTCGCACCCAAGAACTGAAAATGCAATGGTCGTACCACATACCTGTGATTTACCGCCGCGAACCCTATCGTCGCTGGAGGTCCATAGATTGAGATGCCAGCCCCTAAGCCCACGCCCAAGCCCAAGGCCGATGGAATTAGCACTTATCCGTTTCCTAATTGGTAGGATTGCGCCACGCCGCAGGGAGAACAGATATTACAAAGGGGGAAAAGTGGCACTGCCCGGCGATGTCGAAAATAGCCGCTGCTTACATATTCGGCCCAAACAGCTCTCGACGCTGGCTTAGCGGTTCCATGATAGCGATTTGGAAAAGGTGCAATTCGGCACATGGGTAGGAAGGATTCGAAGGGTCCATGGTCCCCTTGTTACCGTCTCGATTCTAGACTTTCTCGGCCGCGGCCGCCGCGGCCGCCGCGTGCTTTTCAGGGGAGGCAAGAGGGTTTTCCTCAAGGGGATCAGGATTGCAGCTGCTGAGATGTGATCAAACTCCCTGTTGGAAGATCCAAGCGAGAGGGCGTAACGTACGCAGCGTGCCAACCTAGATCGATTGAGCCAGCTTGGGAAGGCGGTTGTCCTGAAACGATTCGGCGACTCTCTGGTCCTTGGTCTCTTCGCGAAGACTTTCTTGCTCGCCCAGGCGAACGTTGGCTAAACCTGATGGAGAAATGGCGCACACATGCGGCTGGTAGTTTCTTCTTGTCGTCTTGGGTAGTGGCCGTTTCCTCGTTCCTGCTGCCTTCCTCCGTGGTCCCTTCTGCAACCTCACAGGTTGCCCTATTCAGCTGGCAGGGCTGAATGCGAGGCCCGCATCCCGCGTGGCCATCAGGGTCCTTCAGCGTCCCGCTGCATGGCCCCGAGTCACATCCACGAAAATCGACGAGCAAGCAATAAAAGGTTCCGAGACGTGTTTGGTCACCAATACATTCATTTGAGTGGGAGGATTCCTCTGCCACGACTAACTGTTTGGATTCCCGATCGGGCTGCTGGGCCCCCGTCGGTAGTATCGGGGACTGTACTCCTCGCAACACACCAAGTCCACCCGCTGTTTGTTCTTGTCCCTCTGCTGTTTTGAGCTACTTGTCGTATCCAGAACACCTCCCCGAGAGCTGGCTTTTTGCCGCTCCATGGTCACCACCCCTCGCCTGCCCCCTTTGCCTGCCCATCGAAGGGCTTCCCATTCGAGTCTAAAAAAACCTTTTCCGGTAAATGGGCGTTGGAGCCAGGTGAATCATGACACAATCCGTAGCAAATGCAATAATCGCTCCCCACCCGTGACCGTACGCCGTTCAAAGAACCTTCCAGCTGTCGTGGAAAGCAGTCATGCAATTATTTTGCGCCTGCCATGGTGCCCGTAGTGACGACAATGAGCGATAGTTGCTTGCCAATCAATCAAAAATAACATGTCGGACCGTGGGGTCAAGATCAACTGCAGCTGATGTCGAACAAGTGAATGTTGGGGCTCGCCGTCCTTGACACGGGCGTGAGCGGGACATCGAAGTAGTTGGGCGAGTTGTGAGCCGAGTCCATCGAGTATGGATCTGTTAGAGGTGGTGTCTAGCCAGAGGAAGTCAGCATTTGAGCTGGGAAATTGGTAATGTGGAAGCCGATGATTTTTAGGACTGAGCCGCGCCAGAGAGACGTTTCTTTTGCTGCTCAGATGTGTGGGCTGGAATATGAACGAGAGAAGAAAGTGGTGGGATTTACATGAGAATTAGCCCCTGAGTATGCTTGATTTGAGGGCATTTCCAGACCGGCTAGCGAGGCATAGTTCATGCTGAATGGACTTAAGATGTCGTCATCTCCAAACAGATGGTCCTGCTTCCCGTACGCCGAGGGCAGCATGGCCGGTAGCGTCGGGGGCAGACTCGACGATGAGACGTCTACGGGATATTGATAGCTCGAGTAATAGCTGGTAGTGTTGTCATATGTGGGGTGTTGCTGGTGCTCATAGTGGAGATACGCCGTGGTCGGCGGGTATGACGAGAAGGTAAATGCGGGTTGCGAGTGGATTGAGAGATGGCGCCCGGCCGGAGTGTCAAAGAGCGATGAATGGTCATCCAAAGGCAGAATCTCTGGCGATGCTCTCGGAATCTCGTGTTGTGACACACTTGATCTCGATGGCTGGCGGGCCATGGTTTGGGTTTGCTTTTGGGGAGACGCTTTGGCCGGTGTAGTAGTGGCCAGTTCCGAGTGCTGCTGCTCGGGCGAGGCAGATGATGACCCAGCACGGCGCTCTAGATCTTCGAGTCTTCTCTTGAGCTTCTTACGATAATTTCGCTATTCCCCGCGTGTCAGGAATCTTGACAAGACTACTGGCAGAAAAGAACAGTATTTACCTGAGCAATCCGATTTTGAATGCGTCGTCTCTCTGCCAGGTCAGAGATCTTGGTCCAGTCCTCGTTCGGGTTCGCCGATGCGCTGAAGGCAGAGCTGCTGGCGTGGGTGGACGCATATCTGGAGTGGCCGCCCATCGTGACTTGAGGATAGGAGTAGCTTTGACTCCGATGCATGGTGAAGTGTGATGGTCGAGGGGTACAAGGAAGGACAGTGATGGATCCTAATGGGAAGCAAAGTGATTGATCGGGATCTTTGAGGTTGATATTGGGCAAGAAGAAAGAAGATCTAGATGAATGGTGAGGGTGTGTTCACAGTCTTAATAGTTTCTTTGCGATCAGGGAAGCTAGTCAATCATATGTATGGCCAGGACAATGGGTGTGCATGGGACGCCCCAAAACCAGGTCCCTTGATATATAACATAAATTACCGCTTTGCCTGGATGGAGGATAGTGGGTGGCAGCAGGGGATCGGAGGGGAGACATGGGCCCATGGCCTCTCAAGGACGCAAAAGTTCAACCGGGGGGTGCGTGCGTTCAACTCCACTTTCTTGAGGGCGTTGGAGCCACATGTGCTGCTGCTGTGAGGTTCCAACCCATGCCAGTTTCCAGGCCAGCCCACCTTGCCCTGCCCTGCGAGGCGGCGACGCGGGACGACAGGGGTGGGGAGGAGATGGAGGGCGAGCAGAAGAGCCAGGATGGTTGACCGCCCCGGGCAGTGGCAGGGGATGCTGCAGCGGTCCTGACCAGGGCATGGATAGCGCGGCCCACGGTGGTGGAAGAGGAGACGAGGAGCGAGAAGTGGACGCAGTGCACAGGGCTGCGGACGAACGAGGAGGCGGGAGGAGACGGAAATAGTGATGGAGGATGAATTTTGGGAAGAAACAGCAGAAGTGCAACGTCGTGGCTGCTGCGCCCCTGGCGTGACGCTAGCCACCTTGGGGTTAGGCACTTGCTGCTCTGAATAGTGAAAGTCGGTCTGCACTGAGGCAGCGAACGGCCACCTGGTCGCTCCCGACACTCTCCGCCCGCCTTTGTTTGGGTGCCAGTGCCCAGTAAACTCAACTGGGGGCGCCCCCCCTCCCCCCCTCCCCCCCTCCCACTAGCCACCCATACCTACCTGACCTCCTCCAAGTGCCCCAGCAGCACAGCACCAGCACAGCACAACTCGCTGGGCGAGGGCACCTGGGTCTAGGCAGGGAATAATAGGTAATCGCCCAAAGGGCCAGCAGGGCCCTCCGGAATCACGGAGCCCCCAGCAACCCAGCGCCACCGCAGCCTGACTCTAGGTACCGCTGTACGGAGAGTCCCTACAACCGCTCGCATTATATCCGGACTCCCGTACCTGCCTAACCAACTGGGCACCTACCGAGCTACATGCCTAGATGGCTCTCTGCCTCTCGTACGTACTTGCGTACTTCGTGACCAGCGACCTGCCTTTCGTGGTCATTCTTTCGACGCACGAGCACTTTGGCACCGTCTTTTCCTCGCCCACTTCCTCCACCCGTGATCACTGAGTGAGCTTCCCTTAACAAACCTCACCTCACCACATCCTCAATCTCCCACCCCTCCTACCCACCACACCAAACAGCAAAACGAATCTGATACTCCCTACAGACCGAGACCTCCCCTAATCCTCCCGCTCATTTTCCGCCCTGTGATCTCGGTCGCCTCTCGTCCCCTCTTCTCGTTTGGTGCTGCCCTGCCCTGCCTGGGGCCCTGAGGCCCTGCCGTCTGGTTGTGCCGTGGTCGGCTACCAAAACAACCTGCCCCCTACCGTCAAGCGTCCCTACGAAAAGCGAATCGCAGCCCTTGCGCCCCTTACCTCTTTGGTCTCTCCCCCATTCGCCTACGCCCACGAGGGCCCCACTGACTATACTAAAGAACGAGCTTGGCGGGCGCAATATGGACGAATTGAGTAATATCCCTCTTGATACGTACCGGGGGCTGTATGTAGCTTCCCTGCCAATCTGGCACACCACAGCTAGGGAAAAGGGCCCCCTGCCTCATCGTCCATACCATGTCTATTCCAGAAACTGCGTCTACTTGGACACCTCGCCTGTGCCTGGCCTTATGGCCCCCACGACCTTACTATTTACCCCCGATTGAGCGATACGATACCAAACGGTGCAGGCTACTGGAAGATACCTAGTTCCTGAAGCTGTACAAAACCCTTTTTGCTTGCTGACTCAACTATTGCTACATAGCATTAAGCCGCGGCAATAGTTCCTATCAGGTACGAGTACTCCGTACGTACCTGCTCTACTGTACTCGCAAGTGAGTTACATGAGTTGCAGTGCTCCTAACACTCCTATCTGGACTCCGTAATAGAGCTCTTCCTAGTGCGCCTTCTGCTTTCAGCAACCACCTCAAAACCCGCAACGCAGATGTGCGCGGTATCCAATTAACGCCGGCAAAAGCCGCAATCCCGGCCGAACCCTTGGATGACAAGGTGATGATTACTTTCGGGGCGTGAGATTCGACGCTCGAAATGAAATTAATGCTTCAACCCAGCTCCGAGGGCCATGGGGATCTCCAATGCACAAATTCTTGAATTGCGACCGCGGGCTGTCGGGACCTCCTCTGTTGTGCACGCCCGTCCGGAGAACAGAGTCTACCCGTCGGAGCTCGGTGGCAGCAGTTACAACCGCGAGCAATGACATAATTGCCTCAGTTGCCGAGAGATATTGCCAAATAACTTGACCTTCCCCAGGGTTGCCTGGCCTGATGATTAATGGCGTATCTAGCTACCTTCCGAAGGTCGTCTTGTCACTGTCTGGCGCTTGTGTCTGTCCATTATTCGATCATTCAGCAAACAGATTGCCACCAGACGTCCACCTATGTCAGCTCGACGCATGGGAGAGTCTTTTGCATGGAGACTTGGGCGACCTATTTCCCTTTGTGTTGGAATATTGACTTTGGGTACTCCATCAATTGGCCGCAGGCCTAACTCGCCACAACCTCTCTTCGGTGGATGTCCTCGTTGATTTGGAAGCTCCCTTTTCAGGCTGCCCGCGAAACACCTCACCTTTCTGTGTCATGACCTCACAGCATGGTTTTTGATGTCTGTGGACCAAGATCCATGCATCATTAGGTAAGTGGCCTCCTAATTTCCCGCGGAACTCAACCATGTCGAAAGGTGCCGACTAGTTGTGGACCACCAGTCGCCATCCTCCAGCCACCTCGGTTTCATCCTTTTTTTGAATTTATATCTCCGGCATTCAACCTATGACCGCGGTTTGCCATTTAGAGAGTGGCTGCGGCGGGTGGGTGGCTGCGCCCCAGCTACTAAAGGCGGCTATTTCAAATACTCTACCCTATGTTTTGCCTCGATAGCCTCCAGCTGGGGCTCCTCAACTTAGTACGCTGGATAGTCTCTCTTGATGCAGGAATACCGAGTACGCGAACAGTTACTGGGTTGCGGACAATTTTAGATTATCACCGTCCTGACCTCGGGAGAGTCATGGCCAGCACACACGCAGGACTCAATAAGGCAGCGATCCAGGATACACAATACCGAGCTCTCAGCCGGAACCGCACCTTTCATGACAAGTCGTTCAGTCGTTCCTGCTTAATTGGGCCATTACGCTCGGATGACCACTATGGGTACCAATAAGATACGTCAACGAATCCATCTCAGCCCTAAAATACCTACCTGCCTTATCCAGGAACTCACCCTCAGCTTTAGCTCCGCGATCATTGGTTTCCAGGGAGGTGGTACCGGGACCGTTCTGTAGCTGCCTTGGTGTGGGGACAGTGGTGTGCGCCTTATCAAAAGGACATTCTCCAGGTTCCTCAACGTTACATGCCTGTGGCGGCTCGAATAGGTAATTAATGGAGCCACCAATTTTCAAAATAAGGTGGTCAGAGATATGGGGTCCTCGGAAAGGTGCTGTGTCATCTTCTGTGTGGGCAGCAGAGATGATTTCGCCATGACTCCAGAACTTCAGATGGCCACGCTTTCGGTTCCAAGCACCAGAGTGCTAACAAATAGCAGCGTCAACCCGAACCAAACCTGGTCATTGAATCTGAAACAATCTGCGAAATTACAAATGTCAAGATTCGTGCTGGCGTCCGTTCATGCACGATAATACTAGTGGTGCTTGAAGGCTTCCCGGCGGCGTTTTCATCAAACGTCCAACACGGTTGACAGAAACAAAGGCCCTCAGGAGGTATCAGAACGGCGTCAGACCAATATTCTCGGGACAGATACCCATTGGCTAGGTTAGCCAGGTAAATCGCATAATTAATTAAGCAGGAGCATGGCCCTAAGCCCTCTTTCCCCATCCCGACTTCCAAATTGAGCAACACGACCCCGTCGGTGATGATTCGGTTGTCCGCCAATGAGAGCATCAGTATCCCGTCAGCCTTAAAGGGTGACCCAGTACCGAAAACAGCTCGAAGGATCATTACCGTTTGACCCCGTTCACACCAGTGCGCCACACCCCTTCTGGTATTCGGGGGCGAGACTAAGTACGCCTCAAGCGTCTGAAGCGTGACAACTCTCGCCAGCGGTCAACCAGCGGACCAGCGCCACGGGCTCCCGCAGCGACTAGCACTTGACCTAGCGCAAGCGCCAACGCAACGATCGCCCACCCTGCATTGCCTTCCACTGGCTGACAAAGGAAACCAAAAATAAAGGACCTCCAAGGTAGGTGTCGTGTCGATCCTGTGGTCGAATCCCGCCGCTGGTGGCTGCAGCTGCATCGATCAGGTCACCAGCCGTTGGGCTGGGCCACCAATCAACCGACCGAGGCAGTTTGACCAGCTTTCCACGCCATCCCCAAGAGGCACTGATTTCAGCGGGCGATTTGCACGGCCACAAACCCTCTCGTATATTCTCGAAATGTGAGTCGCCAGGAAACCGCGCAGGTTCGTGGTGTCCGAAACGCTTCAACTAAGAAATTTAAGGTACGAGCCATGTCCTTGTAACCAACGCTGCTGTAACAGGTGCTGGCTGCTTTTGGCGACTTTCCAGAAGCAGAACGAAGAAGCTTGGTACCGTACCAATACGCAAAAAACGGCCCTTGGAGCTCGCGCAAGCTGTAAGTACCTTGACAATCCCCCTTGAGGAGATCACCCCTAGCGTGAGACCCTCAACAGAAACCTTCCCAAACCCTTTTTGGTAGCAGGGGTGAATATTCCAATTGGCTCGTTCATAAGCGTGCCCCGCCGGC